AATAAGTTTAGATCATGTTTTTGACGTCTTTTCTGAATAAAAAAAATTTGTTTTAGAGAAAAACCAGCTTGTAGTCGTCAATGTGACTCAGGAGTCAAATTCCTCTGCTGCAAATAGCAAAGCCCTCCGTCTCATCCAGCCGCTGATGTTATTCTAATACACTCTTTTTAATTCAAGCCATCTTTAATGCCACGCAACCGTCTCTTGACACTGGCACACACTTCAGAGATTCTCCATATGGCACCTGCACTGACGCCGTCCTAAAAGCATCCCGAGGTTTGAACGATGGCTCGTCTGCCATCTGCACCAGCCAGACGGCTAATGAGATTTTAATTATCTGCCCACTGAACGACGAAAAACGCCCGCTGGAATCTGTGGAGCCGCAAAAGTCTGAGAGACAGGAGATCTGTTCCTCATAAACTGCTGTGTGATAATAAAAGATCATCAAACTTATTAGTAGTAAAAAAAGGTCTGTTGGTTAGTTTATTACTGAGTCTTACACAAGGATTTGTCACTTTTCTCTGTCTGATATCATCATAAACAAAATATTTTGGGGTTTTTTTGGTCATTTTAAGTCTCCAGGCCCGATCTTATGCATCCCAAACACAATGATTGACTGATTGACTGAAGCTCAACATTGGCGAGGGAAATACTGCTTTACTTCCTCCACTGAATTTGCATTGAAGCTGTAGTTACTGTTTATCTTTCAGTTTAAGACCTTGTATGAAAATATGATGCATTGTCGTAGATTTAAACATACAGTTAACATTAGCTCCACCTCGCCATCAATGAAATGTCTTTACACTTTCCCCCCAATGTACCAAAACACAACTTGTCTTACAGTAAGTACTTTCATTCATGTGCTGCAGCCTACTACAGTACGACTTGAAGCTATTTAACTTGAATATTTCCATTTTATACTACTTTTTTTTACTCCTTTTTACTGCACTACATTCATGTGACAGCTTTAGTTACTTTGTAGATTTTTATGATGAATACAAAACATACATAAACTAATAAATTATGGTATATTTGTATAGGTTACATACAGTAATTAAATACTTTTCAATTATTAAACACAATATACATCCTGAAATGGTCCATATTTGATATTTTGATGATAATACTTGTTGTAAGAACTATTTTTTGACACAGTTTTGCTGCTTTTACTCAAATAAAACATCCGAATCCTTCTTCCAGCACCATCTATCTATTGGAAACACTGGGAGAAGTCCCTGCCTGCCTGTCTGTCTGTCTGTCTGTCTGTCTGCAGGGACGACCCACCCACCGGCCGGTGAACTGCATGACTCACATCAGTCAGTGTGCGCTGAGGTGACCTGCCGCTCCACTGCCCTCCGTTACCATAACGCACCAGTGACTCACGTCTAACGCACACACTCCCGCATGCGCCTCACGCACCGCTTTATGAACTGCAGGTTTATACTCACAGATATTTCCTGGTGATGCGGTTCTCTCTCTGTGTGTCTGTGTGTGTTCCTCTTCCAGCTGTCGGAACCCGTTCAGAGGGGAGGAGGCTGTGTTCTGTGGAGGTGTCGGTTCGGTTCTGTTGCCTCTCAGTCAGACATTACGCAGCTTTTGTTCCGCGCTTTTTATCCGCTTTCTGTCGTACATGTGCTACGCAAAACCTCCGGTTGCCTCTCCGCGCTGCCCACAGATTATATACCGCTACAGGCAGCCCGGCCCGCCAGCCAATCAGCAGAGACCTGTTCCCTATCCCCCCTCCCTCCATACCCTCCCCTTTCCCCTCCCTCACCCATGCTCTCGTAACGAACAAAGATCGTGGCTCGAGGATGACGCAACGGGGGGCTGACTAAAACATACATTAAATTACATTTAATTAATATATATATATATATATATATATATATATATATATATATATATATATACGAGATCCAACTGCTAATTAAAAAAATAAAAAAAGAGATCAAACTTTTAATAAAAATGTATTTTTTTTTAATTGAATAAAATTAAATAAATAAATAAATACGAGATCAAACCTTTACTAAATTATTAATTAATAATAAAAAAAGAGAGGAAACTACAGAAGTGTATCGCATTCACTTGAAATTTTATTTTTTGTTTTGTTTTTCGGAGTAATTATTTGATTTTTTCAGATTAATTTATTTTTATAGTTTGGTCTTTTAGTAATTTTTTTTCTGATTTTCTGAAAAAAAACTACTACGAAAAACATGGGGGGAAATTACCACGTAAAACAGAAAAAAACTACACCGTAAAACAGGAAAAGAATTACTCAGAAAAACAGGGGAAAAAAATTAGTCAGAAAAACAGTTTTTTTTTTTCAAGTGAATGCAATGTGCTTCCGTAGAAAACTGATAATAAAAATAGTAAAAAAAAAAAACAAACAAATCTAACTAAATGAATAAATAAATACGAGGTCAAATCTATATAAATACATTTTTAAAAACAGATCAAACTGTATTTATAATAATATAAATTTTACTATTAAAAGAAAGTTGTACCTTTTGTGGTATACGTATTTAGGTCATGCCCACATTATTGTATGATGTGTATGACAATGTGAGGATAGATCCCTCACAATGTGAGGGTAGATCCCTCACATTGTTATATTTTAAACTAATTCTATATTCACAATTATATTTATAAACAAAAAGCCAAACTCATCAGAGCTCAATGTCCATATTAGACAATACATTTATTCTAAATCTGAATGTAGAAACAATGATTGTTCAACGATTGTAAGCTTGACACAGTATTTATTAAAGGTTTTATTATGTATGGTTTATTTTAACATTACTTTTAACCCCCGTGTGATTTGTAGTCCTATTTGTGATTATAAACTTAAGCTCAAGTTTAAATTCAGCATTAAAGAAAGAGAGAGATCCAACAGAGTCAGAGTTGAGAGCGAGTACAACCTAAAAACAACAAAAGGAATCAGAGCCTCTTACATAACTCTCATGCAGGTGGAAGTACTGTACTTACAATGGAGGAACTTTTACTTCTGCTCTACTATTTCTAAAAACTAAATTCTACATTTTACTCATTTATTTTATAGTTGTGGTTACTTTGCAGATTAAGATTAGTTATAAACCATATAATTAACTATTATATATATATATATATATATATATATATATATATATATATACCTAGCCATAGATATGTTAAAATAAGCCCCACCTTTAACAGGTGCAACATTAAATTAAAGCTTACATATAAATGCATCAATAATTGGAATTGAATTACATAATAGGCCGATATATTACTCTGAAATGTGCCATTCTGCATAATGAGTACTTTTACTTTTAGTTTTACTTGTAACAGAGTATGTGTACACTGTGGTATAATAGTATAACCTCCGTCAATAGGCAAATTTTTTGGTGGGGGAAGTCCGATAGGTGTGACTGGAAAAACAAACAAAAGAAAGGTAGGTTAGAGGCATCAGTTCAACTCGTCGGTGTGAAAACATCAATCAACTTTAAGTCATGACATGTATATTTTGGAGTTGATGAACACCCTCCAACATTATTTGCTCCATCACTAGGATCCAAAAACAAACAAACGGGTCTGTTCAGTTCACTAACTGTCATCCACACAGACGACTTCCTCCAATACGGCTGCTGGAGGTGTGTTACATAATTTAACAGCACATTCATGACCGTGCATTTCTGTGTTAGGTAACGTGCTGCAAAGTCATGTAGCAGTAATTAACCTTTTTCATTATGATCCTTTTTATATACAGTAATAAACGTGTGTAATTAGTCATTATAGTGTAACAACATGATTACTATGACTTATGTTAGCTGAGCTGGCTTAAACCAGTGGTTCCCAACCTTTTTCCTAAAGGAAACCCTTTCCTATCACTGACGACCCCTGACTAACACTTATTTTATGGATAGTTTGGATTTGGATGATTTTTGAGCAGATTATTTTCTGTAAATACTGAATCAGAGATGAGTTTTCCTAATCATTTTAGTAAACTTTTTTATATAATTCTCTCTCTTTTCCCTCCCACACAATTGTTCTATTGATTTTATTCACAGAAATGAATGAATTGCTTACATAAAGGCCTAATGTGTACATTTTCAAACTTTTCTCACACCTTTTATATCAAGAAGGCCTCAGAAATACAATGTCCTTTTTTATTTATTTTGGTGCCAGTGGCAGTGTCTGGAAATATAAGCAGAGTGGGAGCTCTTGTTTTTTCCCCTCTCTCTGATGGTCAGACTGTCCCTGAGGCAGAGTCGTGTATAATAAGAGTTGGGTCAACTTTCTAGAAACCTCTTTCTCTTAATGTTATTTAAGCTGAAAGTTTGTCCAGTTATATTTTGATGTCTTTACGGACAATTTCAACCAATGCAAGCGGCTCGGCTCTACAGAAAATGTCTGACTGTCAACCACTTTGGTCCAGACTGAAATATCTCAACTGTGGCGACCAGGGAAATGTCTCAACATCTAACTATTGGATTAACTGCTTTGAAACGTACAGATATTTCATGTTCCTCTCTGGATGAATTGTTCTTTTGATTCCTTCACTTTTCATCATCAGGTCGACATTTCAGTTTGTCCAATTCTTTGGTTTTTGACCAAATATCTGCTAAATTAACCCCATCAGCCTCAGCTGCACTTTATGTTCAGTGCTAACTAGCAAATGTTAAACATTATTTCTGTCTATTTTTGAACTGAATACTTTTCATCTTCATTTAACATTTTGATTTATTGCCTTATTACGTAGCTTATAATTGTTATAACAGTTTCATATGACTGACAGCTGCATACCCTGTCACAACCCTTGTGTCTCCATGGCTCTGGTTTCTGGCTCTTTCCATCATGATGTAACAGGCTGACGGCTCATCACTTCGGCTGTTCATTGGGTGACATCACCGCAGCCAAATGCAGGGAGCCAATCCGTGATTAGAATACAGGAGACCGTCACAGGCTGTATGTCATGTGAGACCTGACACCCCACCATGATGACATAAACTCCAAGGTTGTGTCAATTTTTCTTTATGAATTCACTCAATGAATTAATGCCATGAAAATATCTGCTATTGGTGGCATTTTGTGGAGATTAAACTAATTTAACTGACAGGAAAAACTGTTGCTTGTATTTATATCCATAAGAGTTTAAACTAACTAGAGTCCAATTGCTTAATTATTTAATAAAAAAAAATAAGATCAGTGACATAGCTGGACATGAAAGTGAGTAATTTCATTGCAATCTCCCAATAAATTCATCTGTCTTCGATATTTCTAATGTGTGGAGTGTCTGACGTGATGATAGCACTAAAAGGAAAAGGTCAGGAGGGTCATCAAACTAATGGTAGTAATAATATATAAACAATAATAATCCTGGTCTAACTTGACCCTTGAAAGTTATTACAGTGGCACGAAACAGCCGTTCACGTGGAGTGTGCACTTGCATGTATTTGATTGGCTGACGCAGGGCCTTGTCAGATGACGTCGCGTTGCAGCAAACGTTGAGACAAGTTAACCAGGTGACCCTCTGTCTCGGCAGGCCTACTGCGTCAGGAGAAGGCTGCGTTGTTGGACACAGTCCAAAATACAGCCGACCCAAACAGAAAGTCAACACTGGCAGAAGCAGGATGTTCAGAGCAGACGCATGTCACAGAGAGTCCTGTGTTAGACACAGGATGCACAGACCTGAGACCTGCAGCAATACAACAGGACCCTGTGTAGATATAATGTAGCTCAAGTTAGAACAGCTGTTCCCTCACATTGGAAGAAGTCAGTTGAGGTGGTTTGGGCAACTTGAGGGCATGTCCCCATGGTGGGGTATAAAGCCACTGCAGGTGGGGTATAAAGCCACTGCAGGTGGGGTATAAAGCCACTGCAGGTGGGGTATAAAGCCACTGCAGGTGGGGTATAGAGCCACTAGGGGAAAAATATGTAGTGGAACAAACATTAATGAATATGATTTATGTTGGGGAAATGAATCTGATGAAATCTGATGCTTTTTCTTTTGCTGACATTTATTTGACTAACATTCAACTTGGATCCTTTTTTATTAGTTTTGGTTCCCCTATCATTCTGAACAATTGCTTAAACATGTGGGATGGGGTGGTGTGAACATTTTCCAGCTTCTGAACAGGGGGCGTGGCAGAAAACTTCTGAGAACTAGCTGCTTCTGGGCAAGTTCAACTCTGGAACTGACCCAGATAATAAGCTCACTGTGACTTGGGTAAGTGGGAAGGGAAAAGTTTGACCTGACAGTGGCGCAGGAGTTCATCAAAGTCTCCCTCAGGGCACAATAAATATCAGCAGAAAGTTTCACAGCAATCCATTAAATAATAGTTGAGATATTTCAGTCTGGAGTCTGGTGGTGGACTGACAGACCGTCATTGTGGTCTGTGGAGGCACGCCACCAGCATGGCTGAAAATATAAAGTGTGAAATAAAGGAACTATTATGAAAAGCATGAGCAGTCTATAAGGCAGTTACGTCTCTGGGAGAGAGAAAAAAAAGACAACTATGCACCTATAGTTGTGTGTATGTTATGCAGATGTGGTGTGGCATGCAGGACTTACATAATATGCAGAGAGTGAGATGGAAATGAACAGAATGTACTGATAGCACGTCGGACTCAGTCAAAACTTCATTTATTGTTGCAGCAGATGACTCTTAAGAAGTTTCAGAAGCTGACTTGACACTGACTCAGGTTGTGTTTTATCTGATATTTCCACCAAAATGTTATAAAAACCTCTGACAATTTGTTGTTGTAGTTTAATGATTCTCCAGTTTTGTGTATTAGGAAATACTACATTATAATTGTATTTATTTTTGTAATATTGTAATGGTAGTGTAAGACTTTGACTCAAGGGCAAATGTGTCTGCATGTGTGTATTTATGTGTGAACAGGACGGTTTGTGTATGTATGAAAAACACATTTAACATTGTATGTTTTTCTCTTTTTTCTTTGTAAAGTCATTCGTAATCACTGATTTCTATAAGTGTGTGTCTTTAAATAAAGTGAACAAGTTATGTAATGATTACTGACAATAATTTGCATATTAGCCTATTATTAAAGGATGAATACATTTTTTAGGTTGAACTGGTTTTTGTTTGTGTGAATCGCTTCGGAATGAAGCTACATATCTGAAGAGCTTTCATAACTGACTGCTGAGTCACTATTGTCACTGCCAGAATCCGTGGCTTTTAGCAGCGGAGCTCCTCGCTGTCAGCTGTGATTGAAGGTTGACAGTGAGTATGTTACTATTAAAAGACCATCAAAGCGACATAAACAATCATAATCGGATAAGCCGTAAGTAAGTCTCAAATAATGGGCTGCTGAGCTAATAACCTCATTGTGCTGTGTTTGTCTAAACTAGTTTTGTATTGAACTGAACGTGATACCCTGGAATAGCAGAACGTACGAATGAACAATGGTACGACTACAAATCTGAATGTGATCTCATTCAAATAAGCATAGAAATTACTGATCACAAGGTTTAATGAGTAAGTATAAATTAATATAGGAAAAAGCAGCCCAAACACGAGAGAGTGTATTTAAACAAACATATAAACTGGTTTGGACGAGGAAAGTTCTGAAGGTGTGTTAATTGGTTTGGGGTTTTGGAATGTGACAGTGTTTCAGTTGAAACATTCAAGTGCTGCAAATGGAGTAGAAACCACAACTATCAGATAAAATGACAGACATGCAAACAACAGGAATAGAAAACAGATGGAAAAATGTATGAATGTCTTTTTGTTAAATTTTTAGTTCACAGCATTTGGACAGAAATCCAGTGTTTTTCCAAAAATAAGTTATATCAAACCAAAAAAAAAGGCATATTTACTGTGGTTGTAGAAGCTTGTGTTGACAGAAGTTGAACCAGTTTGTCAGGTCTCACCTGTCAACCTCACCGCTGCTGTCTAACTTTATAGTTGAGATACGTTATTTTCACAGAGCAACAAATAAATAAATGTCTGTATATGAGTATCAGTGCAGCTCAGGAACAACTGAAAGTCCAAGCACTACAGCCTAAAAACAGTTCCTAAAAACAGGAGTTTGCTTGTTGTGGCCTAAAATGCCTAATTTCACAGAAGCTTTTCTGAAATATTGCAATGAATTTTGGGCATTTTCTTGCAATGAAACTGGCAGAGAAAGTAAAAACTGCAAAAAATAATTGTAGTTTTGTGTGTATGTCTGATTCATTAAAAAATTAGGGCAATGTCTTCCACTGGAAATTAAATCACTAGTAGTTTGGTGACGTATGGCTCAGTGTTGTACGCAGGGGACTTGCTATGATTGGTCAAATTTGCAGAGAAGTTGCGGTGACTGGACAAAATTGCGACGTCGCGCAGAATTCACAGGGATTGGTAGAATTTGCATTAATTGTTGAGATTGCAACTTGTTGACTGAAAAACAAAGACCCATCTATATAACAGCAATGTCAAGCCCTTCCTAATCTACACTTCTGAATGTTGGCGGGGAACCCAAAGCTGGTTCAACAACGGATGCATCCCGGGACTAACAAGATCATTAAAAACGAAAAAGCAAGAACATTACTGAAACCATTGACATAACGCAGGGCTGACTGCAAATGGAGGCAGATCTCATACCAAAGAAAACCTGGAAGATCAGAAATGACCCAGTGGGAGCCAAACTGTGTGACGGGACGAGCTAGCCATGGGGGGAAGCTCAACATGGCAACGGAGAACAAAGGAGGGAGCTCATTGTGGCAAACAAAAGAATAAAAACCTTAAAGCGAAACCAAATAAAGCACCGTGAATGCTTTGCAGATCCTTTCATTATAAACTTTTTCTTCTTCATGAAAACATTCAGTAGCATTATGATTCCTACAAAACGTAATGCCAATCAGTTTAACATTGATATTATTATGAACATTATTTTTAGGGCTGCAAGAGTCTATCACTACGTCTAGGATGCCCACCTAGCTTCTTTAACATCTTTTGTAACATCACACTGCAGTTTAAATGTTTAAAGCAAGTTAAAACCAGTAATGTTAAACAAAGCTGCAGCCTTTTAATTCTTTATGATGGATGAATTGGTAACATCTATTCACTGTAGAACCTTTAATCCCTGATACGCTTCAAAAAAATACCTCCACTTTCATCGGACAGGGCACCTAATACCTAAAGGAAATCAGTTTTGGGTTTGAAATAAACTGCTACAACGGCTTTTGGTGTGAAAGCAGAGTGGCCTGAGTCTAAAGATGCCTTTGGGAAACCCAACACTGGTCTGTGAGTCACAGTATAATCCTGTCCAGGAAGCTTTCCTTTGTCTGTGTGTGAGTGTTTGAGCGCAGACGTCACCGGGATCTGCTTTCAACAGCAGAGATCACAGGCAGAGGATGAACAGATCAGAGCAAGACAAAAGGGCCTATGAAGGGTTAAAAGTACACAAAGCATTCCTCCTCTGTTTTTTCCAGGAACGGAGAGAATATGTGAACAAGACAGAGACACAGTGAGTTTTAAACTTCACACAGCGCAAAGCAAACAGCAGCGGATGAGACGTCAGCCACATCAACAGGACTCAAGATTCAACACTGGATATAACCTTCAAATTACTATATCCTGCAAGTACACTGAGAGTATAGACTCGATTCCCTAAATAAAATAGAATATAAAATGTGTTAAAGCTACATTTCCCCCAAAATTTCTCTTTCCTCTACCACCAGTTTCAGTCAAGCCTCGATGTCGAAGTTTCAGCACAGCATCTGTGCAAAGTTGCCATTGAATTCCCACAGTAAGAAAGAAATTCTGTGATTAATTGTCTCTGAAGTTACGATGAGATTCGATGTCTGTCATGTCTGTAACGCATCTTTAAACCATTCACAACACATCATGCATGACGAACAGCCACCCGGGGCAGTGACTGTGTGCAGTATTATCACAGAAGTATCTAGAAACCGACGTTACAGCCAGAAGTACTGACGGATGGATACATTGTTCAAGTCAAGAAATAAATCCAAACGTATTTCTAAATTTCTGTTTGTGTACGATTAAACAAACATGATATAACGTGTTAATTAGTGAGCGTTAGAGGGGTTAGTATGTGTGTTTCTGAACTTTGGACAGGCTCACTGGTCCCCCCTTCTTCCAGTCTTTATGCTAAGCTATAGATTAATGACGTCAGCTCTGTACACACAAACATGAGCAGGATATTATCTAGTTTCTCAAAATGTCAAACTGTTCCTTCAAGATTCATAATATATAAGTTCAGTTGACCTCAGTCGTGTTGGTGAGACTCTACCTGCTCGCCCTGTAGGACCAGAATAAATGCAGGCTTTAGGAACGTGTGGGAATTAACACTAGACCCTGTTAGTGACCCCCCACTCCCTCCCCTTCTCTCTCTCCAGTCTGGTTCACTCCTTCCTATGGACTGTTGTTGTTGTCAATTGGATTAAAATATTACATAAATAAGATTATGTAATACTTTGTCTTTGTGCAGAGAGGCTGACTGACTGGCGGTGATGTAACACTTCGCTGGAACGGCATTATGGAGACAGCTGGGATTATCAGACACAACCCCCCGGTGCCTTGCTCAGCAGAACTCAACAGAGCTGACGGGCAGAATGGACACAGCTAATGGTAGAGATGAAGCGACCTACGAGGACGACTGAGGAAGCTAAGAAGAGAAAAAGAGAGAGAAGCCACCAGACAACAGCAAATCTGAGACTTTTAGTCTTTGGTGAGAGCTTTGTGAAATAAAAGGCTTGCTATGTCTTGTGTTGTTGCACTTGCTTGATGTTTTGCTGCATTAGACTCGCAGGATTTTCATTGTAAGTCATTTATAACAAATGTACATCTGTCCACATTTACGACAGCAGTATTGCAACTCGAACTTCTCAGATCGAAACAAATACCAAAGATGTTGCTGTAATATCCTCCATGAGCTGTGTGTCACTGCTACAACTGGTGACCGTGTTGGTACGTGGGCCAAATAAACGTGCCAAACCCGATTTACAGATGCAAACTTGATACAAAAAAAACCCATACTTTTACTCCCCATGGTTCAGGTTGTTTCAGTTTAAAGCTCAGCAGGTTCCAGTTGGTTGGCTGTGACTCAGAAGATGGAGATGGACAGCTTGTTGATGTCTTTGTCAGCCGCCTCCATTTACCTGCAAATTTAATTGACATGAAGGAATGTGAAACCTCTGCCGGCATGTAGTTATAGCTCATTCATTAGGGTAATTACATAACCCATAATCTACCATGCACCAGTTAGCTTTGTCCATCTCCATCTTCTTGACGACCGTGAGATGACAAGATGGATGATTAATTCACGTCTGTGTTTGTTAAAGGTGGGTTCAGTCATTCTGGTCAGTGTAGAGGTTGATTCTCAGTCCCAGGTGAAATACTTTGGCAATCCAAAGCGTCAGTGTTTGGCAATGAGACTCAACAATCTATCAAACAGAAATATAATAATTATAATTTGTGGTTTTACAAATATTTATTGACTTAGAGTTGGTGCGGTTGCCAGGCAACCAGCTGGTTGGTGGATAAACTGTTCTCTTTTTTTCTGTCTCTCCTTCTTCTCGACTGTTCTCGCTAACAGCTGTGGCGCGCTGTTCATCCACAGCTCGTCGTCCTATTTCGGTGCAGCGACTGTGTGCGGCTTCCTGAAATGATGCCAGGTTTGGTACCAACATGCCTATAACTATTTTTGGCAACCCGCGCTCTAGCTCGAGGCGCTGCATAGAACGCGCTGGACAAACAAACTAGATGCAGTGTGTGAATGAAGGGGCTTTAGAGATAGGTGTGTTTTTGAACTTTAGACAGAGTCAGGCTACCTGTTTCCCCCCCTCTTTTAGCTCAGCTCACCACATCCTGACTCCAGCTTTGTACTTAGCACGCAGGCCAGAGACTGATATGCATCTTCTCATCTCACAAGTGCAACATGCTGTTCATCAGTGTTATAGATAAGTGGTGATTAAATGCATTTATTCCCAGTTTACTGCCAGTATGTACCACGTTTTGCAACTTTCTGGTGACAAATCTTTAAACATGTGACATTACAGGGTGATGAGGAGAACCTGAATGCACCGTTTCTTGTATTTTCTCAAGCTTTAATAGGTAGTTTAGGTCACATTTGCTGACACCCTGACTAGAACCTGACAGTAGTGCATGAGCCAGATAATCTGGAGAAACAATCATGTTTCTCTGGCTCCTCCTCCTACTGCTCCTAATGGCATTTGTAAGAATCCACTAAGCCTGAACGATCAACAACCAATCAGAGCCAAGAGACATAATTGACTGTAAGTCTCATTCCCAGGTCGTCAAATACTGATGCTTATGACGTAGTAATGAGACTCAACAACTATCTCCAAACCACCAACCCAAAGCTTTGGTGCTTCTGTATGACACAGACAAACAGCAACGAGAGCATTGGCTCTTTAGATATAGGCTAGTTATTCTCAATGTCTGTCTGGATTTTAGTTCATGCTGCTATTTTATTGGACCACACAACACAAACATCAGCTCATTTGTATAGAATATAGAGATATAGAACAAAAAGTATAGAGAATGCTGATAAATTAAAATGTTATAAATGGCCTACAGAAGAGTGTGTGTGTGTGTGTGTGTGTGTGTGTGTGTGTGTGTGTGTGTGTGTGTGTGTGTGTGTGTCCATTACATATTGCTTATAATGCTTTACTTTTTCAACTGTAAGTGGGTCATCATCAAACACACTAAATATCTTTAGTTAAAAAAGGAAAATGTAAATCACATCGGAATAAATAACTTACAATATAAACACAGACAAGCAACGTTAAGGGCTAATTTGTTCAAGGATAATGTTCAAATGTGCAAATATATATATATATATATATATATATATATATATATATACACACACACATATAAAAAACCTGGAGACATAGGAACATATGTAAATGTTTCTCCTCCTACCAATTCATTTATTTCCACTGAAAGTAAAGAACATCCTGCTTCGTAGGAAAAAGAGAGTTCCCCTGCTTATTATTCTCATGTGACTCTGACTCAACTGATTCTTCCTTTTAAATGTCACTCTTTCACCTCATCTTTAAACCTCATTTCCCTCTTATTGTCCCAATGTATCTCTTATCTCTGTGGTAAATTTCCCTCCTTAACCCGGCTGTGTCTTCTATCTCTCTGCTCTGTCCATTTCTGACACATTAACAATTCTGAGTCTAAAGTCTGTTTTACTCTGATAGAGTGCAGTTAGTCATTAAGACGTTATTTTCTTGTATTCTTCCATTCAAGGACACAACTGTTTTTGTTACAGTCTCATTAACATTGAATATTCACTGCCAACAACATGTGAATGGATTATTCTTTCATTATGGTAACTAAAAAGTTCCCAGCTGCAATCTCTGAGTTCGGTTAATGAGTTCATGAAACTGGCTAACTTCTCTTTCACTCCCTGAAATTAATATAAGGTCATGACCTTTTTTTTCTGCAATGTAAAACACATACAACAATAATGTGGGTCTAGTTGACTGAATGTGCCCATAACACCGATCTCTGAGCATGTTTGCATAGATGTTTTGCATCTTTACAGATTTCCAGCCTGATGGTGCAGATGACTTCTGCAAGCTTTAGTGGCAAATTTAGATTTATCTCTCAGATCTGGTTCACATTATCTTTATAATGTGAACCATATCAGATTCCAGTGTGATCAGGTCCTGAAGTGACCCACATCACGAACGTATATATCTAGAGTAAAAGTCAGTTGAATTCTGATCTGACAGTTCACACGTCTCATCGCAGACCTGTATCTGATTTGGACCACATATGAAACTGGTGAAGTGAAGAAATCAGATTCTCTTTGACGAAAAAAATCAAGTCATAATGACTCGACTATTCTCCTTTGAGGTGACGGACGGAGGCAGATTAGGTAGGTGAATGTTTGGTGTTTAAGCTTTCTTTGTTTAAATCTATTCGTCTGCATGTATGTTTCATCCCCACCTGGTAACCTGCCAGACTGCTCTTTTGTCTCCACTTGTTTAAATCTTTGTTTGCTCCAAACCCAGACAGGAAGCCAATAGTGCCACTGACAGTGTTGCCAAGGGAAAGATTTATAAACACCTCTGTTACCAAGGCTGCAGGTGCTCAAGGTAAAATCTGTCCCTGACTGTCGGCCCATTATGTTGGACCACAGTTCTCTTTTCTATACACCAATACAACATAGAATAAAAAGCATTATCCTATAATGGATTTGTTAAATACAATCCAGAAACATCTCACTTTGGTTATAACATTAAGATTCAAGCATGGTGAGACTTTGGTATGTTGTTTAAAAGTTGTTTTTACATGATTTAAGGTTTTTATTGCAAACATAATATTGTATTCTGCATTATAAAGTTTAGCATAATTACACTGACTAATTTAAATAATAAATAGTTCACACATACCAAGGTAAAAATATTACTAAGTTTGGCAAAATTTTAAGCGAGAACTGGTACTAAATGAAGAGCCGTTTGGGAGCCGAAAGAGGAATTCCCATCACAAATAATTTCCAAGATTTCACTGGCTGGTCTTAGGGAGGCTCTGCAATGATTGATTATGTGTTGGTTTTCCCAAAATATGGAGGAATAAATAATCTTGTTGTCATGTGCAATGATGACTTATATATAAACCTGGACAACCTCCTAATCAATTAGTAAGAATCTCCAACATCTAAAGCCTAAAGTTTGAAATGGAAGTGAACATATTCTTCATAGTTATCATCAGGGTAACCAGGTGTCCAAGTTCATGTGTTTATTGAGACAATGTCCCACATATTGATTGACTCTAGTTTTCCAAAGTCAGCCCTGCAAGTCATACGCTTTTATAAAGTCTGGTTTTATCCAGTGGCTGTGAAGAAAGCAGGGAAGGCGCTGTGTTTGATGTCAGTCAAAGTGCAGATTAACCTTTGTTACACTACGCCCAACATGGAAAACTGCAAGTCACCACAAAGTCAGAAGCTATGCTGATATAAGGAATCTGCCAAATATGAAACGGAAGAAAGGGAAATACAGATACAATAAAGACTGAGAAACTGCTTATAACTGGGTGAATCCGGTGGAAGCCGACTATCGCAGACTATTGCAAAAGACCATACGAGCTTTGGAACTTCAGCTTCCTTTTGCTTTTCTATATTTACTTAGTGTGGGAACTGGGGAAGTTGCATTCAAGTCCTTCACATGCTAAAGGTCTAACTTGTAATCTAGATAGTTGTGGCTAAATCAACCAGAGGGAAAAGCATAGAGATGTTCTAAGCTACGGGGCACAACAGAAATGTTTATTTTTTAGGTTCGGTAGACATTATATCAACCTTTTGGACTACCTCACAGCGTTGGTAATGTGTCCCACACACAAACATACTCTATCTCCCAAATTTGAGTTTGTTGAGACGTCCCAAATTTGAGTTTTGAAAGATCCTGCTAATAAACAAACAAGAAAACTGGACTGAAAACAACCGCCCTGGGGACAGTAACACAACCGCTATCAACACTGCTTCTATATATACAACTACTGCAAATACTGGTGTCAAATGTCCTTTGAGGAAACTGGAAAATTAAGTGGTGTACATATGAGGACCCTAATGCAAGGATCAGTTCACATTACAAAAGACATATTTTCTGACTTACCTCTGAAGAGCAGATTGTTTCTGTTTTATTTGTCCAGGTTTTGAGTTATTTGCCTCCAGAAAATAGAAAATCTGCCTCCATCCCAACAGAAACTGGAAACTGGGGGAAACAGTTAACGTAGCTTTGTCAAATTATAACAAAATCCTCCTACCAGCTCACTAATTATCACTTTATATCCAGTTGGTTTAATATATTCTAAAAACAACTATAGGTATGCCATTTTACAAGGGGTAAACTGTACCAGAGTATTTCTTGTCTGAGACCAGTAACTTCCTGGACTTCCCTCCTTTTCAGAGGCAAGAAATTGTTTCCAGAATAATTTCCTAATGCTAAGCTAACTTACCTGGCTGCTCACGGTATCTTCCCCATACAGATATGAGAGTTGTATCAATCCTCTCATCTGAATCAGTGCAGTAAGGGAGTGTTGGTTCAGGCAGTGGTTCTCAAACTTTTCTCATCAATGCAACCACTTTGAAATAGTTTCCTGTCAAGTCTTCCCTGACCAGTGCAGAGGTACACTAGTGCACCATGAGTGTCTTCATTAATAATAACAAAAACCTTGTAACTGGAAACCTTTAATGCTTTGGGAAGGTTGCAGATCGTTGAGGAAAAATTCCATTCAATATATTCATGTCTGTATTTGACGATCTGGGAATGAGAACGGGCTGTAAAACTCTCAAAAAATGCCCTATCTGCAGCCACTGTACAGGTTGTCCCTTCTGGGCTACTGTAGAAATATGGCAGACTCCATGGAAGTCAAACTGCAGCGATTCCAATATTGAGGTGATTATACATTAATGAAAACATACCTATGAATATTATATTACATTTCTGCCAATAGATCGTCCTAAATGTTTCACACTGGACCTTTAAACCCTTTTTTAAATCCCAGACAGTAGAAACACTGGCTTAAAGAACCGGTGAGGCTTATTACACAACTCTGGAAGCTTATCGCAGTAGCAACCATTTTATCTTTCATCTCGGCGAATCCCGAGATAAAAAGCAGAAATACAGCATTCACGTCACAGAGTAGCCCGCCAGGAATGTGCCCTTGATTGGCCATTGCAGCAGCTTTCCAGATGACATCCCGCTGCAGACAACGTAGAGCAACTTTTTTACGTGAGGTCCCCTGTGATCTTTTCCATGCAGTTGGTCTGAACGCAACCCTCACGCAGCTCTTTGAAGAAGTGAGGACCAGACGAAATGTCCTCATTCACAACTTTAACTGGTTCTCACAAAGACAGAAGTACACACACACACACACACACACACACACACACACACAGCTCACATGGGCATGTCTAGACATGTCCCTCGCATGTTTCGCTGTGTGACCCTGTGACCCTTTGTCAATGAGCAGACCTCACCAGGTCGCACATACACACACACACACACAGGATACTTCCCTAATCCCTCAGTCTGCTGAACTTGCTAACCCCCAGATCTCCAACAAAGCTCGAACTCAAACTAACTTCAATAGAACAGAGTTTGTCTTTATGTTTTTTGTTCCTCTGCCTTCATCATTTGTCATTTACGTTCCCTGAATCTGCTCCTTCTTTTTATAGTGGATTTTATTTGTTCCACAACTTTTTAATACAAGCCGGAGTCCTTGTCTGCAGATTTTAGAAACTCTTATTTATGGTCACTTCTGTTGCTTCTTACAGAACACACACTGAAACTTGTTGCTCTGTTTTCCTCAGTATAAGCCTCTTTGTAGCATTCATGGATTTACTTTAATTAGACCTCATGTTTGATTCTGTTCTGGGCGGCTTCAGGGGGAATTACGGGGTCAGTTAGGTTGCTTTTGAGTACACAAAGTTTTAAAACGGACGTGTTATTTAATTACAATTAATTTAATGCGCATGTATGTAATGCATGTCTCATTTAAGGACCTTGGGTTGTTTTTTCTTTTGCTTCTTTTGATGTAGATCAGTGGTTCCCAACCTGGGGGTCGGCAAGGATTCACAGGGGCTCACAATGCCTTGATTTTAAGGGGTGTAAGAAAAGTTTAGGCCTATATCTCAGCATTTTGTTCATTTTTGTGAAGAAAACCAAATTAGATTAGTATTTTTAAGGTTTAAATTATTATTTAAGATCTAAACTTTGAAGATCTGAACACAAGTTATATTCACAGAGCCTGAAGTCTCTGCCCAACTGCCTCGTCTGGCATTAGAAAAGAAAAACAACCAAAGAGCTAATAGAAAAATGGCCAAGTGTCAGGGAGAAGAAAACACTGAATTTGTCAAAAATGAAAGCTTTTAAGTGTGTATGATTGTTAAAAACATAATACAGAGAGAGAATTGTATAAAAAGTTCCCTAAAATGATCAGGAAAACTCGACTCTGATGCTCACAGAACAGTTTCAGTCATTTATTATTATTTTCTCTATTTCTCTAACCCTGATTTATTCTCCACAATAACACAACAGTTATAAATCCATCCATCCACTGGAGGATGTGACACAGTAATAAATGATTCATCCGTGAAAGCCGAGGTCAAGGCCAAGAAGAAACACAATCCCCATGTTTACAACCAGAGAGCTACTGAGTCACTGCTGCTTTAAAATAAACATTACAACAACATCAGGACCACAACTACAACACTACAACTATAACTACCAGTACTACAAACACTTATACTCCCTCCACAGCTACAACTGCTGCAGTGTGCTGCTAAGTGTAACTACCACTAATAAGTTAATACTTCTACCTCAACTACTGCCGCTAATTAAAATAAAGATAGTGCTACTTGGTTTTTATGACTCTCTTTGAGCTCTTTGTAACATATTTAAAGCTGCATAAATGATGTTTTTGCAACCTGAGGGCTGCAGAACAAGATGTAAAAACAACCTCATGAGTACCGGCATTCCACAAAGACCTCTGATTGGCTAGCGTTTGTTGGCTTCATCGGTTTAGTTGGTTAGGTTGGGCAATTAGGCACATTAGTGGAGGAATATGGGTGCATCTCTGTGAAAACACATGGCTAGCGTAATGCTGAAAATGTCCATGTTAAAATGGATAAAAAAACGGCAGAAGTTTTAGGATTAGAGTAATGTTCTTGCGTCTCTGTGTTTGCCTAATTTCATGGCGATCCATCCAATAGCTGTTGAGTTTTTAGTCTTTTAGAGGAGTCTTTCGCTGTAGAGTGGCTAAAATATTGATTGGCACAGCTTTCAATTAAACTCTGATTTATTTTTTGTTAGGGTTAGGTTGTTAACTGTTTTCATAATTCACAGAATGGCAGCAAACACGAGTATCTGATAAACTGTGTAACTTTGCAGTGGCTGATTAAAGTAAACTGTGGGCTTCGACACAATGTATAAAAAAGGGAACCATAAAACTTAAAGATTGAAAATTGAAATTGGTTAAACGTAAGTTCAATATTGGTTCAGAAGCTTTTAAACGCTCAAAACAAGTAAAGAAAGATTCAAACTCTGTGCAGCTTCAGTTGGAAGTACCAGCTGGTAATAATTCTGCTGCTAGCTGTAGATGAATGAGCCTTATCGTATAATAAACTGGGGTGTGTGTGTGTGTGTGTGTGTGTCTGTGTGTGTGTCTGTGTGTGTGTGTAAATCCTGTGTTTGCATACCTCCATGGTTAGTCAGGTCCAATAGCCACTTATCCTTATCTGTACAGTAAATAATATCGTCACATGACAGGACTAGAACAGAAGTTACTTCCTGTAATAAAGTCACGGTCAACAATATTTGGAGTGTATCTCACGACTGTATGTGAAGTTATTATTTTGAACAACAGTTTATGACTTGTAATCAAAATGTCACCAGTTTGAGAACTCTTAAAGAACATAAATACAGATAGAGGCTAAATAAAACCTCCCCAAAACGTGACCAACGTGTGCTGTTTGTATTTATAATTAAAGCCTCTTAAACTTTTCCACAGTCAGTTATCAGTGAGTCGTTTTGATCTAAAAAGATAACGGAGTCAATAAGGTTTAAATTTTAGACATTTTTACAATCGAGGGCAATAAAATATTTCACCATGGTGTTGATGGTGTTATAAAAATATCTAACAAAGGCGAAATGATTAAGTCATTGTGACATGGCAATGCAGTTGTTGTTTTTTTTATAATTTATATGAATTATATAATATGAATATATTTTAACTCTATTTTAACTGGTGCATCCAATAATTTTTTTAGATTTGATCAGCTGCTGAATCAGCTAAAAAGCTAAACTCACATAAGCCTAGTTCCAATATCCCCAATATTAAACACTAGCAGTGTTTACTAGCTCACTGGTGACATATAGATTCATGTCTGGGAGGGTTTAGTGCTTATTGGAACTGGGCCATTACTGTATCATTTTCACAGCTTCTTTTTGCGTAGTATTTGTGTCTTCTAATGGCTGAAATACATGGGACACGGACATGACGCATAGGGCAGAGTGGGGTTTTTTTTAGCTGATACACAGACTGTTTTGATATTGTGTGGTTGTGTGCAAGCTCCACTGTGTGCATATTGTGTTGTGCCAAGTGATAATGCAGCTGGTTATCCAGTTAGAAGGTTAAATTAATTTCTTTTCACAGATATAAGTCACAAAGAGTTTTATAGAGGCAATATACAGAAATCAAAAAGGAAGGTAAAACACATCATTAAAAAACAAATAAAAACACAATACATACACAAATACATAAAATGCAAACCTTGTGCATACAGGTAACCCAAATGTCTGAACAGGTATGTCTTTAGTCCTTTTGAAAGAACCTACAGAATCCACAGGCCATAGGGGAAAGGGCAGGGGCGTGAGACCGACAGCAGGTTTAACACATTTAATCTAAGGAAGCGAGTTAATGAGTAAGGGTGCAGTAGGTCAGTTACATATTCTGCATATACGAGCCTGACTGTGCAAAGCTCTGTAAGTAAGAGTGAGATGTTTAAACTGCATCATATATGCAACAGGGAGCCAGTGAAGAGATCTAAGTATAGGGGTAATGTGAGACTGTCTATTCGATCTACTGTAGTAGTCGTGCAACAGCATTCAGTATGCATGTATAAGCATCTCTAACTCAACAGGTGAAACTACAGATCTCAGGTTGTTCATATTTATTAGGAGGAAAAATACGATCTGGTTTGAATATTCAGGATTTGGAAGTGTAGGTTAAACGTATTAACTGGCACTGAATTAATTAACTGGATCTCATTTTAACTACAGGATCATAGATACACATTGATTTATTTTAATGTGAAATGTAAGAACACCCACAAGGTTTCTCTGCTGCATCCCATTTCCCCTACAATGAGGTATTCATTTGTATCATTTTTAAACAGATAGTACCCATCTTTTACACAGTTCTATGTAGTTTTTACTTTTTACGTACTGAAAAATAAACATATCAGATACCGTGTAAAGCCGCGTCCATGCCTCACATATTTTGGCCGTAAGTTGATTTTCATCAACATAGTTCATCAGAGGGTCCTTCACAACACAACAACACAAAGTTGACACACCTCTGGTCTCTCTGTTTTGTGGTGCAGGTGTGGTAAAGCTAACACACACTGATGCTGCCATGATCTTGGCATCTTTTTTCTACTTCAGGTCCCTTCATTGTTTCCAAGAGCTGTGTGTGACTGCTGCTGCTCCAACTGCCAAACTACAACACTGTAACTGCCTTGCCATTGTGACATCCGCCGGCATGCACCTGTTTCTCTCACAGTGGTCCCGCTGTGTCTGTCTGCTGTTTGGTGCTGAACAGGTAGAGCATACAGAGTGGTTTTAGAGCTTTTTCACATAAGTTGTGTCTGGACAGCTGAACAATGAGCTAAAACTCGCTGTAAAGCTCCATAAAGCGGAGAGCAGAAGATTCTTTATAGGTTCATCATCAACACATTGTCACATTGTTCTCACATTGTATACATAAAATATCAATTATAGCTGCTTTAGGTTGATCTAAATGTTCAGTAAAAGCCTGACCTATAAAACCCAAAGCTGTGTGTGTGTATCTGTGTGTGTATCTGTGTGTCTTGAGGTAAGTAGGGCCTGTAAAAAAAAATGTGGCACTGGGAGTCCAGAATAAATTCCAGTCCAGACAATAAAGTGAACAAACCTGATGAATGAATGATGGATAAGCTCACACACACACACACACACACACACACACACACACACACACACACACACACACACACACACACACACACACACACTGCATAGCACAGTGTAGTTAAGTGGGTGACCTGGATACCACTCTCATGTGAGGAGACGTGCTAACGGCCATCTCTTTTCTTCTTTCAATGTCTTTATGCTCCTCTGCTCCAGTCTCCTTTCAGTTTTTTAGCTCTCTCTCTCTTCCTCAGATGTCCATGTAGTGTATTGTAGTGTTGTATGTAGTGAGGGCCAAATCTGCACCTCTTCTGTAGCTTATGTTAATCTCTTAATGCTCCTTTCTGCCTGAGGTCAAGCAGCAGATGTTAAGTGATAATATGGCCAAATTTTTGGGTGAGCTAAATATGCAAACTTCGTCTTAACATGTCTGTAACAGAGGTCGAGAGGCAGTTTACACTCTGTGCAGGTCCCCAGTCAATCACAGGGCTGACACATACACACAGACAACAGAGAAAAGCCTTCAATGCCGTTCTCTGCTCTTCTTTTAATGAAGAAATACTTTCCAGTACACTTTCTTATATAACTGATGCTAGCAGCATCTATGCTAAAGTCTTTAGTAACTGCCATTGTTGTTTTCTTTTCCTCCACATTGTCACACACACCTGTAGCTCATACCATCCCCTCTCTCTCTCCTCTCTTTCCTTTCTCTTCTACTGACACTATCCATTAAAGGAAATAAATCAAAAATTGGAGAGTCAGGAGAACACCACATTGTTCCTTTTGGATTATAAAATAATGATGAAATGAAAATTAAAAAGGGAACATCAGTGGGCTCTTACATTGTAAGAAACAGTTCGTCGTCCTCCAGGTGTTTCAGAGCAGAAGGTTACTAACACAGTATACCTGATTCCATGACTAAAACAGTGTTTACTGGAAAAACTGACCTGCGCTGGAGGGGAGGGTGCGAACTAAAAGGTTCAAAGGTAACCAGGTCATTCACTTTACAACACAGAGGTGTAAATGTCTGTGTGTGCTGCTGTACCGCTTTCCTTTTGAGGACCAGTTTGTTTTGAGGGTTAAAGTTAGATTGATCGTTGTGAAGGTTAAAGTCTTATTATGCTTGAAATGAATCAGGTCGTATGCATGTCATTCCACCACGTCTGACGGTAAAAAATCACCAGTTCTAAAAGACCAGAGTGTGTCTGATTCAGTCGCATCTAGTAGTGAAGTTTTAGTTTGAACATAATTGAACATCGTTGACAATCTGGGAATGGTTTGTCCGTTCTGGGCTACTGTAGAAACATGATGGTTCAACATGGTGGACTCAATGAAATAAAAATGGCTTTAAGGTTAACAAAAACACAATGATTAAAACATACCTATCAATATTATATATTTTTGCCAATTGATCCTCCATGTCATGGCGTCGTTCAGTCTGCATCCCACTTCCCAGAGCCGGATAATAATCCAGTCGGAGAATCAGCCCAGGCCGATCTCCATCGCCTCTCGCACCTACTGAATGTTGTGTACAAGCGTGTGACTAATCATGTGGGATGACAAACAGGGATCATCAGCTGGCCAGAATACAGGGAATTCTCCCGATGCTCAGGATGGCCAGTCTGGGCCTGCCGCTGCCTCCTTTCAGTCTGGAACTGTGTGTCTTTTGTCATACGTAGAGAGGATAGGGAATTAGTTTCTCCCGTGTTTCACTATATTATTCACTATATTCTTCTCATGATATGCAAGGACATTAAATACCTTGTCCTTTTTCTCACTGATGATTTGGATGATAATATTTATTGATAGTGTCGTAAACTTTATGCTCTGGCTAATATGTTGATTCGCAAGTTCAGTATATACAGCTCATTCTTGGTGAAGCTACAGGAACAGTATTATGCGGAGGCTCATAGTAGCGTATAATCATGCTTCAGGTTCTCAGATTGCATAGAGCCAGTGAACTGTTCGTGTCCTCTGGTGTTCATTCTTCTTAGACATCTGATGTGTAATCCTACGTGTTGCTGCAGAGCATCAGCCTCATAGGGGCCTTAACAGCGGCAGGAAGAGCTGCTCTCGGTAGTCACACAGGCGAGTTAGCCCACATATGAACGAATGAATGACCTTTTATAACTAGGTTGGGAAACAAAGACCTCAAGCACACCTTATCTGTTCACTCCCTCCTTGACTCATTTTCCACATCCCTCCCCCCCCAAACCCTTTCTTTTACTCTCCCACTCTTATCCAAATACAGGAACCACTGGGGCTCTCTACAAGAGATACGAAGAGACAGCCTCCCCCACTCAGAGTCTCACAACCCACTCGGTTTCCTCTTACATCGCGCTGATCCCCTCCATCCATTCATCCATCCGCCAACAGACCTTCATTCCTCGACCTTCATTCCTCAACCTTCATTCCTCGACCTTCATCCCTTCATCCCTCAACCCTCAGTATACCACTTATATACAAGAGTTACTGTGCTGTGTGCGATGTGTTGGTGGTTTTCCTCCATGTAATCTTCCCCAGACTTTCACAGACTTTCCAGATCCAGTAAGTTTGATTGGCGTGGTCGTTGTTAGTGTTTTCATCACATCCTATTATTTCCTTTCTTTTTATTGCTATGGACCCTCTTGTGAGTCTAAATTAAAGTTTTAATTGAATTGTATGTCTTCATAGTCGGGACATAAGGTATCTTGTGAACTAGGCTAACATCGCACCCTTTCAGACGAGTACGTTCAGGTTGTTGTAAAGATTTAACGTGACAGAAGTAGCTGTGTGCGGAATGAAAAAAGAAAGCCGGCGAGAGAAGTTCAAACCCTGCCACGCCTCGATATTTAATGACAGCGTAAAAGGAGGTGTGAATGTCGGATTAGCTAGTTACAACAATACGTGTGGTTGCGTTGTTTGGATTAGAGTTGTTGCTTCAGGCAACGCTGAGGCAATGATATACAATCCAGGAAATCCAGCTTGAGTAACAGATCTATGAATCTGAAGGCTTCTCAAATAACAAAACACTGCACAGGGGTTTGTAATACAGGATTTTATCTGCCATCGAGATACATAAGGAGTAGAAATACATTATTCAGGAATGTGTGCTTGAATGTATGTGACTGGCCAAAGCAATGTCTTGCCAGATGACATTACGCTGCCATGCGTGATGCCAGTCTTTTTATGATCTGAAGTCGGTCTGAGCAGGAGTCTACAGGAGCCTCCTCACAACGAACAGAGTGAAGTTGGTAAAGTTCAGACATTGTTGATTAAGAAGCAAAAGGCTGAAGCGTACTGGTGCCTTTAAAAGAGCACTCCACCGATTTAGCATTGCACTCCTGTACCGGTTGAACGGTATAGACGCTCGAAACAACGACTTTGGTAACCTGTGAAAAAACTAAAATTTGATAATGTTTCACCAGGATTTCCAGAATCCTCTACAATATGTTATTAACAGCCTATTGTCACTTTCTCAGTTGAAAGCCAGTATAGATACAAAACACAGGAGCCAAACTGCAGTCCTACTCTTAACTCACTCATCAACCACATCTTCCTGTTGACATGGATTTGTTGCTTCCTGCATTAAACGTCTGTCCTATTTACTCTGACTTCCTGAGGACTAAGGGTTAAAGACTACGTACAAACACAATACCGCAAGTCCTTTTACCTCGTAGTAGTTGAAGAACTTCTCCTGTTACAACGTCCTGGAAGCTTCTCACTTACAGCACCTCAGTTACAAGGTTTTATATAAAACATGAATTGCTTTGAAATTACGTCTCCCTGTAGACATTCTGCCTACCAGTGCAATATGACGACTTACAACTGAACAAATTATCAAAACGATTAAACAAATTTATGTTTTGTGACTCGTTGATGTTGTAGCTGCATTTTAGCTGGTTGAAAAGAGGGACTGAATATCACCCAGGGTTCAACTAGAAATACACGTTGGGATGGAAAGTTTAACAAAAGAATCCAAATGCAGCAGAACTTATCGTATTTTTTATTCCACACATTCTTCTCTGCCGCCGCCTACAATGCGACTCGACCACCGACAGCTCTGTCAGAGATGTAGCCTCGAGCCTAAACATCCCTCCATGCCTACACATTTTTTTATGACTTCAGCCCCAACCAACACTGGCACAATTTACATTTCTATTCACATAGCTCCCTCTGCAGTGTGTGAACTGTGTGAAATCAGAGGAACTCCCCTTGAAACACGCTATCATAGCTGCCATCACTCACTGACGGGCAACAAGCTCCACATACCTGCACAAACAGTATAATGGAGTATTATGTGTCCCGTCCTGTTTGTTCAGTGTTGTTTATCATTGCATGTGTGTGTGTGTGTGTGTGTGTGTGTGTGTGTGTGTGTGTGTGTGTAACTGTAATCTGACCGGAGACTGCAGATCCAAATACACTGTAGCCCCCCACTCTAACACCAAATTACAACATGTATCTCTAATATTGGACATGGTTCCTTACAAATAACAGTAGATAAATGTGTATAGATGACACGACTGTAGATATTTAATCTACCGACAACATATACAAGAGTTACTGTGCTGTGTGCGATGTGTTGGTGGTTTTCCTCCATGTAATCCTTCCCCAGACTTTCACAGACTGTTTATCCAGCTATAAAGCTATAAAGAGCTTAATAAAAGAATAAGGTTTCCAGATCACCAACATCACAATCGGCCAATAGAATGTAGAGCATGTGAGTGTGTGTGTGTGTGTGTGTGTGTGTGTGTGTGTGTGTGTGTGTGTGTGTGTGGTTCAATAGCCATCGGTTAGTCATTGTGCTAAGTAAAGACCCAACACCTGCTGCGGTGGATTTACCAGGACAGAAGAGCACTGGAGAGAGACAAGAGAGATACATTATGTGGCCAGACGTTTGTGGACAACTGAACAACCACATATATATATATATATATATATATATATATATATATATATATATATATATACTACATATTCCACAGTCACAGGCTATAATCAGCCTCCACACTTCTGGATCTGAGGTCCACACAATGTTTGAATCTGTCTGGAGGGATTTGCATGGATGTTTTACATTTTATACTATATTATGTTGATACTTTTTACTGTTTTATTACATTACTGTGTTATATTTCTGTACTAATACAGGTGTAGTTGATGGTAGCTCCTTCACACTCCTTTTAAGTTATTTTTTCTGCTTTATTGCTGAAACATCACTGAACGACGTCTGATTGGATTTTAAGGGACTAAATCAAAATTGTTTAAATCATCTGGATTCAGGTGTGAAAATGTTGAGTTGAGCAAAATCTGTATTCTTCATTCCTTCTCTCGGCTGCTTTATGATGACTTATAACATATTGTTATGGGAATATCATTTATTTAAAGGAATGAAACAACATATATGTTTATGTTTTATAGCATTTATCATTTTTAATTTTTTATATATATATATCTTTACTTTTTTCTGTTTATCTGTACTTATTTCTGTCTGTGTGCTGCTTGATCACGTCTTACATAACTATATATTGTAGCATTAAGATTTCCTTTTATTGAAAATGTACACATAGGTACAGTATGTAAGAGACTGAAGGAAGAGCAGCAGACTGATGAGGATGAAGATGTGGTAAGCTGTCAGCTGCTGCCCCCTACTGGTTACTGGTGGAAATTACAAATCTGTCTAAAAACTGACAAAATGTATGCTTGTGTTTTATAGGAAAATTAAAACTGCACCTCAACAGAGCGGTCCATAGGCATCACATTTGGTCAATTAATCATTTAGGTAATTTTTTATGTAAAAATGGCAAAAATGTGCCAGTTTAAACCTCTCAGATGTGAAGATGTCCTGTTTTTACTTGTCATATAAGATGGTAAACTGATCTTTAGGTTAAGGGTTTTTCTCAGAAATTTCAATATCAAGGGGCTTCCTGGTTAAATAAAATATATACATACATTATAATAATAATAATAATAATATATGTATAAGAAACATTTAAAATGGTTCATCTTTAGCTGTGGGAACTTGTGTATGCTTTACTATTTTCTGGCATTTCGTAGACTGAACTATTAATAGATTCACCAACAAAATATTCAGCAATTAACGGATAATTATACAAGACATTAAATCAGCCCTTCAGTCCGATATAACAGTTTAATACACATCATCATCCAGCTCAGTGCACACAGTCAACAACAACATCAACATGGAAACAAACAACACATTCAAGTACAGGAGGAGATTAAAAAGTAATTCCACTGCAGCGGACACAGTCTACATGTCCTCATGAGGTTACATTTGGGAATTTTAGTTTTCATTTAAATTGCAGTGAGGAAAGTAAAGGCCATCTCAGAGCTCTTTGTGGGCCCTTATAGACTTATAGATTCATTCATTCTCATTATTGCTCCTTCAGGCGTTTATACTGATCTGTGCACAATTATAAACCATCAATCAAATCTAAATGATCACATGATGGGTTCTTCCTCCATGTGTGGCAATGCAACCCACTCACAGTGCATCTGTTGTCTGAGAACTGTGCTGTTTTAGCTTGGAGGAAACAGGAAATGAATCCCAGAGGAGGGACCATGAACAGAAGATGTGGTCCCTCTGAGGTTCTACTGACCAGACTGAATCTAGTTACATTTAGTTTATTTCAGGTTAAAAGCTCACGTGGCACTGGACTAGTTTGGCTACATTTCATCAACATTGTCATCATCAGTTAAACCGATCATGTTATAACTGATTGCTAAACTATGTCTCAATCCAATCCACTGATGATCTGATGGTTGTTAGGCAAATAATTATAATATTTGATTAGATTTTTTTTAATTTGAATTAAATATTTTTTTGCATTTCTGACTGTTGGTCAACTGCTGTGGAGAGCTAAAGGACTCATACTTAATTTCACTGGAGGAATATGCACCAGTAAGGCACAATACCGGGTGAGCCCTGCATTATTATCTGTCTTTAAGGGGCCCTGTGACATAAATTAAATGCTGCATATTCCTAAATACATTACTCTTAAACCTAATTACCACAAACAGATTGGCCAATAGAGGCCCAGGTTATTCTGGCAATGTTGGACAAGGAATTTCAAGACTCAATCTTAGACTCCAGGAAATTGTGATGGGAATTATTTACAGAGTTTTGACATTTTATATATTAAATTATTAATAAGTGCAGTCCAACTAACTGTACAGCATCTATGATGACATGTGGCATCATATCAACACGGTGTCTATCCTGTACCAGTGTTTTATTCTGGAGGGATCTGATTCAGTAATGACCTGATTATGTTTCACACTTAAAATAAAGATAACAGTAACTGACAAACACCAACATTGCTGAGTGCTGTCAGCTAAATGCAGCATAGCTGGAATCACAGAATTAAAAACATTGAGAAGCAACCACAGTTGCTCTCTGATTCAGTAGTTTAATAAACAGCAGCAGATCAAAAGCCCAAATCAACACCTGTAACCAGTTTATTACTGAAGCTGAGTTACTTCCCACCAAGTAAACGTTCTATTCTGACGTAATTAACTTATTATTATTATTTCTTGTGACTGATAGTGTTACAGTGGATATGAAGAACATATTCAAACTGGAGGTATCCTGTCTAACCAGTTCCTCTGAGGAGAAGGTAGACAGCAGAGATGGTGATGGCGGTGGCGGTGTAGGTAAACACAGCGTTATAAAGAGTATTGGTCCTCAGTCTTGCTCCCAGGGTCCTCTGGGTCTCCTCCAGATGCCTCATGACTGCCTCAGATTCCCACTGGGCCTCTACCACTGGTCTCTCCGGTCTCTCTGGTTTTGCTAACTGCAGCTGAGCAGCCTGTGGTTCAGCCGGTGGTCTGGTCTCCAGCAGCTTCCTCACCGTCGACAACTCACCCTCAACTCTACCGACTCCCTGCTCCAGCTGTCCCAGCTGTGGCGTGAGGGACTTCAGAAAGGACTCAGTCTTTTGGCCGCTGATGTGGAGGTCTTTTAAGGCTGACAGAGGCACCGTGGGTGAGTCTGAGGTCAGACCTTTCTTCTTCTGAACGACGATGTCCCTCTGCGTGAAGGCGTCACTCAGAGCGACCCTGAGGTTGTCGATGAGCGTTCGGAGCTCGTCCTGCTGGGAGCGATGGTTTCCAGCCTGGACTCTGAGGGCCTCCTGCAGGCTCTCTGGACCTTTCTGGGCTTCCAGCAGCAGAGTCTTGAGCTCCTACAGATGAGAGAGGTGAAGATGTATCAGCTGACACAAAGATCAATGCACACTGGTGTTCAAACAGGTAAAATATACAGCACAGGAAAGAGCCATGCTAGTAGAACTGTGAGGCTGTCCTTGGGCTTGCTAACATGTTAACATGCTGATGTTTAGCTGGAATAATGTTAGAAATGTTTTCCATCTTAGAGTGTACAGCTGAGGCTTATGGGAACGCCATTAGTTCTAAGTTAATTCATCCCCCCTTCTTTACCTGCAGGCGGACGCGGTTGACGTACGTCGAGCCCATGACTCCGATCAGGGCTCCGAGCACCGAGCCGATGACGGACCAGTTCTTGGTGCGTTCCGCTCTCGTCCTCTCCTTCTCGTGGCTCTCCCTGACGCTCGCCGAGAACAAGTTAAACTTCTCCCTCTCCGAACCCTCTGCGTTCTCGTACGCTGTCCGGAGACGACGCTCCTCCTGCGGTCAGGAGAGAGCACAAAAGGCGGTTCCTAATGAATCAAATTCAGTTACCTGTGTTTTCTGCTTGTTCTGACCTCAAACTATCTGGGTCTCAAACAGTGTAAAACCTAAAACAAGGATAGTTCCACCTGTTTTTATTCATATTTATATTCATTCTAACCTGCAGCAGTTTGTGCTCCAGCGTGGCCAGCTCCAGGTAGTGAGCCTCCTCCCTGGAGACTCTGTCCAGCCGGTCTCTGATCTCCTTCAACCTGACCTGCAGGGCCTCCAGGCTAACATGAGCCTCTCGTACCATCCCTCTGGCCACCATGAACGCTGCCTCCGCCTGGAAGAAACGCACATGTCCGAGACTCAGGATCTTTCTCTGTCATTTGTCCTCCTGACTTAACACAGGGCAGCAATGAGCCACGGAGAACTCAGAGTCTGACTATTAACATGCACACACAACATCCTGGGTTTCCAATGTTTCCTGTTTCTTACTGTCTGCTGACCTCAGTGACCTTGGTCTGGGCCACGCGGACCTCGTTGAGCCCGACAAACTCCTCATACCTCTCCCACCAGTAGTTGACAGTGGCGGCGGCTGTCTGAGCTGACCTCTGACCCCACTGCCGCCCCAATTCACCTGCATGCTGGAGGAGGGAGAAAAGGGGGGGGGGGTTTGGTTTTGTGTTCTTTTGTAAAATCAGACGTGTTTTTATGACGTCATGTTGGTAGTGTAAAGTGGTTACAAACATTCAGAGGATGGATTTATTGTACCTGTAAGGCAGCCAGGGCACGCTCCTTCACCACCTCGGCTCCACGCTTCCCATCAGGAGGGGCGGGGTTAGTGGGTGGAGGAGGGGGGACAGGCTGATGGTGAGCACTGTAGGTTCGGACCAGAGTGAGTCTGCCAGGCGGACATCCGAGCGCAGAGAGCCGGGAGCCTTGAGCCCGGAGACAGATCTGAGCTCCTCTGTACCTGACGCAGGGAAGATACTGTTAATCATCAGTTTCAGTGCTGTAGTAGCTGAAGTCTCCTCCTCTGGACTAAAGTGTGCAGTCATACCTCATTGGAAACTGTCAGAGCTTCACTTTCACTGCAGCTACAGCGCTAACACCTGCGACAGCAACAATAAAATAATGATTAGGTGATTGATAATCTATGTTTGAGACTCCATCCACTGTAATGCAATGATCCCTTTAATAAAGTTTCTGCTTTTGACCTAAAACGCATCTAAATAAGTGTCAACACTGACTTTGAATACTGGAGAATATCCACCTGGTGATTTACTACTAACAAAATAATCAATAAACATGTGCTACGAATCTAAATGTTGTTAATATTTTATAATTAAATTAAAATAGATGTGAATAAAGCTCCTGTGAACATTTAACTCAAAGATAACATGAATGAATAAAAAGCTTTATGTTCCCTTATCGATCCAACGTGGGAGAAATACATTACTCTGTTAATTTAACAAATATAAAGTTTCATAACAGTAAAAAAAAAAAACTGTAAACATTTAAACTTTAACAACATAATGTCACAACAATGTTGATTTCTGCTTACACACGGTGAACTAACCTTCACAATGAGCAAACACAGCACACTTCTGTACTTACTGATGCATTAAATCAACAACCAAACACACTGGAGGAAGATAAAAGACTCATTTCATTCACAAAAACAACTTATAAACAATTATTCCTCCAGGTTTCCTTCATTCACTGGTTAGCCTTTAGCTCAGTGTTGCTAACAGTTACTGACTTTTTCCTTTTTCTTTTTTTTTTTTTTTAGTCGTGTAAAACGCCTGTGACATCCCTCTGGTTCACTGTTATAACAATGTGCGGAGATAAATACACCTGTTTTCTTCACTGGAAGCGAACATCTCCTGCGGACGCGGTTTTTTTTTTTTCCACGCGAAACTAGTTAGTTAGCATCTCGATGTCAAACTTACAAGCGGGCACATGACGGGCGTACTGTTTCCGGCTTAGAGTTCGCCCCGGGGTCCTTACAGCGCGGATTAGCATTCGCAACAAAAACACGTTTATTTCTTCCCTTCAGACGACAATAACCCGGGTTAAACATGTCTGGCAGAGAAGGTGAGACATCGTGTTTTATGATATTTACCTAATAATTTAATTCCTAATAAAATATTTTTTTTCGACAACGTCAGAAAACGTGTTTCACTGCGTGGTTTAAGTTAGCTACCAGCTGCTAACGATAGCGCGCTCGCGTCTTCTGCGAGCACCAGACTTCATTAAAAATCTGCCACATTTAAAGGTTTTTTTGGTTTTTGAGAATAATACGCATAAGAAATACGGCGTATATACACCCAGGATGAGTCACCGTGATTGTCTGGACTGTTCGGCTCTCAAAATGTCTCCCCAGCAACATCTTACATCATAATTTAAACAAAATCTGCAAATAATTTGAATGCATATATTTCATTTACTGTCTTTTAGGAGGTAAAAAGAAACCACTGAAGGCTCCCAAGAAACAGTCCAAGGAAATGGATGACGTAAGTGTGTCTTTCTCTCCTCTCAGACTCAGATTGTTATTCATTATTAGTTAATATGTCGCTTATTTTATCTCTTCCACATGAAACTTCACTGCTGCAAGATACTGTATTATTATTTGCATGTAGTCTTTATTCAGTAAACAGATTACAGATGCATCCCGTCCTCTTCACTGGGGACCGGTGTGGCCCTTGTATGTGAAAACCTAGTGGCAGTGCATTTCTGTTCTCTCCATCAGTATTACCCAGAACCCCGAGGACCCTAAAATAGTCATAAATAATAGCTCCAGTAGTAGAAACTGAAGAGGAACATAAGACAGAAGTGATGGATTGAAACTGTCTGGGTGTCTGCAGGATGAGGTGGCTTTCAAGCAGAAACAGAAGGAAGACCAGAAGGCCATGGAGGCGTTGAAGGCCAAAGCTTCGGGGAAAGGACCTCTAAGTAAGACCAGCATTGTTGTTGTGACCCTTTAAAGATTGTTTTCAAGGCAAACATTCATACTCACAAGCCATACGTACAAGAGGTTGAGGTGAGTTTATGCTTATGATCGATACAAGGGGTTAACAGGAGTACTGCCGTAGATACATATGGCGTAGATTTAGATTTTACCCATAAATAGCACGCCCATAACACTACGTGGATGTATCGTACATGATAACTGTGTCACTTCACACTCTACACAACTGGAGTTACATCCACGTGACGTCTGTTTTTCTTCGTCTCATTACTGAATACGAGTCTCCGTAATGTTTCTGTTGCTGCGTTCACTGTGATAGAGAGCAGCAATCGCACTGAGCAGATGGTTTTCAGTGTAATGGCGTTAACAGAATTGTGTTCATTAGGGAGCATATTCAGTCCTTTTTACAGCGACCGGTAACTCGTACATTTGGTCGTGTGAGTATTGTATTAAGACAGAAAAATCCAAACGTGTCCATAAGGTTGTGAATGAATGTGGGAGTCAGTTTGGATAGAAAGAACCTCATCTTTTATTTTATTATTTATTTAGTCATACAATTTTGATCACAAGGAATGGGATTAAATGAATGTTTCCTGTCTCTTTTCCCCCCTCCAGCTAGCGGTGGCATCAAGAAATCAGGCAAGAAGTAAAACCCTAATCTGGCGACGATGTTTGTTTGCTCCCCGGCCTCACGTCCTGCGTCTGCGATGTGTGTACGCTCACTGAGAAGACTCCAGTTTGTTTTTTTGCTCTGTTTAACACGAACCCCATCCAACAAAAAAAATAAATAAAAAACGGCCCTGGTGTTGACCTCCGCCAGTGAAAATGTACAAGAGATGAATTGAATAATTTAGAGGATTTCCAGGACAGGGATATCTGTTGGTACACACATCATAACTCCTAAAGTAAAGTAATTAGAGGTTTCACACTGTTGTGGAGGAACAGGTCACGCAGTCATACACACCGACCAGAATCCACAGATCCAATACAGAACTGAAGGTCGGCAGCTTTAGAAATAGAATAAACGTGGAACAATCCTGATTTGTACTGTATTTAGTTTTGGTGAAACTTTAAACTATCAGAAAACACAACTCACCCCAATTCTTTTTTTTTTTCTTCAGTTTTTTGTTGTATTGTAAAGAGGGAGATACTAATAAAGTTTTTGTAATTACTGCTTGTTATGTTTTGTTTTTTTTCGTGGTGAGTTGAAAAGGAGTCGGTCAAGAAACTCAACCATCAAATTGTGTTCAAAGTAAGAGATGAAGTTTACGTTTTAAACCATAAATTATGAACTGTTTCAGTTTAAATCAATAATTTGCTTTGGTACAATACGTTTAAATAAAAGCTTCAGTTACAACACGATAATAAATAGAGAATAAAAAGGTTGAAATCATTTGCAGACAGTTCTTTATTTAGAGTTGTGATAACCTTTGTCTACAGTCACACAACTTAAGCTGTATTAATTAGACATGAGACTTGATTAAGATAAGATATTCCTTTATTTATCCCCCTCAGGAGAAATTCAGGTTGATACAGCAGCAATAAGGCAAAGTAGTGAAATTTAAAACTGGTGTGTATTTAAAATGATTTGCCTGTAAAGGTAAAGTTTACATGCGTTTTATATTCTTGAAGTCTAACAAATGTTGCAAATATTATATATATGGAGACCTTCGTTATGTCCATACTGCTTAAATTCACCACTGACTTTCACACAGTAAATGATGTGTATCACCCTAACTCCACAGGGTGTCTATCTACAAAGTGACGGTGTCAGCTGGTCGGGGAAAAAACTGGTGTGCATGTTGGTTTTCAGTTCCAGACACTTTTTCCAAACTTCTGGATGTTGAAAGATGCTATTTTCATGGTGGCTGCAGAGAAAAACGAAAGAGAAGGGAAACAATTTTGGCTTTTTAACGAGTGCGTCTGAACGTGCGCAGGCATGTGTGTTATTACTGTGTGTACATCAAACAATGTGTTACATCTGTGTGTGCACACAGCCGCGTCTCATAAAATCTGACAGCTTTTCAGCTCAACTCGCCTGAGGTCCTAGTTTATTAAGTAATACAGTTTAATACAACAGTAATTCCAACGTTAATGAAGCTCATAATGTTTAGAGAGGTGTCGACTCCATTTTATATATTACGTGTTAGGGACTTAATATTAGAAACACCTCTCGATATAAAACAGTACTGCTTTAAAAGGTCCAGTGTGTAGGATTTAGTGGCATATAGCAGTGTAGTTGCAGATGGCGACTCCCTCGCTTCACCTTCCCCTTCCAAACGTGTGGGAGAAACTGTAGAAACATGGCAGTTCGACACGGTGGCCTCCATGGAGGGCCCAAAATGTCTGTAGATATAAACAGCTCATTCTAAGGTAACAAAAACATAACGATTTTTTGAAAATTCATATTGTGAAAACAGCTAGGCTAGATTTAACTTGGACAGAATAACAAAAGTTATTAGTCAGCTAGTGTTGCCAAATAGTTTTTTTACATAACATAATTTAACAAGAATTAAACATTGATTTATACAATTATTAGTAGCAGGAGCAGTTGCACATAATGGTAAAAATGTAAGTAACTTGTGCTGGTTACCTTCCTACGCATCTGTTGACTTATTTATGGACTTCATCTCCACTTCCACAGGATAATGGTCGCTCACTTTCAGAGCCTGCGAAATAAACCATTATTTAATTGATTGGCAATAAAAAAAAAAGTCATTATATTATTCTGGATGAAGGTGAACCAAGTTGTGTTGGACAGAATCAAACCAGTTGCCGGCTGCAGAAGCTGTTCTAGTTCACTAAACAACTGATTGCACCACACAAACCAGTTCTTATGTAGAGATTAGTTGTTACAGAATAGTCACACCCACTAACAGGGTGCAACTACTGTGTACAAATAATGAATAGCCGGTACCACCCAATTGAATTTGGTGATTTTACCTTTTCTGTAATGCTGAGGTCAGACTTTCAGACTAAGGCTCTTAAGAACAGCACAATAATTCATTTTAAGCTTTCTTTGTGAAACCACAACAGACCTGCTCCTCACTGAGTCCATATGCCTTCTGGAAGTTGAAGGGTTTGGCAGAGTTTGGTACCACAGCCTGGAGCATGTCGTCTCCGTACACCACTATCCTGAATAGACAAGAACAGTCAGTCAGTCTCTTGAGATGTTCACACTACATACAGTAGGTTATCCTTATGGACAATGACATTACATTTTCCAGTTACCTGTCGTATGTGTGATCGTTTCGGTTGCTCGCCGTGGTGTCGACATCATCTCCAATCAGCCAGTGGAAGTTCTTGTCGCTACGGATACGGATGCCCTTCATTTCCTTCTTGGAGACGTACAGGCCGTCCGCATTGAAGTCGCCCAGGATCATCACGTTCTAGAGCAAAGAGGTGGAAGAACATCAACCACAACAACAACAGGGGCCTAATTTCCATTTATATATGTGCTCCTAACAACACTTTTACTTATAATGTTGAATTGTTATGAAATAGAACTTATTTTAAAGAGGTACACATTTTTCTGACAGACATGAACATTGTTTTCATGTCTTTGCTGTTAGATCAGATCATTCGTACTACCACCAACAAATAGTGTTTAAAAACGTTCCTTATTTAGATAACATCAGTTTCTATATATTTTTATGTCATAATTTTATATCATTTCTGTTCACAGTCTAATAAATGAAGGTTTCGAAAACCAGCTCTCTTCTGATCAACTGTTTATTCTTTAACATTATTTTGCATCAAGTGAAATACATAAAAATTAAAAAAAATATTTTAAGTGTATATAAAGGAGTAGTTTAAATTGATAATAAACAACTAGAATAAAGGGGCTGTAGGAAGGGAGGTAGAGGGCCGTAAATGGCCCCCAAGCTTTACCTGTTCCTCCTTTACTATTAGTAATATAAGTAATAGCTTGCTTCACACACTCTTAATCACAACACATAATGTTCTGTGTATAGCTGACTGGATATTTAGATTTTTTATGTATTTCTTTTAATCAGTTCAGCTGGAACAGTGTTTGGGAATCACTGTATGAGTTCAGTGATTGATTGATTGATTGATTGCATTGTTAGCACCGTCAGTGCATTGATGATGTCATGTCCTTACATTGGTTCTCCACTTCTTCTTGACGTGCCGGAAGACATCGTAGAGCTCATCCAGCTCCTTCTCCGAGTCGTCTGGTTTGGTGTGAACTGGGATCATCACTAGGTCCTTCAGCACTGTGGTGGACACACACGCACACACGCACACACACACACACACACACACACACACACCTTTAGAACAAAGTGTTTATATCTTTCTGACGATATTTCTTCCTCTCTAAAGAAATGTATTTATTCTATTCTGTGCATGACAGACGTCTTTTACCTGTGTTGAGGCATTCGAATCGCAGGATGTAGGGATCTCTATCCAAAACGTCTCCACCTTTAGTCGCCTGGTCGTCAAATTGATAGGAGCCCACCAATTTCACCATCCCTACACACACACACACACACACACACACACACACACACACACACACACACACACACACAAATTAGCATCTAACTTGAATTCTGCTACAAACGTTTTTCACGTCTACAAGAGGTGAGTGTTTAAAAGATTGTTGCTTTAGTGACCCCTAGTGGGTTTGGGAAACTGTCCCAGAGTGATGTTCTGACAAACTGCTGTACAGACTCTGACCTCCTTTATAACTCAGTTGGTCATATTTATGGGGGAGTCAGTGAGAATCTGCTGCAGGTGAACGCTCACCTGTACAGGAACATGAACTGCTCCTTGTAGCGCGTTCGGCCCAGACGACTGCTGTTCTTCAGAGTGTAGTGATGTGTCCTGTTGGATCTGGACAGACAGACAGACACACAGAAAGACAGACAGACACAGACAGACAGACAGACAGACAGACACAGACACACAGACAGACAGCAGATAGCTTCAAAGTTAGATCAAACTAATGTTCACTTTGGTGATCTAGCGCCATCATCACTCATCATCAACTTCTAATTTGTCCATTACTTTGGTTTGTGACTAAACTAACTATATATATAACTAAAACTATAATAACATTCCCATCAGTCTCAGCTGTACTAAACTAATATGGTGAACATGGTTTAGCATTGTTAGCATCCCAACATCAGGGACTTTGTGAGACTTTAGTCTTGTTTTTATTATTTTGCCGTAAGAAGCACTACATGTAGAAAACTGCAATGTTGAGGAACTGATGTCTTGATCTAAATAATAATAATAGTAATAACAATAATAACTCACGTGTTGAGTGAATCCAGGAGGATTTTTACAGACTCTCCACTGATGTCCACCACCTCCAGGATCACAATGATGTCATATCGAGATATAACCTGGGAGGCAAAGAGAGAGAGAGAGAGAGAGAGAGAGAGAGAGAGAGAGAGAGCCCCAATCATTTTGTTGTTTGTTAAATTTCTGGTTTTGTCTTTAATCTTCTGGTTGCTATTCCAAGAAAACACAAGTTGACTCTTTGTCAGGTACAGAAAAAAAAAAGTTTAAAATTTATTTTATTTTATTTATTTTATATTCTGTATGTGACAAAAAGTCAATCTGAGCTCAAAACACGACTTTTTACATGTAAAATAAACACATTTTTGATAGGAGCAGGTCATAGAGTGTGTGTGTGTGTGTGTGTGTGTGTGTGTGTGTGTGTGTGTGTGTTGTTGTTACCTTAACCAGGATATTTAGGACGTCTGGGTCTGACACTTTGTTTTTTCCAAACTTCTGGATGTTGAAAGATGCTATTTTCATGGTGGCTGCAGAGAAAAAAAGAAAGAGAAGGGAAACAATTTTGGCTTTTTAACGAGTGCGTCTGAACGTGCGCAGGCATGTGTGGTATTACTGTGTGTACATCAAACAATGTGTTACATCTATGTGTGTATACAGCCGTGTCTCATAAAATCTGACAGCTTTTCAGCTCAACTTGCCTGAGGTGTGTGTAACAAGCTCCATTCACACTGTACACAATGAAAACATATTTGTAATGGCTCAAGTAGACGCTGTAAAAAATACTGCTGGCACCAACAGTAGTACTGTCTGAGTCTGAAAGCACAGCAGGTGTCACATTTACTTCTTCATGTTCAAAACATGTCATGTCAACTGAAGATAAGCATGATACAATGTCAAAGACAACTCGAATGAATTAGAGGCGATTAATGAGATTAATTGGGATAATTTCTCTCATTTATCAACATTTATTTCTCAATATTTGTTCAAAAAGCTAAGTAATAATTACAGAAGAACCCAGGAATAGTCGAGTGAGGGTAAAAGAAACTGAAGAAGAGTTTAATTTTAACTTGAACCACATGAAAAGAACAAAAGAACAAATAATTATGAAATACAACCCAAAAATAAAAATACAATTTCATGAGTGAGCTGCTTTCTGAATTCTCCCTAAACTAACTCAATGATCAGTGTTTCAACAAAAAACAACTGAAGGAAACATTCAGGAGGACGTGTTCGGACAGGTTCTGTGTTTTTAAGACAGCCACTCCCAAATCCCCCCATGACTGATCAACACAGCACCCTAAAGACTCCACCCCATAATCCACCTCTCAGCTTTACCTCCATATATATTTATATATGTTATATAACTAACAGCCAGGCTGTGAATGTTCAGGACTGTATGGCTGTAAGTAACAAAATCAACACAACATTTTTTATAAAGACTTTTGATTCAGTATTGTTTACACCCGGCTACTTTTACTTGAGTAATTAGGTTTATGTATTCAATGAATATTATATTACATTTCTGTCAATATATCCTCCTAAATGTCACCCACTGGACCTTTAAAGCTTTACCTCTCTCCTGTTTTTAAGGATTAGAAATATAACCTTTTCTCATAAAGTCTGTCTCGTAATATTGTTTTCTTTTAAATTAATGATAAAAACATTCTTACTTTATTCTAGTAATATTGAACAATAACTTTAATCCTCAAATAGACTTTATAATAAAAAATATTCATACTTCGGCTTCTTACTGCTGGTTTGCAGAATCAGTGACTTCTTTTAAATCACTTTCTAAAGCCTATTATTAAAGTTTTATTTTATTTTTACAGCTTCTATTCTGCTAGTTTTATATTCACAGTTAATTCCATTTTGTTTTGTAATCTGTGTGTGTAGACAGCCGTGTCTCATAAAATCTGACAGCTGAACATGAAAAAAATCATGAAATGTTTGTTGTTAAAAATTGTTAATTATTTTAATGTATTTACCAATTTAAATAGCAATTTCTTTGTATATAATACCATATAATATAATCACTCTTACTGGTACTTTGTGGTGGTTTCCTCTTTCCTCTAAGAGGAAGTTTTGTTCCTCATAGTCTTCTTCCACTGTAACTAAATTTAAGTAACAGAACTGGTAAATATTTGATTGGCTCCTGATTATGACATATAAATTACACTGTAAACCATGGCCTATGTTATAAATTATTTTTATTATGACTACATCTAAGGAAGTAATAGATCAATTAGGTTTATGTTTTAACGTATTTGATCATTTAAGTCATTGTTGAAACAAGACTAACAGGAATTATTTGCTTCCAGCCTCTTTAATAGGAGTATTTACCAGTTTTCCTTTGATTGGTTTCAAACCAGTTGATGAGAATCCTTTTTTAAATGTATAGAATTGACTGATGGAGAAAATATTTTGTATGAATAATACAGATAATGAAATATTGGCTGTAGTTGTTATTTGCAGCCCTGGATCTATGTGTATGTTGTGTTATGTGCTCGCCCTCTTGTCACTCCTTGATTGCCCGTTGTGGTTCGACAGGTACTTAAACAACAAGTTCCCTTAGTAACAGGGTGTTTGCATTTGTGTTGTACAGGTTGTCGGACTAGTTTGTATTTTTCTTTCTGCTCAGTCAGGTGATCAGTATACTGCAGCTCATAACAGCCACATCGTGCCAACACACACAAAGCAGACGCTTCCTCTGTACTAATGCATACTGACGTTGTTGTAAACACTGGGATCAGATATCATTGTTGTCCTGACGAGTTTGACCTCTTATGAAAATGAAATGTTCAGACTGTTGCAGCCGTTTGTTTTCACATGCTGGTGATTCACATACAAGCGATGTCCTATCTGCTGTAACCATAAAACAGTCTGTAATGACAGAAAGGACGTTTGACGACTGGATTTCTGCTTTCACATCCATCTTTTTTATTTATTTGTTTGTTTTTGGAGCTTTTATTGCCTTTAATTGATAGTGACAGAAAAGGGGGGAGAGAGAAAGAGAGGATGACACATGGCAAAGGGCCGCAGGTCGGATCCGAACCATGGGCCACTACAGCAAGGACTCAGCTTAAAGATGGAGGTGAATGGGGCCCCATGTACCAAGACTGTTTTTGGCAGCAGGGACTTTTTAGGAGCTCATGAACTTTACCTGCATTTGAACTTCACAGTCATGTAGCAAGTTCCAATTTTTTAACCTCAAAAAGTCGCTGTAAGTTTATATTTTCTGTGGGAAAGACGTGGCTTCACTGCTCACTTAAAGGTCCAGTGTTTTCATTAGTGTATAATCACTCTAATATAGGAATTGTTGTGTTTTTTACCTTAATGTGAGCTGTTTATATGTACAGTCACTGTGGGTGAGTTAATAATAGAAGTAAAACAGAAACCTCAACTTGTGTAGCATTCTTTCAAAAGTTCCGGGTTGGTTCAATATCAACATAAAGACTTGGGAAGCAAGAGCAAGCAACAGCAAGAGAAAAAAACTGAACTTTTCTCTATTGATGAAACTCTTTCTGAATTGTTTTATAACATTTTGTTTTTGACATCAGGGCCGCAACAGTTTTCTCTGAGCCCAACGTCTAACTGTAATCTCAAAAATCTGTTTAATCTCAAAACCAACCCATCCTGTTTCTGACACAATGAACAGCTACAGACCGTGACACTGCTGAAATTCAGTTTTATTTTATTCATGTGAGCCACTCTGGATGTGGAAGATGCTTGGTTTTAAATAGTCGGTCCAACAACAATCAAATCAAACAATTCATATTGTGACATATTTATGACTCCCTTATCTTCTATTTTTATTCAATGCTTTCCAAAACTGTTATAAATTACTGTCACAAAAATGTTTAAACTGATCATTTTCTGATCCACCACCGACAGGCACAGAACAACTGGATTAGAGTTTATCTCCATGTTTGAAAGAAACCAATGTTTTGTCTCCTGTGTGTCAAAGTCTGACTCTTTGTGGACCCCTCCATCCACCCTGGTGGGCTTTGAGGCTTTATAATGTCCCATTGCTGCTGTGTCTAATCAATAAAAGGTACATCATATCTTATTACTTTCTCCTTTTGCTCCTTTGCTTTGTCAGTAAAATGTAAACATACGTTCTTTTTAGGCATTCTCACAAATTCCCTTTATTTACATCAGCCCCAAATCTTCTGCTTGTCCAACAGTTAATAATGTTAACAAAGCATGATAACCCTATAGAAACAATGTGACCTTTCTTTAGGACAAACTGACTTTTTCCCCTCACTAGTGATAAAGTTCAAAGGATCAAAGTAAAAGTTGTTTCTCCATCTTTAACGCAGCCATTTGGTTTTCTCATGTGATCATCATGTAGCATCATAAATATCGGATCCTCTACTTGTCGTCAGCAGCTAAACAGTGTGAAGGCTCAAATATTTGAACAGAGGAATACAGTATGACAACCAGCAGCTTACTGGGATCCTCAGGTTTCACTGTTATTTCTTTGTTCAGTGTCGACTACATTCCACAGCTGTAGACCAAAGCTGTAGACCAAAGTTACTAAAGTAAAAGACCTGAGTAGTACATGTAGAAATACCACTGTGTATAAATAGTCAAAGCAGGATTCTTACTTGTAAGTAAAAGTACATTAGCATAGCAGTATTAGTAACAACATTGCACACAGTCCACAGTACTCCTGACTGCTTCTCCAAACTGTGGGGCATGCTGACCAGTATCTACTGTAGAGGAACCCTTAATTCAGATTCTACATTTACTCATAAAAGATGTTCTTATATCTCCTTGTCATACATACATGAACTCTGACAGGGACCCTTCTTATTAATACCACCACTACTAACACTTTGTATGTAAACTTTTCACACTGTTGTAAATGTATCATAGTCAAAAACTACCGGTAACTCAGATCTGACTCAACTCTCATATTTCACCTGTTCTTTTAGACCTACATTGACATGTAAATCCTCTCAGGTATTCAGCTCAATGTGAGGAAACACACACAAGAAGACGAATGGTTTCTCACCTGCCGGAGGAGGAGAATCTGCTGCTGCTGACAGGACCTTCGATCAGGGTAGCTTATTCCCAGTAAGGATTGTTTTTAAAGTGAAGAAAGAGAAGGGAAAACCCTGCTGGCTTTACAACGAATGCTACTGGTTGGATCTGTAGTAACTGCCAGGGGCAAAACATTCTATAGTGGGTGACCACAGGCTGTGTGATTGGTCCAAAGCCAACCAATAGCAGGAGCTAGACAGAGACAGACAAAGTGAACCCGCCCTCCATAAGGTTTCCTGTTGCATGTGTTTAAGAAAAAGGTGTGATATAATAATTCCTCTCTTGTTTTTTATATTTCGTATTATGAATCTGAATTAACACAGTAACTAAAGTTATACAATAAATGTTTTACTGCTTGTTATGGTTTATTTTTTTTCCTGGTGAGTAAATAAGTAATTTCATTGGTTACATTTTCCTGTGTGACCTATCAACACATGGCTAATTTAAATATTCAAATGAGCCATGTGTTGATTCAACATGCGCTCATGCAGTAGCTACCACCAGGCTTTCAATCAAGCTCTCAGCTACAGAGAACATAACAGGAGCTAATGTAGGTTGTTGGTTGTACAAATATGGACTTTTATTGTTGAATTTCTCCAAATTGGTGCAGTAAAAATGCTTGGTATTAAGTATGTTTTTTATTCATCATGGTCGCATGAAACACTTTAATGTAACATATTTTATTTTAAATGTAGGTTCGAATTACAGCTTACTGTTCTTAATACCTTTATTTTGAAAAAGATGCTGAGCTAACGTTACTTCTCTGTAGCTGAGAGCTTGATTGACAACCTGGTGGTAGCAACTGCGCATGGCTCATTTGAATATTTAAATTGGCCATGTGTTAATAGGTCACCACACGAAAATGTAACCAATGAAATTATTATTTTGACACACATTTTTAGACAATAAGTATTAAACTAACAAGGTAATTTGTCAAAAGGCGGACCTTTTTTGTTATTTTCTCAAAAGGAGGACAAATGAGACTATTTGCTTCGGTACATTACAATCTTTATAAAAGCTTCAGTTACAACACGATGATAAATAGAGAATAAAAAGGGTGAAATCATTTGTAGAGTTCTCAAGTTAGAGAAATTGATTTTTGTGATAACTTTTGTCTACAGTCACACAAAAGCTGTATTTACAATACACATGAGATTTCATTGATGTGTATTTATAATATTTTGGATTTAAAGGTAGTTAAATTTACGTTCATTTTGTATCCTTCAGGGTTAACTGACATTTCCTCCCTGGTAACACATTTGCAGAAAAGTTTCTTATTATGTCCATACTAAGTTCTATTACACAGTAAAATAATGTGTATCATTTCACCACCTGTTCATAAAAACATAGCACTGGAACTCCACAGGGTATCTATCTACACAAGTGATGGTATCAGTTTTGTATCAGCTGGTAGAGAAAAAAAAACTAGTGTGCATGTTGGTTTTCAGTTCCCAGTTTATTAAGTAATACAGTTTAATACAACAGTAATTCCAACGTTAATGAAGCTCATAATGTTTAGAGAGGTGTCGACTCCATTTTATATATTACGTGTTAGGGACTTAATATTAGAAACACCTCTCTATATAAAACAGTACTGCTTTAAAAGGTCCAGTGTGTAGGATTTAGTGGCATATAGCAGTGTAGTTGCAGATGGCGACTCCCTCGCTTCACCTTCCCCTTCCAAACGTGTGGGAGAAACTGTAGAAACATGGCAGTTCGACACGGTGGCCTCCATGGAGGGCCCAAAATGTCTGTAGATATAAACAGCTCATTCTAAGGTAACAAAAACAAAGATTTTCTTTTAAATTCATATTATAAAAACACAGTTACACATATTATATTCAATTTCTGCTAATAGATCCTCCTAAATGTTGCACATTAGACCTTTTATAAGACGATGCCACTTACAGATTGAGCACACGGTTTAAAAAGATGTTGGATTAAACTCAACCAAGGCTCAAACCTGGCACATTTGGTCTTGTTGAGGTATCCGTATAAGAATTAGTTTGTGTAACAAATGAGCTTATTATATTTTATTTCACCATGTGTGCAGCTTGGAGGAAACAAGACAGACAACGTGGCACCTTGATTCAGTCAAAACATCAAAAACACTTCGTGAAAAGTGTTGTGTTAGTTCATATTGACGAGGGATAGCAGTCATCAAGAGATCAGGAGGGTTCCTGAGGTAAAGTGTGCACCCAGAACATCTGCAGCGTCCAGTGAACTCGCAGTGTCTGGTGTGACGGGCAACTTGAACACTGGTTCACCTGGGTTAAGTTAGGAGTTTATTGTTCTGTTGGGTGTTTTGGATGGATCTGGCCTCCTCAGTTTAAAGTTCATCACTGCGGGCCATCTTGGCCAACTTGGCCCGCAGAATCTGGATCTCCAGACTGAGCTTCTCTCTCTCCAGCAGCAGGTTTCCTCTCTTCAGCTCCAGCAGACCCGCGTCCACGACCACAGGGCCCCGGGGCTCAATCTGACCGTCCAGACCTGCGCCAAAAAAACACACATAATCCACAGAGTCCTGCAGCTACACCAGCGCAGGTTGGGAAGGCTCAGTTTTAGAGGAATAGTTCAGCATTTTGGGAAATACACCTTCAGTTACCACTCTCATATCTATCTGTAAAATATAGAGTTAGCTAGTTAACTAGGTTAGATTTTACTTGGACAGATCCTCTGTCTGTCCAACAACACAAATAAAATCCCCCTAAAAGAACCTCTAAAGCTCAACAATGAACACAGAATAGCTCGTTGGTTTCATGGAACAAAAAGCAGAAACAGGCTGGCTGAACAAAAGTTATTAGTCAGCTAGTGTTGCCAAATAGTTTTTTTACATAACATAATTTAACAAGAATTAAACATTGATTTTACAATAAGTAGTAGCAGCAGTTGCACATAATGGTAAAAAGTAACTTGTGCTGGTTACCTTCCTCCACATCTGTGTTCTTATTTATGGCCTTCATCTCCACTTCCACAGGATAATGGTCGCTCACTTTCAGAGCCTGCGAAATAAACCATTATTTATTAATTGACAATGAATGATAAATTAAATTGTGTGGGTCATTATATTATTCTGGATGAATGTGAACCAAGTTGTGTTGGCCAGAATCAAACCAGTTGCCGGCTGCAGAAGCTGTTCTAGTTCACTAAACAACTGATTGCACCACACAAACTAGTTCTTATGTAGAGATTAGTTGTTACAGAATAGTCACACCCACTAACAGGGTGCAACTACTGTGTACAAATAATGAATGGCCGGTACCACCCAATTGAATTTGGTGATTTTACCTTTTCTGTAATGCTGAGGTCAGACTTTCAGACTAAGGCTCTTAAGAACAATAATTCATTTTAAGCTTTCTTTGTGAAACCACAACAGACCTGCTCCTCACTGAGTCCATATGCCTTCTGGAAGTTGAAGGGTTTGGCAGAGTTTGGTACCACAGCCTGGAGCATGTCGTCTCCGTACACCACTATCCTGAATAGACAAGAACAGTCAGTCAGTCTCTTGAGATGTTCACACTACATACAGTAGGTTATCCTTATGGACAATGACATTACGTTTTCCAGTTACCTGTCGTATGTGTGGTCGTTTCGGTTGCTCGCCGTGGTGTCGACATCATCTCCAATCAGCCAGTGGAAGTTCTTGTCGCTACGGATACGGATGCCCTTCATTTCCTTCTTGGAGACGTACAGGCCGTCCGCATTGAAGTCGCCCAGGATCATCACGTTCTAGAGCAAAGAGGTGGAAGAACATCAACCACAACAACAACAGTGTCCATTTATAGATGTGCACCTAACAACACTTTTACTTATAATGTTGAATTGTTATGAAATAAAACTTATTTTAAAGTGGTACACATTTTTCTGACAGACATGAATTTTTTTTTTTTATTAGTTCAGCTGTTTCATCCTCTCGGATACTGGAACCATGTTTGGGAATGACTGTTTTAGATGACTGACTGATTGATTGATTGATTGATTGATTGATTGATTGATTGCATTGTTAGCACTGTCAGTGAATTGATGATGTCATGTCCTTACATCGGTTCTCCACTTCTTCTTGACGTGCTGGAAGACATCGTAGAGCTCATCCAGCTCCTTCTCCGAGTCGTCTGGTTTGGTGTGAACTGGGATCATCACTAGGTCCTTCAGCACTGTGGTGGACACACACACACACACACACACACACACACACACACACACACACACACACACCCCTTTAGAACAAAGTGTTTATATCTTTCTGACGATATTTCTTCCTCTCTAAAAACCTTTATTTATTCTTTTCTGTGCATGACAGACGTCTTTTACCTGTGTTGAGGCATCTGAATCGCAGGATGTAGGGATCTCTAGCAAAAACGTCTCCACCTTCAGTCACCTGGTCATCAAACTGATAGGAGCCCACCAAGTCCACCATGTCATCCCTACACACACACACACACACACACACACACACGCACACACACACACACCGTAAATTACTCATCTCAACAATCCTATTTGGATTACAGTTGTTTCTCTGTATTGTGTGTTTATTTTTAAAAGGCTTCTTCTGTATGCTCCGCAATTGTTCTAACCGTAAGCTTTAGTGACCCCTAGTGGGTTTGGGAAACTGTCCCAGAGTGATGTTCTGACAAACTGCTGTACAGACTCTGACCTCCTTTATAACTCAGTTGGTCATATTTATGGGGGAGTCAGTGAGAATCTGCTGCAGGTGAACGCTCACCTGTACAGGAACATGAACTGCTCCTTGTAGCGCGTTCGGCCCAGACGACTGCTGATCTTCAGAGTGTAGTGATGTGTCCTGTCGGATCTGGACAGACAGACAGACACAAACAGACAGACAGACAGACAGACAGCATAGCTTCAAAGTTAGATCAAACTAATGTTCACTTTGGTGATCTAGCGCCATCATCACTCATCATCAACTTCTAATTTGTCCATTACTTTGGTTTGTGACTAAACTAACTATATATATAACTAAAACTATAATAACATTCCCATCAGTCTCAGCTGTACTAAACTAATATGGTGAACATGGTTTAGCATTGTTAGCATCCCAACATCAGGGACTTTGTGAGACTTTAGTCTTGTTTTTATTATTTTGCCGTAAGAAGCACTACATGTAGAAAACTGCAATGTTGAGGAACTGATGTCTTGATCTAAATAATAATAATAATAATAATAATAGTAATAACAATAATAACTCACGTGTTGAGTGAATCCAGGAGGATTTTTACAGACTCTCCACTGATGTCCACCACCTCCAGGATCACAATGATGTCATATCGAGATATAACCTGGGAGGCAAAGAGAGAGAGAGAGAGAGAGAGAGAGAGAGGCCCAATCATTTTGTTGTTTGTTAAATTTCTGGTTTTGTCTTTAATCTTCTGGTTGCTATTCCAAGAAAACACAAGTTGACTCTTTGTCAGGTACAGAAAAAAAAAAAGTCAAATAATCCTTCATTTATTTTATTTTATTTATTTTATATTCTGTATGTGACAAAAAGTCAATCTGAGCTCAAAACACGACTTTTTACATGTAAAATAAACACATTTTTGATAGGAGCAGGTAATAGAGTGTGTGTGTGTGTGTGTGTGTGTGTGTGTGTGTTGTTGTTGTTACCTTAACCAGGATATTTAGGACGTCTGGGTCTGACACTTTGTTTTTTCCAAACTTCTGGATGTTGAAAGATGCTATTTTCATGGTGGCTGCAGAGAAAAAAAGAAAGAGAAGGGAAACAATTTTGGCTTTTTAACGAGTGCGTCTGAACGTGTGCAGGCATGTGTGGTATTACTGTGTGTACATCAAACAATGTGTTACATCTATGTGTGTATACAGCCGTGTCTCATAAAATCTGACAGCTTTTCAGCTCAACTTGCCTGAGGTGTGTGTAACAAGCTCCATTCACACTGTACACAATGAAAACATGTTTGTAATGGCTCAAGTAGACGCTGTAAAAAATACTGCTGGCACCAACAGTAGTACTGTTTGAGTCTGAAAGCACAGCAGGTGTCACATTTACTTCTTCATGTTCAAAACATGTCATGTCAACTGAAGATAAGCATGATACAATGTCAAAGACAACTCGAATGAATTAGAGGCGATTTAATTGAGATTAATTGGGATAATTTCTCTCATTTATCAACATTTCTTTCTCAATATTTGTTCAAAAAGCTAAGTTATAATTACAGAAGAACCCAGGAATAGTCGAGTGAGGGTAAAAAAACTGAAGAAGAGTTTAACTTGAACCACATGAAAAGAACAAAAGAACAAATGATTATGAAATACAACCCAAAAATAATAACCATTAGAAATTTAAATTAATAAAAAAAAAAACATCCTTAAATGAGTGAGCTGCTTTCTGAATTCTCCCTAAACTAACTCAATGATCAGTGTTTCAACCATAAACAACTGAAGGAAACATGCAGGACGTGTTCAGACTGGTTCTGTGTTTTTAAGACGGCCACTCCCAAATCCCCCATCACTGATCTGACCGGGCCATCTGCTTTACATCAACACAGCACACCCCATAATCTACCCCTCAGCTTTACCTCTCTCCTGTTTACTAGTAGAATGTAAATCAACATTGTATTAGAAACATAACCTTTTCTCATAAAGTCTGTCTCATAATATTATTGTTTTCATTCAAATTAATGATAAAAACATTCTAATCCTCAAATAGACTTTTTTATAATAAAAAATATTCATTCTTTGGCTTATTACCAACGACATCAGTTCCCTCCAACCTCTGGCGTCTCTCCACTGGCTCCCTGTTTGTTTTAGAATTGATTTTAAGATTTTACTTTTAAAGCACGTCTGAGCCTGGCCCCAAGCTACATAGCAGAAATGATCCCCTTAAGAGCCCGTTCACAGCCTCAGGTCCTCCGCTGGGGCCCTTCTGGCTGTAAGCTTAAATCTAAAGGTGACTATTACCATCAGCGCCCCTCGAGCCTCGACTCTGCCTGATGAAAACGGTTTGCAGAATCAGTGACTTCTTTTAAATCACTTTCTAAAGCCTACTGTTATAGTTTTATTTTATTATTACAGCTTCTATTCTGCTAGTTATATATATATATATATATATATATATTAACATTTAATTCCATTTTGTTTTGTAATAAATAATAATAATAATAATAATAATAATAATAATAAAATAGTAATCACTTTCACCGTTCTTAACTTTCATCATCATTGTCTTCCCTCTACCATATTTTATCATTTTGTTAATTATTTCTTCCTCTGCCTCAGTTTGACCTTGTTTTTAAAATGTGCTATATAGATAAAGGTATTATTAAATTAGATTCGATTCGATTCAACTTTGTCATTGCACAAGTAAAGGTACAAGGCAACGAAATGCAGTTAGCGTCTAACCAGAAGTGCAAAGCAGTAAAGTGCACAGTAATGTGTATAGGTACAAAAATATGTAAAAAAGGTACAAAAAAATATATTATTATTATTATTATTATTATTATTATTATTATTACTACTACCTCATCCTCAGTATCTTAGTAGTCACCTTTAATCAATAACAATATTAAGAGCTCAGTTTTACTTTTAATAAACTCAATACACAAAGATTAAAAGGGATTCAGTTAACACTACCAAGGCAGCTACACATGGTCAAATACAGTATTATGTAACAGCATATGTAACATAAAGGCAGCAATGAGCCACCTGAGGAAACACAGTGTGTCCCTGCAGTTTAGTGTCTCACCACAGGAATGTTATTGACTTGTAATCATTGCCATCTATCAAGGAGCATAAACCTCTTTTCAAGTCTGACGTAGATCACACACACACAGCTCACAGCAGTAAACATCAGTTGTTTGTGTTGTTTATAAATGTGCTATGTATGCATGTGTCTGTGCTGTGTCTGCTACATGAAATGGTGTTAAAAATAGTTAATTATTTGCCGATTGAAATAGCAATTTCTTTGTATAAAATATAATATAATAAAATATAATATAACCGCTCTTACAGGAAGTTTTGTTCCTCATAGTCTTCTTCCACTGTAACTGAATTTAAGTAACAGAACTGGTAAATATTTGATTGGCTCCTGATTATGACATATAAATTACACTGTAAACCATGGCCTATGTTATAAATTATTTTTATTATGACTACATCTAAGGAAGTAATAGATCAATTAGGTTTATGTTTTAACGTATTTGATCATTTAAGTCATTGTTGAAACAAGACTAATTGACTAATTATGTGCTTCCAGCCTCTTTAATAGGAGTATTTACCAGTTTTCCTTTGATTGGTTTGAAACCAGTTGATGAGAATCCTTTTTTAAATGTATCGAATTGACTGATGGAGAAAATATTTTGTATGAATAATACAGATAATGAAATATTGGCTGTAGTTGTTATTTGCAGCCCTGGATCTATGTGTATGTTGTGTTACGTGCTCGCCCTCTTGTCACTCCTTGATTGCCCGTTGTGGTTCGACAGGTACTTAAACAACAAGTTCCCTTAGTAACAGGGTATTTGCATTTGTGTTGTACAGGTTGTTGGACTAGTTTGTATTTTTCTTTCTGCTCAGTCAGGTGATCAGTATACGGCAGCTCATAACAGCCACATCGTGCCAACACACACAAAGCAGACGCTTCCTCGGTACTAATGCATACTGACGTTGTTGTAAACACTGGGATCAGATATCATTGTTGTCCTGACGAGTTTTACCTCTTATGAAAATGAAATGTTCAGACTGTTGCAGCCGTTTGTTTTCACATGCTGGTGATTCACATACAAGCGATGTCCTATCTGCTGTAACCGTAAAACAGTCTGTAATGACAGAAAGGACGTTTGACGACTGGATTTCTGCTTTCACATCCATCTTTTTTATTTATTTATTTGTTTTTGGAGCTTTTATTGCCTTTAATTGATAGTGACAGAAAAGGGGGGAGAGAGAAAGAGAGGATGACACATGGCAAAGGGCCGCAGGTCGGATCCGAACCATGGGCCACTACAGCAAGGACTCAGCTTAAAGATGGAGGTGAATGGGGCCCCATGTACCAAGACTGTTTTTGGCAGCAGGGACTTTTTAGGAGCTCATGAACTTTACCTGCATTAGAACTTCACAGTCATGTAGCAAGATCCAATTTTTTACCCCTCAAAAAGTCGCTGTAAGTTTATATTTTCTGTGGGAAAGACGTGGCTTCACTGCTCACTTAAAGGTCCAGTGTTTTCATTAGTGTATAATCACCCTAATATAGGAATCATTGTGCTTTTTTTTTTACCTTAATATGAGCCTTTTATATCTACAGTCACCGTGGGTCGCCTTCCATTGAGACCACCATTTTGTGCTTTGGAGGGTGGAGCGACAGAGTTGCAATCTTCAACTACAAGATGTCTTCAATTCCAAAATGATTATTTTCACTATCACAACCACATTCCTTCTGCACAACCATCTAGTAACAAAGCCAATAACTATTATAGTGGAGTTAATAATAGAAGTAAAACAGAAACCTCAACTTGTGTAGCATTCTTTCAAAAGCCGGGTTGATTCAACTATCAGTTTTCTCTGAGGCACAGAACAACTGGATTAGAGTTTATCTCCATGTTTGAAAGAAACTAATCTTTTGTCTCCTGTGTGTCAAAGTCTAACTCTTTGTGGACCCCTCCATCCACCCTGGTGGGCTTTGAGGCTTTATAATGTCCCATTGCTGCTGTGTCTAATCAATAAAAGGTACATCATATCTTATTACTTTCTCCTTTTGCTCCTTTGCTTTGTCAGTAAAATGTAAACATACGTTCTTTTTAGGCATTCTCACAAATTCCCTTTATTTACATCAGCCCCAAATCTTCTGCTTGTTCAACACTTAATAATGTTAACAAAGCATGATAACCCTATAGAAACAATGTGACCTTTCTTTAGGACAAACTGACTTTTTTCCCCCACTAGTGATAAAGTTCAAAGGATCAAAGTAAAAGTTGTCTCTCCATCTTTAACGCAGCCATTTGGTTTTCTCATGTGATCATCATGTAGCATCATAAATATCTATCTCTACCTGTCGTCAGCAGCTAAACAGTGTGAAGGCTCAAATATTTGAACAGAGGAATACAGTATGACAACCAGCAGCTTACTGGGATCCTCAGGTTTCACTGTTATTTCTTTGTTCAGTGTCGACTACATTCCACAGCTGTAGACCAAATCCTTTCAGTGATGGAGGAAGTACTCATTTTACTTTAAAAAGTAAAAGACCCGAGTAGTACATGTAGAAATACCACTGTGTATAAATAGTCAAAGCAGGATTCTTACTTGTAAGTAAAAGTACATTAGCATAGCAGTATTAGTAACAACATGCACACAGTCCACAGTACTCCTGACTGCTTCTCCAAACTGGGGGGCATGCTGACCAGTATCTACTGAAGAGGAACCCTTAATTCAGATTCTACATTTACTCATAAAAGATGTTCTCATATCTCTTTGTCTCAGTTTGTTGAGACATCTATACATGAACTCTGACAGGGACCCTTCTTATTAATACCACCACTACTAACACTTTGTATGTAAACTTTTCACACTGTAGTAAATGTATCATAGTCAAAAACTACCGGTAACTCAGATCTGACTCAACTCTCATATTTCACCTGTTCTTTTACACCTACATTGACATGTAAATCCTCTCAGGTATTCAGCTCAATGTGAGGAAACACACACAAGAAGACGAATGGTTTCTCACCTGCCGGAGGAGGAGAATCTGCTGCTGCTGACAGGACCTTCGATCAGGGTAGCTTATTCCCAGTAAGGATTGTTTTTAAAGTGAAGAAAGAGAAGGGAAAACCCCTGCTGGCTTTACAACGAATGCTACTGGTTAGATCTGTAGTAACTGCCAGGGGCAAAACATTCTATAGTGGGTGACCACAGGCTGTGTGATTGGTCCAAAGCCAACCAATAGCAGGAGCTAGACAGAGACAGACAAAGTGAACCCGCCCTCCATAAGGTTTCCTGTTGCATGTGTTTAAGAAAAAGGTGTGCGTGTGTGTAAGAGGATATCATCTGGTCTTTATGATCTCAAAACAAAAAAAGAAGGCCATGAATGTGGGCATTAAATGTGTTTGTGTGTGTGAGAGAGAGGATGTTTGTCAGCTCTTGGTTGCTCAGCAGCAACTCTACAGAGACAACAAGAACCCACAATGCAGTGGCACACGACACACCCACAGGAAATGGTTCACCCCCTAAAAAACACCCAAATACATTAGGAGTCATTTTGCATTTCCTGTGACAAACATCTGCAGTCCAGTTGAACACAGCAGATTTCCCAGTTTGTACTGGAAGTAAACAGGTAGCAAAGTCGGCATGACAACAGGAGGCGTAAAGATTTGTAGATGGTAGAAATATTTGTAAAATAACTTAATAAAAATGTGTGATATAATAATTCCTCTCTTGTTTTTTATATTTCGTATTATGAATCTGAATTTACACAGTAACTAAAGTTATAAAATAAATGTAGTGGCGTAGAAGCATAAAGTAAAAGAGTTGCACTTCAGCATAGTACTTAAATGTTGGTAGTCACTTTGCACATTATTGATCACAGCTATAGATGAACACAGTGGTGCAAAGTGAGCAGCTATATCAGTGAATGAGTTTCAGGCAGTTTACAAAGAGAGTAATTAAACCTTACGTGATTATTGAGATGGTGATGTAGGAATCAGCCATTAAAAGGATTGTAAGAAAAGGCCATTGATCAGTCAGAACAGGATATAACAAAGGTTTGTGAGCTTGTTTGGTTGATCACATCACTTTTTCTGTGGTTACGTCTTAAATGTCAAGCTCTGTTGGTCTACATCATATAACCTACTTTCATAAGACGTTCATCCTAGCTCTGTATACAGTTAATATAATGTGATAATCATGACAGCATTTACTTGTTTACTGTCAGATTTATTTAATTATTTACATAGATTTTTGAGAAAACCTTCAAATTAACCTCACAATTAGACACAATGAACGGGGAGAGAAAATGGACACCAGTATGGTTATGATGCTGCATCTGGATTATTTTATTTATCACAAAAAATGTCAACCTTAATTCTGTGACCAAGTTAACAAACTATTTCACAATTATTTACAATTACAAAGTATTTCCTTATTACGTTGATGAGCTTTGGAAAAAGCTAGTAAATGGACCATAAGTTAAGATAGATTTTTTTGTAATTTTGTGTATTTTTCCATGGTTGAGAATTAACTTTGACACTTTTTCCTTAGTTTTTGGACTGATCTGAATTATACTTTATTAATCTGTAACAAATGCTCATCTGCAAAGGTCTCGCAAAGGGATTCAATTTATAAACGTTAATTTATAAAAAAGTTCAAAAAGAAAGGAAATCCTCCCATTTGAGTTAATTACCAGGGAAATGTGGAAAACCATGAGCAGCATCACCGACTATAAATGAACCAAAAGCCCTGGAGTGGGGCGGGTGGGGTGTGTAGCATTAGCTGTGTCGATGTGCTGAACCTGTTTAACAGATTCGGTACAACCCCCCCTCTCCCACCAGCCCCTGAACCACCACATTCCTCAACTCACCCTGAACCCCCTCCCACTCTCAGGGCTGGGCTCAGAGCCATGCAGGTGACTCCACTTGTGTCCTGGATAACCTTCATTACCAAACCAGCAGGCCACAGTTTGTAAGACTAAGAAACTGCATCTCACTGCCATTGTGTGGTGTGTCAGTGGACGACTGGGGGAGGACTTCATCTGCATCTGAATGTAAGCGAGACGAAGGAGCTGCTAGTGGACTTCCACAGGACTAAGCCTCCTCTGATGTTGAAGTAGTTTCATTCAACCTTTATTTAAACTCGAGAGATCACTGAGAACATTAAGTCAATTTACAACAAGGAAAACAAAACCATCAACAAAATATATAAATGAGAGAGAAAGGCAATGATTTAGGTGAGATTTTAAAACATTTACATAATTGAAATGTTAAATACATACAGCTGTGTTAAAGAGCCCTAAGAGTTTAAGATAAAAGATCCAAAAGGTATAAATGTATTGATTTTAAGGAGGTACCAAATGTGATTCCAGAAGTCAAGTGTACTAAACCTAAAAGTCTTTCCCAGTTCTTACAAAGCACATCTGAGTGATAATTTGGAAATGTTCCAATTTCATTTACAGATTAAAAGATACTTGAGGGTCACATGTACATTTTGAAGAGAAAACCATCCGACCATATCATGCACAATATATAGATGTGTACCAAAGCCATCACAGGTAATGACTGTTGTTGTTATAGACAGGGTCCAGAAGTTTCAGAGTGTGTGACTATAAATCACATCACTGTAGTCCATGATGGACTTGAAATGGTTCATTCCTATAAATACCTCTGAGCACACCTGGTCGACAGGCTGGAGAGTCCGGGAACAGATTCCAGGAGTCAGACGCACTAAATTTAAAAGCCGTCTTTTGCCAGTTCAGACCTGACTTGTGGGAGATGAAGCAAGAGCCAATCAGCGGTAATTTGTTGGTAATTTTCCAATTAGGGCTTTATAGATAAATGATACCAGTGAGTGTCACATCATGTGAGATCATGAAGCTATACACTCGTGTCCACACCATGGTGATTTGGACCAATCAGCGTCCTGTGAGGAACTACTGGCAGCTATGGCATGAGCTATGGGCGTGTTTTAACACCAAGTGTGGGTGACAACGTGTGTGAGAAGTGACAACGGTAGCAAAACAACAATGGTGGCTGCTGAAGAAGAGTAGCTTTGGTAAGACTTGACTACGTTATATGGTTCTTTAATCTTGTTTGGACTCGGTCTCCACAGGTCCTGGTCTTTGACTTGGACTCAACAAAAGCAGTCTTGACTCCAGCACTGGCTCTCAGTCAACTAAGGGTTAAGACAATTTATTCAACCAGAGGTGTGAGCACTAAACGAGCAGTTTTAAACCTTTTATAGGTGTTTTAAAAAATGTTAAAGCCGCCACAATTAAATGAACAAAGACCTTTTCAGACTCTTCTCACCAGAAAAACAACACTGGAAATGTTCAAATACCCAAACTAACCATTGTCCAACCACTTGTGTTTAATATAACTAATATCTAATATTTTCTGATGATTGGTCCTTGTGTAATATTATTTCGTGTCCCACCCAAGTGTCCTGCTTCAACAAGAAATACATCATGTCAGATGGCTGTTGCTGACGGAGAGAGGAAAAGATGATTTCCAACGAAAGGTAGGTGGAAGCTGAACAGCCAAAATAAATAACTCAAAGTTTCTCCAAGTTTTCCCCGCTCACGTTGTGATTCATTGCTTGTTATGGTGTTTGGACAGGTGAGCTGGCACCTCAACTATAATTTAAATAGTAGCACTAGTTTCCACACTCTGCAATAGAAAGATGCTGGCAGGCACGTACATTAACTAAAATCTATGGACTTAAGCTGAAGTTCTCTCTATCAGAGGCTCTTCAATGAAACAGGATGCTGCTAAAACGTCAATTCAGTGGGATTTTGTCCAAATATTGTGAGTTGTTAATAAGGTGAGGAATGAATCTGGAACAGCTTATATGATAAATGATTCACTATTAAGTAGTTTATGAGTGACAGGATAAAGTGTTTTACTCCAATTTCTTTTTTTTCCTTGTGATTCTGGCCCTGCTTTGAGCCACCTTTTTGCTTTGACTCAACATTTGTTGACTTTTATCACCTTTATAAATTTCCCTCCTCCTTTATTTTCCCGCACTTTACCCAATTTCATCAGCTGTGTTTGATCAATGTCTGACTTTTGTTTGTAATACATAGATAAAATTGTGATTTTAGCAGTGGTGGTGCATTTGTTGTCACGTTTTTTTCTCCATCATGCATCATGGAAAGCAAATAAAAACCATGGAAATGACGATGTTTTTCCATTTACCCAGAAAGCCTACAAGACGGAACGTGCCATGTTTTTGTTGCGCTCTTCCCATGAAAGGTGTGTTGACATAATGAGGTGATTTCAAATAAGTGTGTGACAGTTAATATTTATCACATTTACAATTTGCTCTCCACAAAATTCTCCTTAAAGTGAAACACACTGATGACCTGTCAAAGCTCCACCTCCACTTTACATCATCTGAGACAAACAGGAAATAGAGTTTTACGTTTTTCTGCACAGACACGGACATACTGAGAGAGATGATAACATTAATCTTCATTACTCAGGGATGAGAGGTATGGGATGCAATACTGTAATACTAATGACTTCCACTTTAACTTGCTGCTGACTGGAAAAAACAGAACACGATTTAAACTGAAAGTAACTGAGGAACTTACAGCAGGGAGGGGCTCTGACTGTTTCTGTTTTAGCTTTGTGCCTATTGTGGGTTTTTTGCTGCATCCAAGGAGAAAATGGCTTCCCGTCCAGCAGAGGATCTCTCCTGTTCTGTCTGCCATGACATCTTTAAAGATCCTGTTGTTCTGTTATGTAGCCACAGCTTCTGTAAAGACTGTCTGCAGAGATGGTGGAGAGAAAGGCAAATAAAGGAGTGTCCACTTTGTAAGAAAATACTTTTGAGTGATCCACCTTGTAACCTGGTGTTAAAGAACCTGTGTGAGGCCTTCTTACTGGAGAGAGAACAGGGAGCTTCAGCAGGGTCTGAGGATCTCTGCAGTCTGCACTCTGAGAAACTCAAACTCTTCTGTCTGGACCATCAGCAGCCAATTTGTGTCGTCTGCAGAGATTCAAGAATACACAACAACCACAGATTCAGACCCATCGATGAAGCTGCACAGGAGCACAGAGAGGAGCTCGAGAAAACACTGAAGCCCTTCCTGGAGAAACGGAAGCTCTTTAGAGAAATTCAAGGAAACTTTGATCAGACAGCAAAACACATTAAGGTCCAGGCCAGACACACAGAGAGGCAGATTAGGGAGGAGTTTAAAAAGCTTCACCAGATTCTAGAAGAGGAAGAGGAGGCCAGGATCACTGCTCTGAAGAAGGAAGAGAAGCAAAAGAGTAAAGTGATGAGGGAGAAAACTGAGGCTCTGAGCAGAGAGATAGCAGCTCTTTCAGACACAATCAGAGCCACAGAGGAGGAGCTGAGAGCTGAAGACATCTCATTCCTGCAGAACTACAAGGCTGCAGTGAAAAGAGTCCAGCAGCGCCCCCTGCTGAAGGATCCACAGTTGGTCTCAGGAGCTCTGATAGACGTGGCCAAACATCTGGGCAACCTGGCCTTTAACATCTGGAACAAGATGAAGGAGAAGGTCTCCTACACTCCTGTGATTCTGGATCCAAACACTGCCAACCCAGAACTCATCCTGTCTGAAGATCTGACCAGTGTGAGCCGTGGAGAGACACAGAAGCTTCCTGAAAACCCAGAGAGGATTGACTTTTATCGCATGGTCCTGGGCTCTGAGGGTTTTAACTCAGGCAGTCACAGCTGGGATGTTGAGGTTGGAGACAATACAGGCTGGGTCCTGGGTGTGGCAGCAGAGTCTGTCCAAAGGAAGGGAGACATAAAGTCCGGACTGTGGAGAATAGGGTTATCTGATGGTAAATATGCAGCAGTCTCCCCATCAGATCCACACACTGTTCTCCCAGTGAAGAAGAAGCTCCAGAGGATCAGAGTACATCTGGACTGGAACAGAAGAACACTGTCGTTCTCTGATGCCGATACTAACACACACATACACACCTTCACACACACTTTCACTGAGAGGCTGTTTCCATACATCAGTAATAGGACTAAACACCAACTAAATATATTACCTATAAAAGTCTCTGTAACAGCAAAACAGCTTAGTCAGTGATGACAATGTGACATTGTCTCTTAAATGGGAATACCAAACAATTATGGGTTATTTCAATAAGTTATTTTCTTTATTCTATGTACAGAGTATTTACAGTGTATTAAGATTACAGTACTATTAACTGTGTATCAAATATTTACCCCCTGTAGGTTTGCAATGTAGCATACATATAATATAATAATCACCTTCTTCACTGTTGATTTGTGCTCCAAGATGTTTTATTGACTTTTGATCTATATTTAATTGATATAGCATATTACGATGTTCATATTACTTCTTGAGGTTACAGCGTTGACTTTATTATGACAGACAGAGTTGGCTTATGTTTGTCAAGTGCTGGAAAATAAATAAAACAAATGAATTGTTGAAGTAATAATTAATACGTTTTTGAGTTCATTTAAAATTTGTGCAGTATTTTAAGTATTGGTGATATGATTCCAGTTTGTTCCACGGACTCATTTTGACTTCATATAATTACAGAAATTGTCAGTGTTATAATGCTGAATAGGATTTCTCTTTTTTATTTCAGTTTATAAATCATATGAACAAGTTTGCATCTAAATAATTGTTAATGATCCCCAAAGTGTAAATATTTGTTGTTAGTCATATAAAAAAAAAACTTAGTTATTGTTAACAACTTAATTACAGCAGTGACAATTAAATAAATGGCTGCCATTTTGATCATCATTAATTGTAAATTGTTTTTACTGTATGTCAGTATGTGTTTTGACAGGTAATGTAATAATTTGATTTAGTGGAGAAAAACTAACAACTTAAGTGGTATAAAGATTTAAGTTTTATTAACTTAATTTACACAAGTTACGTTAAAAATATATACTTGTACTCAAATCAAATATTATTTTATGTTTATACTGTTTGAGTTAATAAACTTAAATTGTTGAAGGCAATCAGTTCCCACAAACAGTTTGAGCTGAACTACTTCATTGGATTTTACAGTTCAGGCCTTAAATATGCAGTCAGAGGACAGTGTGGACAAAAAGTTTGTACCACGTGTATCATAAAAAGCAGTGTGACTCTCCTGCTACTGCTTTATGATTCAGTGCCTGCTGAAGTAGCCTAGTAGTTCTATCAATGTATAATCGTAGTTTGTATACAACTGACAGCCAAATCAAATAAAGTACAATTCGATAATATTTCAACAGTATTTATTGTCAGTTTTCACTTTGAAGATTAACAAAGGGGGGACAGCATCCCACCTCAACCCCCCTCAAATTGCCTACTGTGCAGCCCCATACTCAATAAACTGTGACGCACTGTGTGTTCTGACCCCTTTCTATCAGAATCAGCATTCACTGTTTCAGCAGTTTGAGCTACAGTAGCTCGTCTGTTGGATCGGACAACACAGGCCAGCCTTTACTCCCCACGTGCATCAGTGAGCCTTGGCCACCCATGACCCTGTCTCCGGTTCACTGCTTTTCCTTCCTTGGACCATTTTTAAATAGGTACTGACCTCTGCAGACCGGGAACACCCCACAAGAGCTACAGGTTTTGAGATGCTCTGACCCAGTCGTCCAGCCATCACAGTTTGGCCCTTGTCAAAGTCGCTCAAATCCTCACGCAGCTCATTTTTCCTGCTTTTAACACATCAAGTTTGAGGACAAAATGTTCACTTGCTGCCTGATATATCCCACCCACTGACAGGAGCCATTATAATAAGATAATCAGTGTTATTCACTTCACCTGCCAGTGCTCATAATGTTATAGCTGATCTGTGTATATACTAACAAATATGTTTGGGTCATATATACGTGCTAGACATAAATCAACACATTGACTATTAATCATTTTCATAAATACTCATGTAGGCCTCAGTTACACTGTATATTTTGCAAATGTTTGTCAACAGTATAATGAAGGGTCACTGTATAATAGCCTAAAAAACTGTAAGACATTACATACCACATATGATTTTTATATATTACATTTCTATATGGATTACTTGGTGGCTGATTACAAATGGGTCCTTCTTCAGCCTACAAATCACAGTAAGCTATAAAAGAAAGTTCTTTCAGTCTTTACTGGGTGCACAACATTAGTAGTTTTACTGCTGTCTTTGAATAAAAACCTTCGATGCTGTGAAGGAAACTCATGCTGAATTTTTTAAAGCTGATAAAGCTCCACCTCCAACTCACCTGAGACAAACCAGGAAACAGACTGTCCTCCACCAGGAAGTAGCACACACACACACACACACACACACACACACACACACACACACAAAGAGAGGCAGACAATAACAGGCTCTTTCACACGAGACCCAAAACTTCCCCTGAGGGAGGAAAACTACAGCAGGAACTATTGCGAGCACTACAATTTTAACACGCTGCTGACTGCTTTCACGGACTGGAATTCAAGGGGAGAATATGACTCAGAGTGAATGTAACTTTCAGGGAACTTTCTAGAAGAGGAATAGGAGTCGCGGTTGACTGACTTCCTGTTCTGCCTGGTGTGTTTTCAGCCTCAGAGAGAAAATGTCTTTCCAATCTGAAGAGGATATTACTTGTCCAGTCTGCCAGGATATCTTTAAAGATCCTGTTGTTCTGTCATGTAGCCACAGCTTTTGTAAAGACTGTCTGCATACATGGTGGACAGGGAAAATACAGGAGTGTCCAATTTGTAAGAGAAGATCATCAAGAAGTGAACCGCCTTGTAACCTGGCCTTAAAGAATCTGTGTGAGACCTTCATGCTGGAGAGAGATCAGAGACATTCAGCAGGGTCTGAAGCTGTCTGCAGTCTGCACTCTGAGAAACTCAAACTCTTCTGTCTGGACCATCAGCAGCCTGTGTGTCTCATCTGCAGAGATTCAAAAACACACAACAACCACAGATTCAGACCAATTCATGAATTTGCACGGGACCACAGAAAGGAGCTCCAGAAAACACTGAAGCCCTTACAGGAGAAAGTGAAGATCTTTGAACAGGTTAAAGGAAACTGTGATCAAACAGCAGAACACATTAAGGTCCAGGCCGAACACACAGAGAGGCAGATTAAGGAGCAGTTTGAGAAGCTTCATCAGTTTCTACAAGAGGAAGAGGAGGCCAGGATCACTGCTCTGAGGAAGGAAGAGAAGCAGAAGAGTCAGATGATGAAGGAGCAGATTGAAGCTCTGAGCAGAGAGATAGCAGCTCTTTCAGACACAATCAGAGCCACAGAGGAGGAGCTGAGAGCTGAAGACATCTCATTCCTGCAGAACTACAAGGCTGCAGTGAAAAGAGTCCAGCATCGCCCCCTGCTGGAGGATCCACAGCTGGTCTCAGGGGCGCTGATAGACGTGGCCAAACACCTGGGCAACCTGACCTTCAACATCTGGAAGAAGATGAAGGAGATGGTCTCCTACACTCCCGTGATTCTGGATCCAAACACTGCACATCCAGAATTCATCCTCTCTAAAGATCTGACCAGTGTGAGTTACGGAGAGAGACAGCAGCTTCCCGAAAACCCAGAAAGGACTGACTATCATCGCTCTGTCTGGGGCTGGGAGAGCTTTAACTCAGGGACTCACAGCTGGGATGTTGAAGTTGGGGACAATGCAGCCTGGTTTATCGGTTTGGCAGCAGAGTCCATCCAGAAGAAGGGACGTGTGAAATCTGGGTTCTGGCAAATAGAGTTCTACAATGGTAAATACAGTGCACGCTTGTCAGGAGATCCACCCGCTGTTCTCCGAGTAAAGAAGAAGCTACAGAGGATCAAAGTTCATCTGGACTGGAACAGAGGAAAACTGTCATTCTTCGATCCTGATACTAACACACACATACACACCTTCACACACACTTTCACTAACAGGTTGTATCCATGCATTGGCACTTTGAATGAACTCCCACTGAAGATATTACAAGGCAAAATCTCTGTAACAAGAGAGTTAGTTGGTGTAGTTTAGTTAAATTTATTAAAGTTATTTTAGACTCTATGTAATCTGTGTGGTCTTGAGATACAACAACATTTCTTAAAAATAGAACTTAAAGTAGTGGTGTAGTGGATATTAAATGCAAAACTTTTTTATAATGAAAATGTAATAATATGGTACATCACATAATAAACAACCAAAGTGGATGTCTTAATTTATACACTTTAACTTATAACAATTAACCTAAATCAAAGTGGGTTTTGACAGTCCATCTGTTGACACTAGATATCAGTAGTTATTCAGTAGCATGTCTGTATCAGTTGACATTCAACCAGTTTCAACAGACAAGTAAACTGTCAGTAGATTATAAGACTATAGACTATGTACAGTGTGTCCATTGACTATCAATATGTTTATTGAAACAAGTTATTAACCAATAATAATCTAGCTATCCAGATTGGCTCTCGAAGTTGACTATGAACTACTCAAAATGAATCTATCGGTTGAAAATCAACAGGATCATGTCAGCATGGTATTATGTTGTCCTAACTCAAACACTGTTGATCATTTATGAAATTATCAAAGATTAGTTGATGATCAACCGATCTGTTGTTTGTGAACTTTGACCTTTGTGATCTGCCACATTTCTTCTAAAGCCACCAACTGGTCAGCATTTGTAACATACATTAATTCTGACCTGAGATCAACGCACATCATAATTCCATTTATATAACTCAAGAGAAACTGAAAACAATCTACAGTTGAACTTAAACCTTTAAACTTTTGAACAAAAATGAACAGTGTACTATAACTAATTCAGATTTAAGATCAACCCTCAGTGACGCAGTGATCAGTACGGTCCTCATTAAGACGTCTGCAGTGTACGATTGAATCTCTTGCTGCTTGCAGATAAATATTTACAGATTGTACAGTAATGTCAACCCACTGCTTACTGCATCATATGACCACATGAGGGCGTCCCAAACTCTCTGCAAACTCAAACAGGCCTAAAACCCTTTAGTGTTGAATCCTCAGGTGTGGCTGCTTTACAGTGTGCTTAGTTTGATGTTAGTATGTATTTGCACTTGTGTGATTATTGCTGGCTGTTTTTATTTATGAAATATTTCTGTTTTTTAGATTTTAGATGTTTATATATTGCTTTTTCTTTCTTCACTAAATTCTCTTTTTTCCCCCTTCTTCATCCAGTCTAAAAACTTGAAAATGTCTTTAAGTTGACAAACCATGTTTTCAAATAAAAATCAAATTAAACAAAACTATGTTTTGTCACAATCTCTTCTTTTTGGGATATTTTACTGCTTCTACTTTTAAATGCTGAATGGTCTTTAACTTATAATGGATTACTTTCCCACTTTGGTGTCTGTAATTTTATTGAAGTAAAAGGAATTGATGTCACAATTCTGAGGCTGAGCCCAAAAGCAGACTGAGACTGGTAGTAGTGAACACAATGTCTTTGGTGTGATGAAGGGTGATCTGAAAGCTGGCTGAAGTCTGGGGCTTGAGTTCATGGGTAAAGGTGGTAAAGGAAAACCGGTGCAGAGAGCTGGTAGTCGGGCGTATCTGGTGGCAGAGGAAACTGTTATAAGAGAATTTAGTAAGCAGGCTGGCAATCAAAAGACCACATCGGCTGACAAGTTCAAAAGAGCTGAAGCAAGGCACACACCATACTGTGTGAGGTGCGACGATTAAACAGGGACTGGATGTCTGCCAGGCTTCTTATAATGGTGAGGTGCAGTCTAGACTGAAGGAAGGTGTGCTTGATTGTGGGTGACCAGCAGGTGAGTGGAGACAGAGAGAGAGGGCAAGGGGGGGAGACAAGCAGACAGACAAACCCAACGAGCAGGCCTCACTCACACTAAGGTAACAAACAAAACCACACAGTCACACAATCACACAGCAATCAATCAATTATTATTACCGTGGAAACACTGGACAGCAGGTGTCACTGTTACCATGGAAGTATGGCACTAGGTTTCAAACAAGTCAGATATTTTTGTGAAACCGTAAAACTTCATCAGTATAATCAGCAAAATTAAGACACTTTAATTAACACAATGGACCAAAATATAAAAAAATAAAATAAAAGTCAAAAATATGTCCCAGATTTGACAAATCTTTCCAGAAGATCATGAGTTTCATTTCCTTTGCTGGTTTTATACTCTCTCTGTGTGTGTGTGTGTGTGTGTGTGTGTGTGTGTGTGTGTGTGTGTGTGTGTGTGTGTGTGTGTGTGTGTGTGTGTTTGTGTGTGTGTGTGTGTCTTCAGTCTAATAAGAAATCTTGATCTGTTCACCAAAAGAGGAAATCCCATCCTTTTCATTGCAGCTCGAAACCTCCGCTGGTGAGACATAAAACTCGGCTGGTGAGTAAAACAACGTGTTCTGAAATACTGCTGATAGGAAAAATGCATTTTTATTCAATATTTGTTAATGCTGTTAGTCATCTTTACAACAGTCAACACTAAGTCAACATAACTTAACTATAATTTGATAAAGATAGAAAGATAAACGTAACCAAATGTCACTGTGATCGATTATATCTATATATATACACATAAGTTGTTTTTCATAAAAATTAACTGAACGTACTGTTTGTCTCAAAGGTAAAAAGTGATTATATTATTACAGATCTGATTATTAATGGGTCTTAACACTAACATACTTTGTATTTTTAGATTGTTGTTAAGTGTGTGAATGAATTCTGTGGTTTTTTTAGGTGCATAATTTGCAACATTTTGCCTCAGTTTGCACCTTGTTGGATAGATAATTAAACAACTCAGAACTAAAATCACTCTTCCTCTGCAATCTGTAATTTAATTACTATGACTCTTTCTTAAATTTCCCATTTTCATTGTTTGAAAGATGTTATTATGTTTGAATCAGAGGTAAAGGAAGCATTAGTCCTGCACAATTTATAATCCTAATACTAATTCGAATTTGTCTGTTCAGTAAACTGTCTAAATATATTCTCCTGTAAAATGTGTTGCTTTGAATTATGCTTTAAATCCTTCTCCACACTGTCAAAAACTAAATATATATTGAGTCTAAAAACCCAAGATGTGGAAGTTATCAGTGGTAGAATGGTTGCTATGTACATGTAGGAGGACAACAAATACAAATACATTTTGTTTTGACCTCAATCATCACCTTCTTCTTCTTTCAAATACCATTGACTGTTAAATCCAGTGTTTTGGACCATGGGAGGTTATTATGGGCTGGCGGTTCTGGTGGGCGTGGCCTTGCTTCTGACGACCGGCCAATGTGACGTGAGCTGCAGAGGAACGGACGGCCGAGCGGGAGAGGACGGAATCCCCGGCAGGGATGGATGGCCTGGAGTGAAGGGCGAGAAAGGAGAGCCAGGTAAAAGGCTCTTGGATATACAAATGTTTTTTTCTACAGTAGCCCAGAACGGACAAACCCAACATTGGTTCTAGATTGAAGTCTTTCCCGCTTTTCACAAGTTTCACAGCCACCATAGTTTCTCCTGAACACTTAAGAAGGCTGAGCTGTATTCAAATGGTTTCAATCTACAACTTCACCACTAGATGCTACTGAATCCATCACACTGGTCCTTTAAAAGTTGATGTTTAATCATTCATCTGTTTGTCTCCAGCTGTGATGTCCCGCGGTCCGGTGGATCCAGACGTCCTCCTGAGGCTGAAGGGGGAGATGGGGAGTCGGGGCATTCAAGGGGTTATGGGTCCTAAAGGTTACCGTGGAGAACTGGGAGCAGGGGGTCGCCCGGGAAGTCCTGGTCGCCCCGGCCCTGATGGGAGGAGCCTTGGTCAAGGTAATGACGTGATCCTAAAGCCTACAGGTTATATCATGCTAAAATACAGTGTATTTATCACAGCATATATTTTTCTAAACTCATTTATGACAAAAAATATGACAGGACAGAAAATAAAACTGCTGGTTCTAGCAAACAAATGAAATAAATAAAAAGGCAAAATAGAAGTTAGCTTAGTTTAACAAAAAAATACAACAACAAACTCTAACAACATGATGGACAGGGCCAATTGTTACTCTTTGTATTATGGATTTTTAAATCATTGCACATCTGCACTGGGACACAACACAGATACACAGATACACAGTTATAATACAACAAGACTTGAACCTCACTAGATACACAATGAACACATACTAGAGGCATGAATTATGAAAGATAATTATATAAAACAACTATATAAACGATATATACAGAATCCTGTAAGATTCAAGTCTGTTGCACCTCTTTTATTATTTATTTCATTAAAAAAATAGATTTTTATTCCCTGTGTGTGTGTGTGTGTGTGTGTGTGTGTGTGTGTGTGTGTGTGTGTGTGTCCTTCCTGTTCCTAGGAGTACACTCCCCTCAGCAGGCCCGTTCAGCTTTCTCAGTGATGAGAAATGATGACAGTTATCCTCGCTACAACCAGGTTCAGTCTGTCGTCTATCGCCACTCTCTGTCTTTCCGCTGTTTCACCCTGAAATAATTTAAAATCTGCAGTATATTTACAAATAAAATGAGCTCTTCTGTCTTTTTTTAATGCTGGAATAAAGGATAATCTTTAGAGGTATCTAGCCATTCAGATAGCTTCAGTTTTATCTGTCTTTGACTAAAACTCTGCCTGTGCAGACGTAAGTATGTCTTTCCAGAAATGGTCAAAACATTTCATAGCAACTACAAAAGAAACAGTTATTTTACAATTGTTCAAATTCATCACAGAAAGACAATTAAAAATATTTAAACTTGAAGCAACAAATAGAATTTTTCACCCAGTCCTTTACCTCTGTTCTTTAACATTTTTCAGGTTGTGTCAGCTTATTATTCAACTTTTTTGCCTGTGTGTGTGTGTGTGTGTTTGCATATCAGGTAGTAACCTATCAGACTACTGTGGTCAACACACCTGGGGACTTCAACGCAGCCACAGGTTACTTCACCTGCAGAGTACCTGGTGTTTATTACTTCACCTTCCACTCTGCGGCCAGGGTAACACATTTAAGTAAAAGTCAGCAGAGAGACTTTTAAAGTTGTCTGAGATAAGTAATCTGCACCTACAGCTCTATTATCAAACTGCATCACAGTTGTGCTGTTGTGTTCTATGTTTTTTAGACCAGCATATGTCTGCGTATAGCCAGTGAGGCTCTACTCAACAAGCTGGGATTCTGTGATTACAACAAGAACAGGAACTATGATCAGGTCAGTTTCTGTGCTGAGTACCACTGAGTCTGGGAGGTGTCAGGGAGGGAAAATCAAATTCCTAGATCTTATTCTTCAAATTTGACACTGCACTCTCAAGAAGAACAACAGAAACACTGCAAGCATCTGAAAACGACATATATTTATGTTCAAGTTTAAAAGACGGTAATAAAATAGATTCAGATGATGTTATAGAATGACAAAGTGTGCGTGAGGAGGAGGTCGGCTAAATGGATGGGTCAATAAAACATTAAACTTTAACATAAAAGACGAACAGAAGAGGGACTAAAAGAACAGATTTTGATGAGTTGTATTATGTTTGTCATGTTTGAATGAAGTTGTTGTGACAACAGCAGTTTATGGTTAAACAGAAGGTCTGTCTCTGTAGGGATCCTTTCTATTATCTTGTCAGATGCTTAGAATAACACAAGCACAAGAATTAGTTATGTTTTGCGAATAATTTTTACATCTAACTATAACAGAAGTCAGGACACTTTTCATATAGAGCTCTAGAGGTCTAGATTGTGCTGCTTATATAATTATTTAGAGACCCAACAATTCCAACATGTGCAAGCACTTTTTCTGTACGTTGAGACAGCTTTTGATTCTATTCATACTGGCCATTAAAAGATCCCTTCCTAATATGCTTCCTGTGTATTTGATTGGGGACAAAACCCACAGTCCTTCAGCAGTCTGACTTAGTCAAATCAAGTATCTTCCAAACTTCCCAATACACTTTTACAATATATCAGAAATGGCAGGGTTGTCCACTAATAGAGAACAAATTTTGTGAAATGACAATAATGATAATAAAGGTTGTTTCCCGAAGCTCTGAAATTTCCCTGGACATCTTCCAGTCTCTGTGGCGTACATACTGTACACATCTTCAGACTTGCTCATTGTTGTATCCTGAGATTTGTCTGCTTTGGGATCTCAGACGGTTTACAGCTCAGAATAATCTGTGGTTTCTTTTGCACATTAACAGCTGAGTTGTGTCATGATGCCTGGCTGTTATTCGCTGTGCTGTGTTTCAGGTGCTGTCGGGCGGCGTGGTCTTAGAGCTGACAGCCCGGCAGAGAGTTTGGCTTGAGTCCTTCGAGGACGAGCAGGCAGCTTCGGAGCAGCGAGACACACGCGCGAAACAGATCATCTTCAGTGGCTTCCTGCTCTTCACACATCAAGAATAAAGTCCAGTTGTACACTCAGCATGGAGTCAGGGCTGAAAACCTGATACTTTTTGAACCTTTATGAATTTAGAATCTAAAATGTTTTTACCATAACTCGAGATCATAATAGAGTAATATTTGTGAAACTTTTATGCTTGTTTGGTTTGAATGTGAACCCACAGGTGACTTTGGATTTCACCAGTTTGTTTCCTTTACATTAACTCATGTAAACCTTCTTTGGTTGTTGACTTTGTGAGTGCAACTATTAAAAAGAAAGTTTATTATTGAGTGTGGGCATGTTTCTTAAGACTAAAGGCACAATACGTATAGTTTCATTACACACTTTCTAGAGACTCATCCACACAAAAACCCAAATATCTTCCCACCGTTGTTGTTTTAATGTCATAATGTCACAATAGTGTTAATACAGTGCAGGGGGCTGTGTTGGTGAGAGATTAATGGGTTTAAAGGTTAATCAGACGTCAAAACACTTCACAGAAGTTTATAATCACAAACAGGATTTTACAACTCTGCAAACTTATCAAAATTATATTACAATAATTTAGTTTAGAAGTACTCAGGTTACAAAGTAATCAACCTGGAGTCTGTACTTGCATGCTGGCAGACCTGACGAGTAAGAGAGTATGCGACAGAGAGTTGATCTCACAGTTCAAAACAAATCCACTGAACCTGTTTGTATGGTTTCCAGGGGGACAGACAGATAGCAGCAGCAACTGTATTTGCAGCAATTTCCATTCAGTTTTTTTTTTAAATAATTAACTTTATTTAAATTTGTGCTTCCACCATGAAGTTTTGCTAACAATCTCTTGCCAACAAACATATATAATAATACCTCGTTGTATAGGATAGTATATAGGCTAATATGAAACATTGATATTGTCACATACACAAAACATAACATGCAAGATATGAGACATGTACATTCATATCACATTCATTCATTAATTTAACACATTACACATACACCATTAAATTTATTAATGCATAACGTGCACTGAGTATTTATATATAATCGCACTTCTTGATGGGGAAGTAATATCCGTTTTTCTATGTTTGATTTATTAGGGAAGGGTTCTGTTCTGTTTTAGATGTTAATAGCCATCTGTTACAGGTTGAATGTAAGTTTTCTATCTTAAACATCCAGAAAAGTTACGCAAAAATGTTTCCTACATTTATACAGTACTTTTGTGTAGTTTCAGCCTCGTGTGACCTCTCTGAAGATTATGGAAGTGAAACATTGTTGGTTTTTTGCACTTCTTTTTTTTTGGTAAACTTTTGCCACTTTGGTAAATCCTCAGTTGACTTCTACCTTCCATTATTGTGTGTGTGTGGGTGTGTGTGTGTGTTTAAGTCAGCCCTTACTTTATTTTGATTAAATTGCTGAAACCTGCTTCTTGGAAGAAAACATCCTGTCATGAGTTGAGAAGTTGAGCTGGGGTGGTCGGAGTTAAAGGTCGTGGACGCTCAGAAAGAAACTCTCTGTTGTTCTAGCAGGAATCCAAAGACCAGCACAAGCAATGTGTTAGTTCATCTCTCAGTACTTTCTGTCTTTCTGACTTCCTGTCTGTGGTTCTCAGCTCAAAGCCCACTGGTTCCTGCTGAAGATGTAAATCATAAAAACAGCTAATTCCCCCAAACAGCTGAGCACTGTATTACTCAAACAGGAGGATATTGTGGATTTGTTAAAGCACATTTGTTTTAAGCAGCAGAACAGTGTATTGTACAGCGGCTGTTTTAGCTTTTTTCATTGAACTTGGTGATAGTATAATATAGAATATCACCATAATTTCTTTTCTATAATGTCTGTTTATTGGAGAACTTTTTAAAATACAAATCAAATATAATAAATAAAGGAGTGGATTTCAAAGATATCACCATAAATAGCTCCATGTTATCAATTACTAGTCATGGATTCATCCAGTTCAATTCAGTTCAAAAGGGCTTTTTTTGGCATTGGAGTTTCAAACTGTAAGATCACATCTTTCAGCTTGAGGTTGAGTGGGTTCGTGGGTTATTTGGCTTCCAATTCAACAAAATGAGAATTTGGTCCAGCTGGAGTTACTACATAAGTAAATGTACCCTACATGGCCAAATGTGTGTGGACACCCCTGTCCATGTGTTCTTTTTCTCGGGATGTTTTTCTAGGTTTAGGTGTCACAAATACTGGGATACTTTGATTAGGTTACTGACTATATTTTTTTTCAGGTACATATATTACATTTTTAAAGTAACCCTTCCCCAACCCACACATATATATATATATATATATATATATATATATACATATTATAATCTATTTCATTATCTCTCTCTGTCTCTGCGTCCTTCCAACTCTCAGTAACCTCCCAGAATTGCAGAACTACATACAGTCGGCTCAGAAAATATATTCTCTGACGTAAGAGCTGCTGAATCTTTGGTTTTGTGTCGGCTTCCTCCTCTGGCTGCTGCAGGACTCGGAGCTTCTCTTCAGTTTGCTATAAACTCACCGCTGTGGGTTTCATTTATCTGTTAGTTTGTTCTCTCGGGTGAGTTTTATACATATCTTACATTTATTTTCCACATCTGTTGATTATAGTTTACTAAATTAAAGTCATTTATTTGTAAAAGAGAATCTGTTTTTGTTTACAAGATGCTCTTCTGTTTGTCCTTTCATTATTATTATTATTATTATTATTATTATCATTATGATTGTGTATTATTTTATATTAAAAGAGGACATATTTGATCGGTATAATGTCACCTCACATTTTCTTTGTTAAATTGAATTATATTTTCTTGACTCAGTTGCTCAAAGGCACTGTGTTGCATTTTACAGGGGATTGAACCAAACTGTCAGTTTTGCTTTTCTCCTCTACCGCCTCTTTCCTCCTTGTCTCCTCTGCGTCTCCACTTCCTCCATATTCCTCTTTCCTTACCTCCTCGTCTCCTCTCCTTTCATCTCCCCATTCCTCCTGCACCAATGTCTTCCCCCCTCTCCTCTTTCCTTGTGTCCTCATCATTTCCTTTTTTTCTCCAGCACCCTTCCCTCCTCTCCTAATATTTCTATTCTATTCTGTAATCTTCCTTTTTGTCTTTCCTTTGCATTGTTTCCTTTTCTTTTCCCCCTCCCTCCTCATCTCATCCATTCCCTCCTTGTCTCCTCTCCCTTACTCTTCCTGTCTTTGCCTCATTTCATCTTCCTTTTCCCTATTTTTTCATCTCCTCTTTTCCCCTATCATTTCATTCTGTCCTCACTTCCTTTCCTTCTCTTCTAATCTAATCTTTCCATTTCTTATCCTGTTCTTCCCTCCTTTCTCCTGGCCTCCTCCATTCTGTCCTTGTCTCCTCTCCTTCGCTTTTCTTCCCATCTTTCTTTGTTTTGTGTTTTTCTTCCTTGTCTCCTGTCTTTTTATCTTATCAGTCCTTCCCACCTGTCTCTTCCTTCTCATTTCTTGTTTAATTTTCCTAATTCTTCAACTCCTCTCATCTTTCCTTGTCTCCTCTTCTCCATGTCAGGTTCTCCGTCATGCCCCAGCATTGTTTCCTCATAATCAGCGCCGTGCTCTCACTGGCCATACACCTGCTGGTTGCCATGGAGAGCTGCCCAGCAACAGGGATGCCAGGAATGCCAGGTATGTGCATGCATGTTTGTATGTATATGTGTGTATCTTTTTTTAAAAATGTATTTATTGTTTATCCATCTTTCCATCCTCAGGTATTCCTGGGATGCCTGGCAGAGACGGTCGAGATGGAGGGAAAGGAGACAAAGGAGACCCAGGTATCCAACAACATGCTGATCCACAAGTTTGTGCAGATCATATTTAAACTTGCCATTATGTTTGCATTGCAAATGTGATGCAACATTTTTACAGCTAACTTGGATGGAATGGAAAATTAAATTTAAAAAACTGTGACTTATTTTTTTACTTTACATGAAAAAACAGGGGTACGTGTTTGATTCCAGCTGTGGCATTTCTACAGACGGAGATTGATATTGGTCTTCTAATCTAACTCTTGAAAAAAACAAACAAGCGTATTTCCCACAATGTTGAACTATTCTATACTATACTATCAAACACAGGAGGTCAGTGTAGTTATTATGCCAAACTGTTGTTGCTGTTTACAGGAACAGTGGGGAACGTTGGCCTCGGGTTTCAGAAGGGGGACAAGGGAGACCTGGGGCTGATGGGATTCTCTGGTAAACGAGGCCAGAGCGGAGACCCCGGGGAACCAGGCGTTCCAGGGGTTGCCGGACCTCTGGGAGAACCAGGAGAAGCAGGGTATGTAATTGAGGAAGGCACAGGTGTTCTAATGAGGGCAGCAGAGTAGTTATTGATGATCATTAAAAGAAGAGTTAACAATTCCCGCCAAGCCCAACTGAGCATCAAGGCCGGATTACTGACTGGACAAATGGGGCAACTGTTCAATGGCCCCACACACCTCAAGGGAGATGACTGCCCTGTGTGGTAATTTGATTAACTAAACTGATGCTTACATGCTGCATATATGCTTCATAAGTTGTGGGACATTCTAGGTAATGTGATTCTAACAAACAAACAATCAGACCGAGCCACACAACACTAACATGTTATTCCAGCTAGGATTTATGTTGGACATTCAGCTTACTTTCAAGTTTCCAAAGACATATTGTTGTATATAATAATGTAATGTTAGCTATAGCAGAAGAGTTCTGAGAATCACTGTCTGGAACTGGTCTGCTGTCTCGTTAGTTACATTACTTGCTGTGTTGTTTTTTACATTATATCTGTTTGTCATGGTTTTGGATTTTCTCCAGAATTTCTTACCACACCTTCAGCTCTGAGTATCACTCTGTGTTATTTCTGTGGCTGCAGGACTATTGGCGTCCAGCAGCAGGCAGCCTTCAGTGTGGCCAGAGGAACCGACCAATACCCGGACAAAGCCAGCATCATTCGGTTCACCAACGTCATCACCAACATCAACAATGACTACCAAACAGAGACAGGGCGCTTCAGGTGAGAAAACCACCGGTTTTCTTATCATATCTTACTGAAACCAATCATGTTAGTTTCACTACAAATTTGTATGATCCATAAACACATTTTGGAGTCAGGGTGTTTCTTATTTTGGTTAAGGTCAGTTTAAATTAGACTAACAGCCAAACTGGAAGCGATGCAAACGATTGAACTACAGATTATTTGGGGTTTTCCAAATGAAGACTTCCTAACTTGCTCCGTGTGTCAGCGACAGGTCATTTAATTAAAAAACTGCTTTTATGCACTTGTTCCACCTCCAATCTGCTATAAACAAGACAAGTCAGCTGTCAACATGGCCACAAATTGACAGACTTGCGCAAAAAACTGAGATAGGTGCTAATAGCATATAGCAGTAGTATTTCCAAAGTTCAGTTCACCCTGAGGGAACATGAGTGTTTGAACCAAAGTTCATTGCAGTCCATCCATTAGTTGAGAGTTTCATATAACTACAAATGTGAATCTCCTGGTTGTGCTGCAGGAAAAGCCAGAAGATCACCAAAGTCAGTAGGATTCATCATCTGGGAACCATCAATGTCTGTCTAAAATTTAATAAAATCCACCCAATAATTGTTGAGATATTTAGGTCTGGATCAAAGTAAAGGAGCAATGGACAGAACGACAATCGCAGCCTCTTGCTAAAAACGATTCCCTGATTGGTCTGCAATTTATAAACAAGCCAAACAAATGAAGACCTTTCGGTTTCCAGTGTGATCAAGCTGTCGAACCAGATAGGAAGGGAAAAAATCCACTTTAAGATAATTAATTATGTTTGTGTGTTGTAGGTGTCGGGTCCCGGGAACGTACTACTTCGTGTTCCATGCTTCTTTAGAGGACAAACTGTGTGTGCTGATGAAGGTGGACCAAACACTAGTGACATCATTCTGTGATCATCGCCGTGGCAAGAGACAGGTACGCACAATAAACAATACTACGGATTTATTTTACTTATTATTCTGCCACCAAATAATACGTCAGTAAAAAAAAGAATAATTTACAGTACCCTTCTCTGGTGTAAAAATGTAACCGTTACTGATTCCAGACGACTGCGGGCAGCGTGGCGGTTTACCTGTCGAGGAATCAGGAGGTTTGGCTGGAGACCAAAGACTACAGAGGGATGAGAGGAAGACCTGCTGGTTACAGCATCTTCTCTGGCTTCCTGCTGCATCCTCACTGAATCACAGGACGGGAAACACAAAACAGCCTTATTTCTAAATTTTACGGCAACACTTCAAGGCTGCAACTATTGACAAAATAATGTCTTCCTTTCGTTCACACTGACCATTAAAAAAAAGTATGTTGCTTTTCATTTACACATTTCTTTTTCCTTTATTTTACTAAAGTCTTATTGTGATTGAAATCTATTTTCAAAAGAGAGATCTGGCAAATGAGGAAGATTAGGGCTATTGTTACAATAATAAATACAAACAATATAAACTGTCACATGCTACAAAAAGGTATACACACTATCATTTTAAGATGAATAAGCAGGTATGTGTAAACTGAAATGAAGTAAAACAATACATTTAAAAACAAACCTATTGACACATTCTTTTTATACATATTGTATGAGCATTGTTGGGAGAACCAGAATTTCACTGCCAACGACTGCTTCAATGTGATTGTTGTGCACATGATAAATAAAGAACTTGAAACAAGAATTTCTTTGATATATGTATGAATGGTATAAATTCACCAACAGTACTGAGCTCTGACGATTTCAAGTTGTACATTGTTTCAGGTTGAATGGGAAGCGTATTTAAATATTTTCCGGCTCTTGAGAAGTGACATCTGTAGAACATTGTGAGAACCCAGGCTATATTGATTTGGATTTCTATGTATGTACACCCTGCAATGCATTTACCTTGTAATTATGACTTCAGTATCTCATAATCATCATTTATGATCTTATAATTAAAGATCAGGTGTTACCTTATTGTCACCTATCATATTCTGTGTCCTAACTCCGAACTTTGCCACCGCAAACATTTTTATCACACTTTATCACATTTATTTTGATAGCTGATACCACAGGTAGGGTCAGACATTTTGATAACTTTTCCAAAATGTAATTGTTAAAATAAAATAATTATTTTAACCTCCCAGATTATGATGATGACATACTACTAATAATACTATCCACATTACTCAGTGCCATTAATCATTCCAACACAGACTTATACATTTCTATGCAGATGATACAGTCTTGAATGCATTTTTTGTCATGATTATTTCATGCTTTATTTTGTAATATTCCTCCTCTTGCGTCTTGTTTGGCTTTACCTTCTGTCTTTGTCTGTTTTCCCTCCAGTTTTGATTGTCCGTCCTGCCCTGATTACTTTCACCTGTGTCTTGTTATCCTTCTCCTGTATTTGTGTTTCTTGTGAGTTTATCCTTGTTCATATGTGAAGCTATTAGCCTGTTCCCTTGGGTTTCCTCAGTATTCTACGGCCTTTCTTCTCTATTTATTGGATTTAAGATTTTGCATGATCATTTTGATGTCCATTGAAGTCCAGTTTCACCACCTTTTTGCAATGGCTCTTACTCTGCTTTCAAGTCTGCATTTGAGTTCAATTCCTGTTCCATAACTCAGCTTGCACAATTATAACCTATATCTTCAAATATATCAAGATTACAGTCTGCCTTTAACCTTCTTTAAACATTTCTGCATAATACATTTCTGGCAGACTACACCACTAATACTAAAATCTACTAGGTAATTAAATTGTACAAATGTAGCTTATGTAACATAAAGGTAGGTGTTGTGCAACCCTGTGTTGTAGAATGACAATTAAATGAACCTTGAACTTTGAATTACAAAATGTTAAGTACATGAAATGGCTATGGTAATAGTTAAAATAATACAGACCTTCAGATATTATCAAAAATGTTTTTTTTATTTCATGAAAATCCTAAAGATTATAGGTTTTACCTTGGGTGACATTAAAACGATCACATTCATTTGCTTGTCATGACAGGGTCATCCAGACCAATATCTACAATGACCCCAAAACACAGTTAATCACAGACTGAAAAAAATCTTTTTACATTGTAGATCCAAACATGCATAAATAGAAAACAAAACATTGGAGGAAGAAATGGAAAGAGGATCTGAAAAAGACAGAAAATGACAAACTAGCATATTTTACAGGATGTAATTATTATAACTTTACATCAGCTCTTTGCTGATGGATACTGTTGAGGAAATTCAATATTTTGTGGAACAGATACTGACATCCAGACCCTCAGAAGCACACTGCCAGGAAAACAGGCAACAACAAAGAGGAAGTTGAGAGAAAAACAGAACAAAATGTTAATCTTGAGGAAAGATTTTTTTTTTTTTTAATCAGATACATTAAACAATGCTTCTTCATCAGTTTTTCATCAGGTGGAGTTTTTCCTGACTTCTTGTTAAACAGTTTCACTTCCTCTGATGGGTCATTTGCTCTGTCAGATAAATGCAATAAAATAATATCAGATTTACAGGAAAAGGCGTTGACTCCACAAATATTAAAGATGTTATGAGAAATAGTTAAAATGCAACAAAGAAAAAAGCCCAGAAGACATACAGAAGGGGTAATGAACAAAAGAGGATTTAAAAAGAAATATCTGTGGTCAGTGGTGGAAAGTCATTAAGCACTATATAGTAGGCTACTGTATTTAAGTATTTTAAAGAATTTTTATTTTATGTTACTTTATATTTTAAGTTCAAAGTGCAGAACTACCAAAGTCCTGGCTTCAAAATGTCACTTAAATAAAAATATGCAACAGCAAAATGTACTCTAAGTGACATGATATTAAATCATTTGTTTATTATTACTGATGCATTAATTAGCATTTTACTGTTGTAGTTGGTAAAGGTGGAGCTAATTTGAATTATTTTGTGCACTGTTTATGTAGTTTAATCAATGAGTATGCATATGTTTATTACAAAGTAACTTCTTACTCTAGCTTTCAGTTAAATATGTTGCAGTAAAAAGTGCATCTGCCTCAAACAATGTAGTGGAGAAGCAATATGGTCTGTACTTTGTTTCATTCCACCAGTGAAAGCAGCAAACTGTTTTTTCTAGGTCCCCACTTCAGTCAGTATTGTATCCTAAAAATGATTATTATGTACACCAATAGAGCAGCGCTGGTAGACTCTTTAATCGTTTCACTTCCTGTTTTTTCCTGACTGAGCTGCTGCCGTCACTGTGAAGCAGGACAGCTCTTCGACTCCGCTCTCCATCAGCTTATCAGGACGAGTGACTGCATTACCTCCAAATGGTGAGACTTTTGTGTCCTACGAAACCAAAGAGCAAAATTATTTATAGACAGAGAGATAGAGAAAATCACTTAATCAGGCAGAAGCATTGTTGATACAGAATTTGATGGTTTCATGTTTCTTGATGTTAAATCTAAAATCCCTGTCATTATGTTTCACCTTTAAACAAAGTAATTATTTGGATGCATGCTTAGAAGAGTTGTTGTCCATAGCAAGTTGTCCGCATGTCCTAAAAGGTTTAAATGTCTTACGTATAAATGCAGGAATTTAGGCATTCATTTATCTTGAAGTTCAATTTAATTTCAACCATGCATTGTATTATATGTAATATTCATATAAATATTATCGATATCAACCTTGAACCTCCAAAATGTCAGCTCTTTCTATAATTTGTATTATGTGTGTCAGCTTGCTGCTTTGTGTGGATTTTACTGTTCAAATTTCTAATTTAATTAACAATAATTACACTCAAGAACAGTGAGTCAGCTACAGGGAAAAATCCAGTTTGGTTAAAGGTTATTGTTATGGTTTCGGTTTAAACATGTACTGGTTGTGGTTAAAGTAAAGTCTCCTAAATGATGATAAGTCCTCTTAAATGACAAAAACGAGTTTGTCAGTGTATCTGTGTGTGTTCATTCAGGCCGCCCAGTGGCTGAGCTGCAGTACTGCAGTGTTTCTACTCTTGGTTCACATGGACTCGGTTGTCACACAGTCCTGTGGGGCCCCAGGGATTCCTGGGATACCAGGTACCCATGGACCCAACGGCAAAGACGGTCTCAAGGGAGAGAAGGGAGACCCTGGTGAGCTCATACTGCACATAAAGACATCAGATACACATTCTGTTCACATGTTTTTCCTCATTCTGTCCCTGATTTTTGTTTTGAGAAAATGTAAATCTGATTAACATGTCAGTGCGACTAAGCAGTTATTCATTAAACTTTATGCAAGTTTTTATTATTTATATAAGTTTGTAGATGAGGAAACAACCTCATGTTCAGTGAACTTCACTCAGCTGGTAGATTTTCTCAACTCATGAGCAAACTTTAAATAAGTTTAGTTAAAGGTCCACTGTGTACTGACATGTAGCTGTACAACTGCAGAGCACAGTTTCCTGTCTGAACCCTCCCCTTCCAAGCGTCGAAGGATAAATTACTGAGGCAGCAAAAGGCACGAAAAACACAAATCTACACACTGGACCTTTTAATTTAACACATTTTTTTAGTGCAGCAGGTGAGCTTATGTTGTTAAGTTACGTTGGTGGGAAGTTTGGATATATTGACTTATTAGTGGTTAGTTTTTTTCCACTACTACCAGGTGTATCCCATGACTGTTCATCACTCATAAGCCCAATGCACTGCACCTTAAGAACACACATTCACATGCACACAGGCGAATGAAGAACCATGTTCACCTTGTGTTTTGTATTTGTTTGTGTTTTCTACATTTGCAGTGTGTTTTGTTTTCAGAAATTGATGAAAATGCTTTTTACGTTTGATTGTGTTTCCTTTGTTTTTTTTAGTTGCAGTAAGAAAGCGTGATGCAAAATTTACAAACATTTCCTTATTACAATAAAATTGGTAAAGTGCTGCTTAGTTTATTATAGTTTTTTCTTTCAATTTACAGCTAAAATCTGTCATTTATTTTCTTTCATTAGCGTCAATTCACACTAACGAGCTTGTGACAGTAAGTGCTTCTCTGTATGAACAGGTGAGGCAGTTCAGCCTGTCAAGGGCCAGAAGGGGACGCCGGGTCCACGGGGCCCACCAGGACGGCCTGGGCTGAAGGGGGACGTGGGCCTTCCGGGGCCTGCGGGTTATGCAGGCCGGCCAGGGGAGAAGGGAAGGCCCTTCAACCCTTCCAACCAGCAGAAATCCTTCTTCTCCTACAAACGGATGATATCGCAGGCACCAGAGCTCGATACTGCCATGAACTTCAACAGGTCAGTGTTAGACAGTTTAAAGTCACAGTAAGAGAAGCAACAGTGGTATTGGCTGTTTGATAGGAGAGGTTTAGGGACAGAATTTATAAGATAGCTAGTTTTGTTTTTTTGCAGCCTGATGTCACCATTAAAGCCCCATAAAACCCAGATTGGTCCTTTTAAATATTCGTGACTAAATAAGCAACAGTCAAAGCTAAGTCTGGAAAAGACTGCTGAAGAAAGACTGTGTGGCCGTGTTTGATCAGATTTGATTGAGAGCAGCCTGGAAACTTAACAGCCCCACAACTGTTCTGATTTTGATACAAATACAGCAACAGTTTGATGGATGCATGCAGGTGCATTGTGACATACCTTTCTCCAACTAACTACTGTAGCATACAAACAGACACACAGGAAGAGAAAACAGCTCTACAGTTCTGTGAGACTGTACTTAGCAGAGTACAGCAGTGCTTTGAGCTAAATGCAAACATTAGCATGCAGACATGCTGATGTTAAGCTTGTATAAAGATGTAGCTTGCTAACATCTGCTAATATTTTCTCTTGAGAGCAACATCAATGTCTGTACCTAATTTCATGGGAATCAATCCAATATTTATTGAGAAATTTCACTCACAGCTACAAATATGAACCTCATCAAGTCAGGAGATCACTAAAGTTATTAGGATTTATTGTCAAGGTCACCATGGAAACCTGTACCAAATTTCTTAGAATCTAATATTTGTTAAGATATTTCAATCAATTGTAAAATACAAAACAAAACATTAGATAGAGAAACAAAAATGTTCATGAAAGTTTTAATGACAGGCTTCAATCAGTCAATCAATAATCAATAGAAACTGTGTTTGTGTAAACTTCCCACAGACAGATTTTGCCAGACCTGGATCAACAGCTTCAAGGAGATGCGCTGACAAATGGAACCTTCACATGTCTCGTCAAAGGCATTTATTTCTTCAGTTACCACGTTTCAGCAAGGAGCAAAGTGAGTGTGAAGAGTTCATTCAACTGATCTGTGTATCTGTTCCTCTTCTCAGACTCATCTTTTTGATTTTCTTCATTTGTCTTCAAGACTCAATCTTTTAACCAGTAGTCAAAAATCACATTTACCCAAGATGTGTACCTAAAACCAGGGTACCATAATAACCTTTCAGCATAGTTTAAGTAGTCTGAGAGAAAACTAGACTTTTGAACTTATCCTTGGCTCTGTTTTCAAGTTTTGAAAAATGTCGCCTGTGACAGGAGACTTTGGCCAATCGCAGGTCTTTTCAGAAAGAGGGCGTCCCAATAGGCTGTTCTACAAATGCACATACACATGCATGTCCTTTCTAATGGTGAAAACCTGATTTAGTGGCGGAAAATCCTGCAGAAAACCTCCTGTTCCTACAACGCCATATAGTACAAAACACATCTGATTATGTTTGATGAGATGGCGCTCGCATCGACGAGTGGCAAAGAGGCATGATGACAAACAGTAGGGAAGTACTTTTGAGCGGGGACAGTAGTGTGTGTGGTTTGAGTCCAGCCAGGGAGCTTTGTTGCATCTCTTTCTCCCTGCTCATCTCTCAACTATCTAGAATAAACACTGAAATGCACTGGAAAGAAAGAAATGCAACATACATGTCCTGAAACCTTTTTACGTTTCTAGATTCAACCTATTCAACGTCGTCACATTTCCGTGTATGACAATGTCTCACTCAAATTGAACTGTGGATATTTGTGCTGACTGTATTTATTCATCTAGGTGTGCCTGAAGCTGGTGAAGGGCAGTGACAGTCACATGGAGCTGTGTGATGCATTTGAAGGTTTCCTGGTCACTTCCGGCTCGGCAGTCCTGTCGCTGGAGGCCGGAGACACGGTCTCAGTGCAGGCAACCAAGTACAATAACATAGTGACGAGCCAGTCGAGCACCAGCCACACCTTCACCGGCTTCCTGATCTTCCCCACCGCCTGAAGCTATAAAATCACGTCACAATAAACAGACTTTTCGGAGACATTTACAGCAATTAAATGTGTGTTTTCTGTAATTGTACAAAGGTCAGCAAAATTAATAAAGATTGACTTCATTCGTGGCATTGCTGCATTGTTTTTAAAATTACTGCATTTTCCATCATTCATTTGCAAGTTTTTTTTGTTATTTCAGTACGATAAATCCATCATAGTGAACAATTTACCATCTTTATTAAATAGTTATAGTACATTTTAATAAACAAATGGTGACCAGTGGTACAGCAATGAAGTGACACGTGTTACTGTGTTATTTCGGTAATATTATTATTTTTACTATGTCAAGTAAAACGTTACCACCACCTCCATTACCATGAACACACACTGCAGTTTATTTTGACTCAGTCCTGCTACCACTGTAAATACTAACTCAAGGATCAAATGTGGATTAATCCGCCGCTGAAAATAGTCCCGGATGAATTCACTATTTTCCTCCTGTTTGAGTAACATTTACTCAAACTACAGTGACCAGCTGTGTAAGGAAGGCAGAGTAGGTTAAGTCGGAATATACTGAGAGATATATTAACACATTGTTGGTTTTGGTCTCTTTATTGAGATTGGTTGACAAATGGTTCAGTGGAGGAGGCTTATAATGTGTTAACACAGAATGGATCAAAATTAATAAATAAAAGATAATATCAGCTTATTTACACATTAAATAAGTTTATATTTTATATAGTATAAACATATATACATCTATACAGCAGTGCAGGAATGAAACACAAAAAAAAGCATAATGGAAATGTGACTGATTAGAAATAAAATATTTAATGTTGTGGTGTGTAACATTTCCTCCAGTGGCTCACTATTTAAAAACATGGAGGTATCAGGTGTATAGCTTTCCGACTAATACCCGGCCAGGAGTTCATGAATTATCCAGCACACAGTGTCAGGTTGGCAGACACTTAACCTTACAGGTGTGTGGAAGGTAAACAGACAGTGGTACAGGAAGTAAAGGATTGCCAGGCGGATTTATCTGTTGAACCTGATTGGACCCTCTAAGCTTGTCATAAATATGTATTGCTCTTTCAAATTCATTATAAATTACCAATCACATGATCAATCATAACAATCATTATTATATTTTTTTCCCAAATCCCCAGATCACATGAACTGAGGGGACATTTAGCCCTAGTGGCCATTAAAAGAAAATCAGAGTTTATATTATCACATTAATGTTGAAAAGTTCCTTGTTCTGCACTCTCATTAGAGACCTCTGGTGTCTGAAGGCTGAACCTCAGCCCAGTGTGTCGGTAGCTGATGGGCTGCTGAACACACCGTTCCTGGCGTAGAACGTGCTCTTCACCACCGACGACTTGGCGCGGGACGGAGTTCTGTAATCCAGAGTGTAGTCACCTGTAGATCCAGTCAGACACTGTTAATCTGGAGAGAAAACTGATCTACAACATCAAGAATATGATGATGTATCAATAAGTATTAGATTAGATAACATTTCTGGATCTTGGTGGTTTTTAACTGTATATTTTAACCAGATGAAGGATTTTATTCATTGGAGGTCTGGATTTCTAAGTTAACAGAGAAACAAGCAGAGCTAATGTTAGCAGCAGCTCAGCTTGCAGGCCCTCTGAGACATCCTTTGTCTGCCAGACAATGTTGGAGAAACAGATTTTATTCAGTGTTTTCACTGGTTTTAATCACCGGGTCTATTTGGAGGAGACCTCTGCGGACAATTTGGCCTAAACAATGAACACTGAAGGAATCCTAACCCGGAGAATATGCAATGACAACAATGGTGGTGAAGACAACAACTCCCATGAATCCCACGCTATTTCAAGAGTTCACCCAAACTTCATCTTTTGGTACTGTTTTGGCAGCAGAAATTACATATTGTACGTTTAGTGTATAATTCTGTGATCACCCTGACATCCGTGTACGGTCTAGCAGATATATACGTGGAGCAGACAGCGCCTCCATCTTACCCAGCCTCCAGCCGTACTCCCAGGACGAGAGCAAAGGAAAGTCAAACTTCTCCTCGGGTCTAATCTGTCCACGTCTCTGCAGGTACAGACGCCGCCCCTTCCCCTGCAGAAGATGTTTAGTCTAAAATTACTTTTAAATACATTTAAACATTTGGCAGAAATACAGGAATACTGACCAATCAAATTATAAAATGGCTGGCTGCTTGTGACAGTGCAGTTATCAGCTAAATGTCATCATCCTTTAAAGAATTAGCTAAGACTTTTGTTTTATGCATATGCAATGTTAAGATTAAAAGCAAGTAAATAAAACCTAGACAATCTGAGATCCAGTGCAGACTCCTACAACCAGTCAATAATATCAATCAATACCGGTGCTTGAACATAGGTTGTGATTCGTACATGGTGAGAGGAGTCCTGATAGAGAGCATGTCTGGTCTGGGGAGAAACCGGCCTCATCGGTGGGGTCACGTTAAGCCTCCCCTCCCCTTCCAAAGTGAGCACAGGAGGAGGAGGAGTAGGAGGATGAAGGTCACTTCGCTTCTCAGGTGTCCTGGTAACAGGAGGCAGGATAGCTCTGGTGGTTGGAGCATAAACACAAAAAGTCTTTATAAATAACAATAAACAAACCAAACACTGGCTCTAGATGGAGCCTTTTGCCTTTTTTTGTGTAACTACACTGCTAGATACACACTTGTCCCTTAAACAGCACAGATATAAATAAATTAAACAAACTGTTACTAACTGACATTATCAACTCCCCAAAAAAATCTGTTTTATTACATTCATTCTTTGGACCATTTTTTCTATATCTGTCCGTATGGCACATCTGATGTGTGCACGTCAAATGATATGAGTCTTCATGCGTCGGATGTTCATTGCATTGAAGACTTTGACTCTTAAATTGTTTTGAAGCTTCATTACTCAGATTTAAGGTAATGAAAACACAGCTGGGACATACTTCTGGATTCATGTTGATAACAGAGCTGCAGTCATATATTAAAAACCCTTCTGACAGCAGGTTTAATGTAAATAAAGCAGCTCACCGTGGGTCAGCATGCAGATGTGGCAGCTGTGTTGGCTCTGTGCTATTGTTTTGGGGGTTATAGCAGGACGGGTAAAGCTTGGCATAGCGGCTCTTCCAGGCTAAACGGGTCAACATCTCCTTCTGGATCTGCTCTCGGTAGCAGTTCTGGCTCTGGGTTGTCAGCAGGCAACGCATCTCCTGCCAGAAAGCTTAACTTAGCGACTCTCAGTTTACCATTTTGACACAATCTTACTTTGATTTACTTAATGAGATGAATTTAAATGGCTTTAAACATGAACAACTAATAGAGGGACAGTTGTATTGATTGGTGGATTTTACTCCTCAGACAAGAAAGCAGTGTAAGAAAGAAAGAAAGAAAGAAAGAAATCCGCTGTATATTACAACACCACCACAAATGTCTTTCAAAGAAGTGAAAAATCAAAGGCAATTAGGAAAATTCAGTTCTCATCGACTTCCATGCAATAAGCTATATGCCATTATTTGTCTAGGAGACGTTTCTTAAATCCCTTTATGGAAAGATTCGATTCTCTAATTGTTAAATGTCTTAATTTACCTTTGGTGTGTCTGATGCAGAGCTGTGCAGGATCAGCTCCTCGCTGTGGAAATGAGATGTGGATCAGATAACAGTCTGTAACACAAGGAAACATGAGACACATGCAAACGCACATCCTGTTCTTCCTACCCCTAGAAACCTGTTATACACCTAAATCTCATGCCTCTTCAGTGCTTAAAGCCTTTCATCTTTGCTGAATAGCACCTCCTTTGTCCATAAATGGTGATACCATTACATTAAAGATGTAATATGTAACATTTCCACATTAAAATATCTATAAACACTAGACCTCTGAGTTGAGTTGTGTACTTACAGACTCCCAAACTCATCTTATTCAGGTGTGTTTCACCGGCCACCTGTCAGTGGCGTCATATTATATCCCCATTGTGCATGCATTAGTGCTGTGGTTGTCTGCCAGAAGTTGTCATAAATTGACTTTTCATCCAGTGTTAATGATATACTATGATACACCTTTTAGATCTTTGTCGATTTTAACTATATATTTTAACCGAATGAAGGATTTTAGTCATTGGACGTCTGGATCCAAAGTTATGAGTCCTTTATCAGAGAACTATATCAGAGAAACACTGATTTTTAAGGTGAAACTGCTTTATTCAGTGTTTTTAACAATATTAATCACTGGGTCCATTTGTTTTTGAGAGGAGGAGACCTCTGTGGCTAATTCTTCTATCGGTAGAAACTTCCTGAACGATGAACAGTGAAGGAATCCTAACCAGGAGAAGCTGACTGCAATGTCGACAATGGTGGTGAAGACAACAACTCCAATGATCTGACGCTACTTCACAACGTCTTCAAACTTCAGCTTTCACTTTTGTTTTAATGTGAGAGACTCTTTAGCAGCAGAATTTAAATATTGTACATTTAAGATTTCCAACATTTACCCAAGATTCTCTTGAATCAGCTGCTGTAATAATGCCATCACTGGGCAGATTCAGTGTGAGGAAAGAGGATACACCAAATGGGTCTTCCAGCATGGTGCAGTGAGGTTTTTTACTCATATATTATTGAAATTTTTGTGACGTGTTTAAAAGTATCAACACAGTAGTGCAAGCAGAGAAGACACCTGAACGAAGTAAAGACATAGCAATATAACATAATATCATTTCAGTTCATTATTTGAATCATCAAAAACCAACCAGGCCATTATCTTGCTAATATTAGTTAATATTGGCCACTGTATATACCTAACCAAGCAAGAATGTGGCAGCAATACTAGGATGACCATATCTGAAGGTGTTTGGTTCAGTATGCTGCTACAGAACTGGTTATCAGTCCTTGTGAGTCCTGAACCACAGCAGCCCGGCCAGCAAGTTATCCCCTTTATCTGTCCCCTGTCTTTCCTGTCTCTCTTTTTTGTCACTATCAATAAAGCAAAATGACAAAAAGAATTTATATATTTTTAAAAAAGTTGCTTTAACTGTGCCTTTAATCACCTTTAATTAATTTGCCTTTATCCAGATATGGGTCATGACAGGTGGTTCATGCTTTGACATTTTTTTCCACTTGCTCTATCTGCATGTTATGACATGATTTGATTTGATTTGAGTTGAGTTCAAGCAGTGTTATTGCATTGCTGCATGAAGAAAATAATTAACCCCCATCATGGTTTGACAGCATTCATGCTCAGAAAGGGTGTGACAAAGCTCCACCCCTTAACTGACTCACCAGAGAACAACAGAAGAAATATAAGCTGTACTTGTGTCTCGCAGAAAACACACACACACCCGGAGACCATAACCATCAAAACAAATCCACAACTTTTACAAAAGGAGGAGAGCTACAGGAGAGAATACTTGGAAACCCTGCATAATGGAAAAATGGTGGGAAATCTGATCTAGAAGAGAAGGTGCTTTCTTTCTTGTTCTTGCTTGTTTGTTCCTGGCGTGTTTCCATCATTGTTCGCTGAAAAAATGGCAGCAGGATCTGAGGCTCTCTGCAGTCTGCACTCTGAGAAACTCAAACTCTTCTGTCTGGACCATCAGCAGCCAGTTTGTGTCGTCTGCAGAGATTCAGAAATACACACCAACCACAGAGTAAGACCCATCGATGAAGCTGCACAGGATCACAGAGAGAAGCTCCAGAAAACACTGAAGCCCTTTAAAGAGAAACTGAAGATCTTTAAACAAGTTAAAGGAAACTTTGATCAAACAGCAGAACACATTAAGGTCCAGGCCGAACACACAGAGAGACAGATTAAGGAGCAGTTTAAGAAGCTTCATCAGTTTCTACAAGAGGAAGAGGAGGCCAGGATCACTGCTCTGAGGGAGGAAGAGGAGCAGAAGAGTAAGATGATGAAGGAGCAGATTGAAGCTCTGAGCAGAGAAATAGCAGCTCTTTCAGACACAATCAGAGCCACAGAGGAGGAGCAGAGAGCTGAAGACGTCTCATTCCTGCAGAACTACAAGGCTGCAGTGAAAAGAGTCCAGCAGCGCCCCCTGCTGGAGGATCCACAGCTGGTCTCAGGAGCTCTGATAGATGTGGCCAAACACCTGGGCAACCTGACATTCAACATCTGGAAGAAGATGAAGGAGAAGGTCTCCTACACTCCCGTGATTCTGGATCCAAACACTGCCAACCCAAAACTCATCCTGTCTGAAGATCTGACCAGTGTGAGCCGTGGAGAGAGACAGAAGCTTCCTGGAAACCCAGAGAGGATCATTTCCTACCACTCTGTCCTGGGCTCTGAGGGCTTTAATTCGGGGACTTACAGCTGGGATGTTGAGGTTGGAGACAATATATACTGGAGCATTGGTGTGGCAACAGAGTCTGTTGAGAGGAAGGAACAACCACAGTCTGGATTATGGAGAATACGCTTCAATCAAATGGAATTCAGAGCACAGGCCTCAAAAGGTCCGGCCACTCTTCTGTCAGTAAAGAAGGCGCTGCAGAGGATCAGAGTTCATCTGGACTATGAAAGAGGAAAACTGTCATTCTCTGATCCTGATACCAACACACACATACACACCTTCACACACACTTTTACTGAGAGGCTGTATCCATACCTCGGCAATGGAAACGCACTCCCACTGAAGATATTACCAGTGAAGGACTCAGAACACACAGAAAGCCAAGTGTACACCAAGAGTTGGTGGCCTTTTTTTGTCTTCTAGCTAAAGCTCTGATTCACCGTTGTGTTAGTTCTGTTTAATTTCTGATTTCAAAATGGACTGAAGCTCTCAACAGATAATGAGAGACAAATCAACTGTGTAGACGAACAGGTATGACTAAATTTCAGGACTTTTATCTTTTTAAACTTTACATGGTTTATCAGTATTTACCAGCCGGTCATCCAGTTAATATCTTTGGGTGTATAAGTGCTTTTTCTATCAGCTAACATATGGTGGGATTTTTCCATGCTGACTAGTCTGAATCTTTACATTTTAAATTGTTTACATTTAGTTAATAATTGAGAACCAACAGATAAAGCATATTATGGGTGTACATATTGTATATCAGTTCGAAAGTTGGAATGATATTTTTTACTTTTTTTATACATACAATCTCCATTTACGTAAAAGTACAGAAATGATGTAACTTTTTTTACTGAGAAAATGCAAAAGGTGAGCATTGTGTTACATTTAATACTGAATTGCATTTGAAATAGCTGCTTTTTAATCTCATTTAGTCAAATATGTTTTAAATGTATTTACCACAGTTAACTATAAATAAAAATAAAGTTGGTCTAAAATGACACATGACCAAGGCTCAGTAAGGTAATTTACATATTAAACATTATGACCAAATGTATTTTAGACCACTATAAATAATAAATCATCTTTAATAAACACTTGTATTAATAATAAACAAATCTACTGGCTATCAAATACCAAAGGTAACATATAATATATGATAACATAATCCCAGAACTGATACAACCTAACAGGATCTGTCAAGTAGTACATTATTATATATACTACCATGGTTATGATTTCTCACTATTAATTTAAATCAACATTTCTAAAATAACCACAAACATTTTATTATTTAACCAAAGCTAAAGAAGCATAACCGTAACAATCACCAGATATTATATATATTAAATACAGATATAAACACCCTGTGACTGGAGCCAAAACATTAAAGAATATATTTGTTAAATAAAAATGACAATATGCTAAAGGTTAAAAAAAAAGTTTAAATACAATGTCAGTATGGGAAAAAGGTTATGTTCGGGTCATAGGACATAAAGCACTTAATTAAGGTCATGAAACATTGTGGTACTGGGAATAATAGCATAGTAATAATAATATCATAGTTAGGGTCTAGTTAAGGTAACTAAAAAACTTGTATTATGTTTTGTACAAAATCTATAAAAGGTTTCAAAAACAAGCTAAAAGTGTCCTCTTGGATGTCCCAACGGTAGATAAAACATGATTAACAGCCCTGTAGGGTTCTGACTCTAACCCTGACTAAACTCCTCAATATACAGCTCAGTGACATCATCGTGTCTTTGTGAAATATATATTAATAGTTAATAGTTGCCCGGGTGTTTTAGGTGCAATAGTTATAGTCTACTCACTAAATAAAATCTTTTATTGATATTATTTACTATATTAACGCAGTCTGACTGTGGGGTTTAGTTGTATAGGACTGCTCTTCCTGTTCTGTGTCAGTCTGGTTGAAGACTTTTGTTTGTGACAAAAAACGAAGAGTAACGTTTTTAATGAGGTAACCTCTGCACGGGTTACTGGTGTTAGCGTTAATTATGTTAAACACTACCTTGTTTGTTTTATTGTCAGGGAAGTGGAGCCCACCCCCCCCCCCACACACACACATACATAATACAGACAGAATTGGATAAAAATATCATAAAAACTCATCTGTGATCTATATTCATGGGAAATAATCTCCTCAAAATTCATCCCAATTGATTGTTTTACACAAATTTCCTACAGTTTTTATTTACGTTTTATATATTGTCTCTTTCTATTGTCTCTATTTTTTATCTTTATTTGTATTTTCTATGTTTAATTGTTATGCACCAATAAAACAAGTAATATTCCTTGTATGTGAAAACCTACATGGCCATAAACCCGATTCTATACCAGTTATTGCATTCACTATTTACAATGTATCAGTTGTTCTCTACTGTTATTGTTGTGCATTGAATATAATATGAAATATCCAAAATATGTGCAATATAGTCAATGACAGAAGAGGGGTCCCTTAAGGAAAAAGGTTGGGAACTGCTGGGTTAGTTTATTCTTCTCTGTAGCTGTGTCTTTTTCATATTTCAATATTTCAATAAAAATACATTTCCTATTTACATTGTTATAGTGTAGAGGGTTTCCAATGCTTAATTTTACAACTACAATGAGACAGCTTCAGCTCTCAGCTCCTCCTCTGTGGCTCTGATTGTGTCTGAAAGAGCTGCTATCTCTCTGCTCAGAGCCTCCATCTGCTCCTTCATCATCTGACTCTTCTGCTCGTCTTCCTCCCTCAGAGCAGTGGTCCTGGCCTCCTCTTCCTCTTGTAGAAACTGATGAAGCTTCCTAAACTGTTCCTCAATCTGTCTCTCTGTGTGTTCGGCCTGGACCTTAATGTGTTCTGCTGTTTGATCACAGTTTCCTTTAACTTGTTCAAACAGCTTCAGTTTCTCTTGTAAGAGTTCAGGGAGCTCCTCTTCATGGCCAATTAACAGGAAAACAGGATCTCTAAAGCCATCTTTGTAGACAGGACAGGACAGATCCTCTTCTGATAGGGCAGCAATTTTCTCTCCAGTAGAAGTTAAGGCAGAACTTAAAACAGAAACTCAGTCAGATGTAGATCCCCTCATTTGTAATGTTCCTAGAAAGTTACATTGAGCAGCTCTGTTTGAGCAGATCAGTGATATTCCAGTAATCCCGCCTGTAACTGTCGTCCTTCAGTGGAAGTCGTGGGTTTAGTCAGATGGTGAAACTTACTTTTATTTTGTTATATCTTTCAGAGAAAGAATAACAAACTGTTTCCTGGTATTTCAGGTGAATTGGAGAGTGGGTGAGGTTTTGCCAGACCATGACTCTTGTTTCATTCAAAGTGTGTGTTTGTGCAGGTGGCACATGATTCAACATGTATGAAGTTAAATCTCTTTATCCGCTGATGATCAGACTGTGGCAGAGACTGTAGTTAACAATTCTTGTGAAGGATGAGTTGTGTTAGGATAAACTATCTGGTTTTGCCCGTGGGTTTGGTATTCCTTCTGCTTTTTTGTCTTTATATGTTGGAATAAATGCTGTCTGAACAAATGCCAGGAATTGTAGGATAGTTTTGATCCTGTAGTGTCCATAAGCTTTATTATTGAAACTGACTTAGAGTGGCAGCACACATTCTGAGAGGTATATAATCTGCCTGTCTGTGAGTTGGGCCTGGACCTTAATGCGTTCTCCTAGAAGGGCTTCAGGGAGCTCCTCTCTGTGATCCTGTGCAGCTTCATCGGTGCGTCTGAATCTGTGGTTGTTGTGTGTCTTTGAATCTCTGCAGATGAGACAAACTGGCTGCTGATGGTCCAGACAGAAGAGTTTCTCAGTGTGCAGACTGCAGAGAGCCTCAGACCCTGCTGAAGCCCTCTGATCTCTCTCCAGTAAGAAGGCCTCACACAGGTTCTTTAACAAAGAGCTAACAGGTGGTTAACACTTGTGTTTGTTTCGCAGACCACCATCTCTGCAGACACACTCTACAGAAGTCGTGGCTACATGACAGTAGGATAGGATAGTAAACAGGATCCTACTTTTATCTGTAAGCCATTTTCTGAAGACAGAAGTGAAGCTCAGGCAGTTATGGATCCTTTCCCTCTTTTGCAAAATTCCTGGAAACTTATTTTCACTTTGAGTTGTGGCTCTGCTAATGTTGAAATTAATTTTATGGAGTCTGCAGCAGCATTTCGTTTCCAACCTTTTTCCTTAAGGGAATCCTTTTCTATCATTGAGTAAACTGACAACCCCTGACTAAGGGGCTAACAATTACAGAATAACTAAACCGTACCATGAACACAAACAGTGAACACAATAACTGCAGGAAGTTTGTGTAAAATGAGTGGTTTGGATGAAATTTTAGCATATTATATTCTGTCACAGATTAGCTTTCCTTTTTTTTAACAACCCTCATACTTGTCTTTTCTGACAAATTTAGTGTTTTCTCCTTATTCTTCTATTAGCTTGTTGGTTCTTTTATAATGCAAAACTGTGAATATAGCTTGTGTTCAGGTCTTTAAAGTTTAGAACTTGAATATTAATCTATCTTTATTTAAAAATAACAATTTCATTTTATTTTCTTCACAGAAATGAATGAAATGCAGAGATAAGGCCTTGCGACCCCCTGTGAAGCTTTGGCGCCCCCAAGGTTAGGAACCACTGCTCTGAAGTATGCATGAGGATGACATCTGCATGTTTTTGTGAGTATGTATCTTTTATACAACTGACTCCTTAATAGTCCCCCCTGTGGCAATCTTTTGCTTATTTTCATACTTTTTATAGAAGTCTCAGTGAAGGTTTCAGCACAGTAAATGAACTGCTACTTCCAACCTTGTGTTTCCCCTGAATGAAACTGGATGTCAAACTGTTACTGTAGAGAAGAAATGAGATCCAGGAAATGAAAGACTGTGGTCAATCTGCTTAATTCCAGTTCATTTTAATTATCAAATGTACATCATCTCAGGGTTTAATTTCACATTAAAACACCCATTCTCTAATACAAAATGAGTTCTTTTTCCCCCATACAAAAATCCTCTGATCCCTTAAGTATCAAAAGTAGCAATGATTAGGCAACAACATCCAGGTAAGACAAAGACAGATTCATCCAGATTTCTACAGGATTTACACACAAACCAAAAATCTGACCTAATTTTCCAGCTCAGATCGGTTTTACCTACTGTTACTGTTTGATTGTACTTTCACTGCAAAGAGTATCACTGGTAGAACACCACTAAGGATGATAGACTTTGATTATCAACATCAAATCTGAACCCGTTTGTCCAGCATCCCTACCAGAGTACAACTTCTACTCGATCTAGGCAGACGTGAAGCACATCAGGACTGAGCCACAAAGTTAAAAGTCAGATCTGTTCATGTGAAAATGCAGCTGAAGGAACAGAAAACCGCGATGAACCCAAAACTCTAGCACACAATTAAGTAGTCTGTTGTACAGTGCAGGACCCAGTACTGTGAAGGCAGCTTTAACACTCATTGATTCGTTATGGCAACATTATGTACTCATGGGATTCTGGGAGCTACGTTTCAAGAGCAAGAAATCAACAATAAACATCAGTAGTCGCGTATAGTTTGACACTTCCTATCGGAGCAAGTCTGGTCCAACCACACTTTAAAGAAACACGATGCTGACTATAAACCAAACGCAGATAATTCCAGTTTACGTCTTTTAATTGAGATGTTAACTCATTTGTTTCATTCACAGCACTTCATCGTTTTGTTGAGAAAAGTTCTGCACAGATTTGGTAATGGATGGTTTTGCCAGTTGCATCTGACTGACCAGAGAAAGTTGAAGGATTGTTGGATTCAGAATCTGGTCATTTGGCTCCCTGGTATTCTATCAAACATCAATAAACCTCACAGAGCTCCAGGTTAAATGAGTCTCTCATATTAGTCTTGTTCCTGAAGCAAAGTGCTGTATAATTCCAGTTATTTTTCAAAACATAAGCATTTAAAAGTTTGGCTCCGCTTGTCTCGGTCCAGTCCTTTTCCAGATCTAGTTTTAACATTTTGTAAACGCGCAGACACACCAAGCTGTGTCGGGACATTCTTACCAACTAACTTCTTGCTTTAAACCAGCCATCTTTAATTTACCAATCAAGTATAAGAACTATTGTCAAGTGCAAAATTTGTCAATTGATAATTTCAGGGCAGCAAAAATCTATAAATGAGATTTCTCTTTCCCAATTGGGTCATTTATTTTATCCAGATTATTTACAGCTCCAGCTTTAGGCCAGATCACAGCATTTACTACTTTTACTGTCTTGCCTCCCGGACTCACTGCAGAAAAAGTGTCCTACTAACAGAGTACAGAGTCTCCATTCACGGACTCTTCCCTTCAACTTTACATTGGTTTTTAAGGTTTTCTTTTTGAAGGGCAGTTTGGCAGATTGAAAAACAGTCCAACAACTAAATAGGTAAAAAAAAAAAAAAAAAAAAAGCAGCAGGAAGTCCTTGAAACATCTGCTTTGAACTGAACATGTCTGAAAACAAAATTAGCACACATACTTCTGTTAAGCAACTTGTTCATTGGACAGTTATTTGCGGTGCAGCTAACGTGTCCTCTCAAACAGGGATGTAGAGTGGTGCAGGAGGAGTGGCAGCGGGTTTCTTGGTGCATCATGGGACAGTGACTTGGAAGGGGGAGCCTGGGATGTGGTCCTCGCCCCACTTGACCACCAGGATATAGTTGCCCCGCTCCTTCAGCACGTAGCTTACGTTGTACTGCAGGTTGCCCAAGTGTTTGACCAGAACCTCCTCACAGGGGATCTGAGGACCGTGCACACCCACCAGGAGCATATTCTTACCTGGGAAGAGGAGGGGAAGATAACAAGTATGTTGTTAAAAGTGCTACAGGAAAAGTGAGTGTTTTATAACCCATTTTATCATGTTTAGTGGAGTCTTCCTTACCGGCCTTGCTGCAGTCGACAGAGAAGCTGCTCCTCTGGCCCACAAAGGCCTTGCTGAGGCCGGGGCCTCGGCTCAGCACCTTGCTGGCGTCAGAGTCGGACAGCCTGGGCATGGCGCTCTGGGTGAAGCTGCTGCTGGATGCTCTTACTGCCGGATCCACCGTCAGGGTTGACGTCTCGCTGGCGTTGGTCACATTCACCAGCCGAGGACCTGAGAGTGTGAGTGACAGACAGAGAGAGAGAGAGAGAGAGAGAGAGAGAGAGTGAGAGAGAGAGAGAGAGAGAGAGCGAGAGCGAGCGAGAGAGGATAAAAAAATCAGGTAAAATTACTTTTAATAAACATTATTGTGATTACTTAAGCAGGTAAATAACAAACAGGAAAAAAAATTTAGCTTTCCAACATTTCCCAGACTGCATCTGACAGGCCACAAGGAATAAGAAAAGAATAAGTTGATTCCAGCCCTTTGTGCTTTTTAAGTAACTAAATGGCAAAATAAGGAACTTTAAACTGTATATCACGGTCATCCTTCCATTTGCTGAAGACATGAAACCTTGAAACCTAAAAACAAAACTACGAAGTGGATCTTTTTTTTTTTTTTACATTGGAGAGAAAGTCGCTCATTAATTTATTATTGTTCTAGACAAATTTTGAGATGTTCTGTTGTAAAACTACACTGGAGCTAGTAGAAATACATAAATCTGATGACACTTTTTATTATTACTTATAGTATTAAGCAGTTATCCACCAAACTACTGAACAGACCCATGAATTTAACATACATCACTAACACTTAGTTTGCAGTGTAAGGTTGTAGAGCAGTACAGGCAGAGTGACGTTCACCACTTTACCTGTGACTTTGGCCTTGAAGGGGCTGCCAGTGATGTGGTTTGGTCCTCCATATTTAATGCTGATCAGGTAGTTTCCAGGTGCCATGGGAGTGTACTGCACCTTGTAGCCCTCTGGAACCTCCTGGCAGTCCATTTTCACCTTGGACGGACCCTCGATGGTCACGGCCAAGGCCCCGGGGCCCGCCTTAGTGTTGTTAATGATGAACTCTGACTGGGTACCTGCAAGATTGAAACACTTTGTTTTACAACCAGCAGGGTCGTGGTCCCGTTGTACAAACTTTTATGCACATCAGAAGGACACAAGTGAAGAGGTCTTGAGTTAGATGAAGACGAGTAACTCACCTGTCGTGCCTCTCTCCAGTCCAGCTCCATACGCTGAGACCAGACCAGGCTCTCCGGTCTGTCCTGGTTCTCCAACTCGGACCTGGAAAGGACTTCCTGGGATGTGAGAGCCGTTGAACTTGACATCGATGGAGTGAACTCCATTCTCCCTGGGGATGAACCGGACAGCGTACTTGTCTGAAGGACAGGTCAGAGAGATTTGGTTACCAGAAGTCCCAATATCAATAGATTTTTTACTTTTCTTGTGTTTATAAAGAGCAACAGGCAGCGACTCTCTGGCTCCTGTAGACCTCTTTTAGCTGCCATTTATTGCCTTGAAAACACGCACAGACCTCTTTCCAGCTCGGTGACAACACACTCCTCCAGAGCTCCAGAGGGACTGTGGACTTTGGCTGCCATCTTGCCTTGTGCTCCATTCAGACGCACCGCAAAGGATGCTGGGTGATTCACCTTCAGACCAGACTCCTACCGAGGTCGGACACATACAGTGAGTGCACAGGGATGGACAGTTTAACAGCAGCAAGGTAACGCTTCAAAACACAGACACACAAATACACACTCACTGTTATGTAGGTAGGTGTGGTTCTATTCTATTGTTTTCTCTCCATGTATTTTACTGACTGTCTTCTACTCTTACCTGAGCTCCTGTTGGTGCAGCTCCAGCAGACAGAGGAAGACAGCCACAGTGTTAAAGCAGAGTTAGACACATTGACGCTCCACTACAGTCTTACAGTGTTATAGTACAGTCTTTAAGCAACTACTCAGTAAATCTGACATGGTTTACTACAGTAGAGAGTTAGAGAGAAAAGATTTGATAATGATTGTGCCAACTATTTCTGCGTAAACATTTTGATAAGGAAGATATTTACTGAGTGGGACATTTTATAGTGTAAAAATAAACTTGTTAGTGCCCTCTGGTGGACAAACAATGTAATGGGGCCATTGTTTCTGAACGACCTAAAATGTTTCTTTTATGACATCTTGTTACTTAAAAGTTGTACACAAATGCTAATATTACTAATGCTACAGTAATAAGCTAAATTATCCCTGGCTGCAGTTGTTAGACTTAATAAATGCATCATTTGGGTGGAAACATCTATCCGAGTTTGAAATCTTTCAATACCAGTGCCCACACCAAAACAGTACTTTCTTCTATACCTCACTATTAAATATGAACGATTTCTACAAAATGCTTTAATTTTACAAAAGAGGACAAATTTATAATAGAATAAAGTATATTTATATGTATTATAGTATTAAATGTTTAAACAAAAGCAATTGTACAATAATTTTGATTTAATAAAACTGTTTCAAATTGGCAAAATGGTGTTGTAATCTGGTCAAGGAATAATGAAATTACGCTGTTTTAGGCTCATTATTGAGGCTCAACACCTAAACTAAATTACAATATAATTTTAAATAAGAATAATATTATGTATCATGATATAGTAAATGGAAATTAAATTAAGAAACTGTTCATATAAAAGACGGTTTGATGAGTGTCTGTTTTTGGTTGAATTAAATATCTTGCAATCTAAGGTACTGTACTGTACTATAAGACCCAGACTTAACTAACACAGTGTTGCAGACTGAACAGAGCAGAGGTTCGTCTACAACTACAGACAAAAAACAAACTACAGTCTCTAAAAAGGACAGCAGGAAGTCTGTGTGTGGCCCGCCTCCGTCTGCTGTAGCTAGGCAACCAGGGAGCTGATGATGCTGATGAAGATGATGGTGCTGTTAAAAGCCTTTAAATGAAACACAAGAGAAACACCAGCAGTTCCACACCAGACAGATGAGGGATGACCAGAGCCAGGCAAAGTCGAGAGAGGGAAGATTTCCTGACTTTAGATATCTTAACTCGGCCAGACTGAACAGCTGTGTTTGGGATTACTTCCCTGAACAGCAGCGATGAATTATTGATTTCAGTAAATGTCAGGGTGAGGTATTTTGTCCTGAGGGTGACGCTAATGTACACATCATAGTGTCCAAAATGGAAAGGGTTCATTGTAGGAGTGAAAACAATACTTCAGTTACTCTGTTAGTCAACGACCAAATTATTATAATCAATTATTTGTTAGTTAACAAGCAAAACAATTGATTGCTCCTTGTTTCTAGCTTCTCAAATGTGAGGATTTGGAGGGTAATTACAACAGGCATTTTTTACTATTGACATTTCATATAAAATGGTCTAATCAGTTAGTCTATAATGAAAATAATTGTTTATTAGAGGCCTAGTTTATCCTTAAGAATGTGTCCAATGAACTATTTCCATTATTTTTTTCTCTCCACGATTAGCACCTCTCTCATGCAAAGGTGTCAACTTCACACAGAAACAGTGTGTTTGCCTGGCTGTGGTCACATCCATGAGAGGCCAGTTGCATAAAGAAAATTCTGTAACTATCTTAACTGCAAGAGTTCAACTGATATGTGCTTTTTAATGCTGGTGTTAGCCAGATGTTCAATATCTTCAATCCAAGTGTTGATCCAAAAGTACTTTCTACTAGTTTCACTATCAATAAACATAACAACTCTTCAAAGTACACTTCCTCTCAGCTCACTGATGTATTACTATGAAATGTGTTGAGTTTTAAAAAGTGGAATTAGAAACTTTAATTACTCAAAAGAAATTTGATCCCAGTGTTAAAAACATATGGAATCAAAAACCCAAACCAGTTGAACCCTCACACCCAGTTCATCTGCTCTGTACGGAAGTAAAATCTCTCTTTGTTCCTGACATCACATTTTTATGCAACTGTGCCTCAGAGCCCTTTAGCAAGGCAGGGCAGGCTGGCTGTGGAGGTGTCTCCTCATGCCTCACCTGAAGGCCGGTAACAGTGAGGCGACGGGCGTCGTTCGCTGGAGCGACAACAGGAACAAGGTAGGGGCTGTCAGGTATGTGCTGGTCGTTGAACTTCACCGAAATCTCATAATCACCTGGAAAGGAGCGAGAATGTAACTCCAAGAGTCAGAGAGATACATCAGTGATCAATCGTTGGGGAAAACTGTGTGTTTTCTGTACCGGGCTCCTGAGCGATGTAAGAGACGCCGCAGGATCCGTCTTTGCGGTCGTCGAAGGAGATCTCCGCTCTGCTGGGTCCTTCCACGGCGATGGACAGACCGCCGGCTCCCGCCTCCCTCGTCCAAATACTGAACTCAGCTGGTAAAAGAGAGAGGATGTAAGAAAACTGCACATCCACAGCAGCTAATGTAATATCAATCTGAATGTCTAAAGTTTATTTACTTTTGTAAACCAATGGCTAAAAGTGTGCTTCAGTCAAAGTATAAAGCTAGTGTTATTCTATATGGCTCACAAACTGATAAAAATAAAAGACTATGGTTGTAGGTCGGGAATGAAGCTGAGGGTTGAGGAACTGGGTGTAAAGTTCCTGTAAGGATAATGTGTGTGTGTGTGTGTGTGTGTGTGTGTGTGTGTGTGTGTGTGTGTGTGTGTGTGTGTGTGTGTGTGTGTGTGTGTGTGTGTGTGTGTGTGTGTGTACGTACCTGGCTCTCCTGCCTGTGCTCCCTCCAGTCCTGGACCTCCTGCTCTCACTTTGGCGGCCCCACCCTCTCCCAACGGCCCCACAGTGAACTGGAAGGGGCTTCCCGGCACATGCACACCCCTGTACCTCACACTCACGCTGTGCACACCCATCTCTGTGGGTACGAAGCGCACACAGTAGGTGTCGTTACCCGCAGCGACCAGCTCGGCAGGCTGACTGGCTCCAGAGGGGGAAGTGACCTCAGCGGTGACGTCCTGCATGTCAATCGCTGCAAAGAGAGAGTTTCATAAAATGTTTTAATGCTATTTGTCACCTATCTGTGTATTCTGATATCTGACTGAAAGTCGTAAGATTATTGGGATATATTTATGGTATCACCCAGCCAACCAAAACAAAGTAAAGCCAGAAACAGATGAGTTCTCAGACACAGACAGACAGACAGACAGACAGACAGACAGACAGACAGAAGCTGCAACTTAAACTATAAAGCATGTTATGTTGCAAACCTTGTGTTGCCAACCCCAGCTTTTTTTTTGCCCCTAGGACTCTATAACGCACCCTCCACCCCGGTACTGCCCACCGAACAGCGGGCATCGCCGACCCAAACACCTCTCACGGCCCTGGACCCCCCCGCCAGCACCAGACCGGACAGGCCGGAGATGAGGCGGACGCGCCCAGGGGAGAGGCTCTGATCCAGGGCAACAGCAGAGGAACGAGTCCCGCGACATCTGGATCTTCCAGACCACCAGAGGGAGCAATAGGAACGGGAGGAGGTTTGAGAGAGGAACTGCCGAGACAAGACCAGGAGGAACCAGCTCACTGGAGGAAGAGGAGGATGAAAGGAGGGAGGAGGACCCAGGGAGAGGAAGTGGAAAGAGGAGGACGAAGAGGTGGGAGAAGAGGAGGAGGAAAGGAATGATATGAGACAGAAAGCAGAGGAGGAGAGAATAAGGAGAAGCTGAGGAGAAAAAGAGGGAGACGTGATGGTGAAGAGAGAATAATAAGTGATATGGGTAAAGAAAAGAGAAATTATGGAAGAAAAAAGGCAGAAATGAAGATGGAGAAATAAAAAAGAAGATTAAAGGAGGAGGAGGCAGGGTGAGACAAAAGGGAGGGATAGAAGAAGAGGGATAGAAAGACAGGGAAGACGGAGAGAAGAGATTAAGAAAGGACAAAAGATAAAGCTGACACACAGACTGAAGTCAGTGCAGAGCAGCAGTAAGAAACAACAGACAGGAACCAGAGAAATGTCTTCAGACAGGAAGCAGTTTTAGAAAAGGATGCAGGATGTTTTCTCCCTTTAAGAAAACAAGAACCACTGCACGTGACATTCAGGCGTCTGACACCGCATACAGCCAATCAGACAAGTGTGTGTGTGTACCTGGTATCTTCAGACTGAGGTCACACGCACTCCCAACGCTAGCAACAGACGCCGCCTTCTGTCGTCGTGTGATGCTCTCCCGGATACGACCCTCACCCGTCACCCGCACTGTGAATGGACTCCCTGTTGACAAACACACACCTCAAATTGTTTATCTGAAAACACATATTCCCCTATAGTTCATTATCAATCCACAATCCATGAAGAGATTGTGTGTGTGCACTGAAGGCTTTGAGTTTCCAAATCACATTTGTGAAAGTTGCATATTGTATTATGTCGTGTTGAGACTCAAACATCCAAGTGAAATAACAATAAAGCAAAATACTTTGAGTGGAAAGAGAGATTTTAAGGTGTATATGATTGTCTGTTCCTGTCATTATTAGCAAATACACAAAGCAATGCAGAACTACAGGATTTATAATACATATTTGTCTAAGTAATCAATGGCTGCCACATCGTGGGACAAACTAACATATATTAACTTTATGAACACATAAAGGGAATATCTGTATTTGGGGGAGTTTTCAACCATGTTTACATAATAGTTGAACAGCTTCAGTCTGTTTTATGAACACATCTTTTCTTCTATTTGAGTCCGTCCTCCCCAGAAAAACAAAACCAGCCAAACTAATTAAAATATCACATGGAACAGTAATGTTTTTTCCTCATGAGTATTGTTTTCTGGAAAAATATGACAAATAATTGTAAGAATGTATTTACAAGAATTATTCTGCCAAAATAAGTTTTTACCTGGGACGTGTTCCTCAGCGAAGCGGATGGAGACAATGTAGTTTCCTGGTTCAGTAGGACAGTAAGTGACCCCACACGTCCCGTCCTCCATGTCATCTGTCTGGATGTCCACCTTACTGGGACCTTCGATGGACAGAGCTAGGCCGCCATAACCTGCGCACGCACACACACACACACACACACACACACACACACACTTATTATATATATATATATATATATATATATATTCATTTATTTTAAACTACTACTAGCACTAGCTGTCAGACTGTTTTAGTGATGTTATCATGTTCCCTGATCCCAAAGTCAGAGGGTTTAATCTTCTGACTCTTGAGATATTTTAGCAGGGACCAACCGACTAACATCGCTATCCATAGAGCCATAAATGACTGTGGCGTTTGAAGGCCTGCATACTGACCGGCCTCCCGCGTGTCGACCACGAAGCTGGAGTTATTGAAGGTGGTTCCCTGGACGAGGCCGTCACCATGAGCTTTGACTTGGCTGGCGTCGCCGATCTCAGACTGGACGACCATGATTGTGATGGGACTGTTGGAGACGTGACGGCCGTTCTTCAGGATGCTGACCCGGTGTTCACCAACCTCCCGGGGGATGAAAGAGATACCTGGGGGGAGGAGGAGGGAGGGGGTGAGAAGAGGCAGACGAATTGACAAATTGGAGGGAATGAAAGGTGGAAGAGATGAGGAAGGTGGGGGATCAACAGATAATGAGGAGGATCAAATAGGGAGAGGAAGAAAGGATACAAAATAAGGAAAATGGGGACAAGACGTTGGAACGAGTGAGAGAAGAAACAGATTCAAATGAACACATATTGTTACAGTAATTAATGAATTACTTAGTGTGTGTGTGTGTTTGTTTGTTACCGATGTGATTGTTGGCCATCCTCTTCAGCAGGCAGGGCTCGTCGCGGCCGGATGGCGCCTTGATGCTGGCGGTCAGCAGGCTTAGGTCTGTCTCATTAATGTCCAGAGAGAAATCTGCTGCAGAGCCCAGTTTGACCTGAGAGCGCCGCTGGTTGTCCTCTGAAACACACACACACACACTCACGAAGGTAAGACACCACTGTGGGCATTAAACATTATGTCTTATGAACTTAAACGTGGATCAATATCTAACTTCAGCTCAATATGCTGCTGATTATCAAACTGATCATGACTAACTGAGCTGTTTGTTTCTACTTTTCTAAACATCTAAGAACTCTGAAGGAGGTTCTCGTTTACTTTCCTACATAATTTAATTAGAGGATCTAATGTAGATTGTGATCGATCTATCATTATCTGCTGAGTTTGACAGGTCCTGATGCATCTCCTGTCCCGATCAATTTAGTTACTAGATGACTAAACAGTAGCCTCGATCATTACATATGTGGCTTTTCCAAATTTCATTTTTTAAATAAAAGAAAAATGTGTCGGAGCCTCACTGGTGATCCTGGCGGTGAACGGGCTGCCGGCGATGTGATCTTCGTTGTATTTGACCAGAATGTTGTAGTCTCCGGGCAGAGTGGGCAGGTAGCTGACGCTGCACGTCCCGTCCTTGTTGTCCACGCAGTTGATCTCTGCTTTGGATGGACCCTCGATGGCCAAGTCCAGACCCCCTGGACAGACAGACGGACAAACAGAGTATATTTCAAACAGGATATTATCACTGATTTACTAAAAACTACATAAATATAAAATCTTGCTGCTTCTACACTAATAATACTGTAATAAGAGTTTTATATTGTTAGAAATTCAATCTATTTGTGTTTTGGACTGTTAGTCAAACCCGTACCTTCAGAGGCATCCTCTGTGAAGACGGTGAACGTGGCCATCTTGTTGGCGACACCGTAGCTCAGACCGGGACCATAGGCTGTGACATTGGGACTGCTGGCGTGGTTCACATAGAACTGAAGGGGCGACTCTGCAGCACACATACACACAATCAACATCAGTACAACAAAACGCTTTGAAACTACAACTGAAAGTTCCTCCACCCAAATCAAACTCAGCATGTAATTTAAATGGTTGGAATGATCGTGTGTCCACATATTTCTGACCATGCACTATATATTAATTAAACTGTGACATCGCACACACACACACACACACACACACACACACACACAATATGAACATTACACACCACACATAGCTTAATCACACACACCTCCATATTTCATCCTGACTATGACCAGTGTCCAAACATTATGAGGTGTGTGTGTGTGTGTGTGTGTGTGTGTGTGTGTGTGTGTGTGTGTGTGTGTGTGTGTGCATGTGTGAGAGAGCACTGACCTGGGATGTGTGTGCCATTGTATTTGATGTGCATCTCGTGCAGGCCGGCCTCAGTGGGCGAGTACTGTACTGTGACCGTCCCATCCAGGTTGTCTGAGATCAGCGGCTGAGCTGATTTACCTGAAGGCATCAGCACCTCACCTGAGACCAAGAGGCAGACAATTAGAGATACATATTGTTTGCATATTTCCAGCTGAGCTGTACAACCTCTGATGAATTCATGGCTCAGATATTAAAAGACAGTCTCTATTACACGTTTTAAGAGTGTTAGGAACACACATTTTATGCTCTGTGACCTGCACCTCGACAGCAGAAATCAGGATCCAGTTTTAGTTTCTGCAGGTTCAGATGTGGTGAAATTAAAAGAAGGAACTAGTATCTGAGGCTTTGTAGTTACTGGGACTATGTGGGTGAAAAGTTCTTCTGTGGGAGCCTTACAAAATATATCTGAGGACGTGAACACTTCAACAGTGGTATTTTCATATAGGCTCTTCATGTAAACATGGTTCACATTTATAATGTTTATTTAAAAATGTATTCCCAGTGATAGCTTAAAGCTGCCTGGAACTGAATCATCTCCTGCTTGGAAGACAGATGGTTCCAATAGAAAAGTTGAAAACCAACAACCAAACCAAAACCAACCTTAGTTGGTGCCTTTTTCTTTTAAAAAAAAAAACACTTCCCAGAAAGTATAAATCTCACTGTGCGGCTTGTCAGAGAAGGTACTTATTACTGCCCCTTGTGGCCAATGGGAAAAACACATCACCAATGTGGTTTCCAGCAACTGGCAGAGCAAACGAGCATTTTGTTCCAGACTGAAATATATAACTATTATACTATAACTATTGGATAGTAAAAATATAAATAATTAACTTGCAATACTCTGGTTTACTGCAGTTACACTGTATACTGTTCTATTTCTTCACTGGCACACGTATTCATGAATACAGTTCTCAGCATTAGTAGTATTTATTCATTACACGGCTGTCATATATTGTCTTATTTTCTATTTTGTATTGTAACATACTTATTATTATTTTTATTTTCTTATAACTCTTTGTTTAGCAACTTGAGCAACTGTTACACAGCAAATTTCCCTCCAGGGATCAAGGATCAATAAAATATCTATGATTCTGATAGATTGGAACAAAATATTCTACAGACATTCAGATCCCACTCCCATGAATTATATCATCAGGTCAACATTTTAAGTTTGTCCAATACTTTGTTTCATGACTAAAAACATTAAAACCTAATCGCATTCCCATCAGCCACAGTTGTACTAATTAGCAAATGTTAATGCTAAACTAAAATAATGAACACGGTAAAAATGGGGCTAAATATTTCCAACATAAAGGAATTTGTATTTTTAAATAAAGTTCATCACTTCCTGTCTCACCTGTGATTTCTCCCTTCCTGAAGGAGAAAGGTATCACCATATCGAACGGCCTGAAGCCGCTGCCGTTAACGCTGCTGCTGTTCGGCGCGTAGCTGTCTGATGTCACCTAGAGGAGACAGACACAGACAGAGTTCAACGCGTCTCATCAGCGACCTGCGTTAGAAACATGCTGCTGCTGCATCCCAGCCCCGCCCACACAGGGGCATCCTGGGAAAAGTGTAGTGCGATGGAGCAGGGAGAAGGAGGAAGAGGAGGGTGATGAGGGGACTCTGTGATGCAGCCACAGCGATGAAGAGTGCACCGAGGAAGAGGAGAGCGCGCGAGAGAGAGAGAGAGAGAGAGAGAGAGAGAGAGAGAGAGAGAGAGAGAGAGAGAGAGAGAGAGCACCACAACAAACCCCCTGGAGGGAAAAATAACACCCGTAACCATAGCAACGCCTTCTGCAACGCACCTCGCAATCACCTGGATTTTATTGTTTTATCATTTTTGTTACATTGTTCGATTTTTTTGCTGCGATCCCATTGGCTGAGGCAAAAAGAGAAGCGATGACACGGAGGAGGCAAAGCTAGTCGAGCGAGTTCAGAATGGAGAGAGAGAGAGAGCGGGGCGCGAGAGAGAGACAGACAGACAGAGAGACGGACGGAGAGAGAGGGAGAGAGAGAGAGAGAGCGAGAGAGAGACAGACAGAGAGACGGACGGAGAGAGAGGGAGAGAGAGAGAGAGAGCGAGAGAGAGACAGACAGAGAGACGGACGGAGAGAGAGAGAGAGAGAGAGAGAGAGAGAGAGAGAGTTTTAACCAGCAGCCATTCACCTGCAAGAGAGGAGCAGTGTGTGTGTGTGTTTCTATGTGAAAGAGTAATTTCATCAATATCATTCATGTGGTGTGTTCAAGTTTAAGGGTGTATAGTGAGTGTGTGTGTGTGTGTGTGTGTGTGTGTGTGTGTGTGTGTTTGTGTGTGTCTGTTTGGGGGTACCCAGGGCTGGAAGCCAGCTCCGGGGGGGCCAGCCTGTTGCTGTAGAGACTTCTGCTCTTGGATCATGGGTACCTCATCAGTGGCCTAAAGACACGACAGGAAGTGTTAACATCTGACCTCGCACATACACACAAAGACACACACACAAAGCGGACAACAGACAGACGTTTTTGCTGCTGTGGCCTCGTGGGTAAATCCTGGTCTGTAACCTGAAGGCATGAAGTCAAAAAGTTAATCTGCAGACAACTTCATTTAACTTCTGTATGCACTGACTGATTTCTTTGGCCACCTGAGGTAATAAAACCAAACACAGTGAGATAGCATCCATCTACACGTATTTGAGATGCTTTTCTGTTCAAAGCTGCAGCAGATGACGACCTCGGCACACACAAACCCATTTTGGATCCCTAATCAAAGTGTAATACAACCCAGAATGAACACAATTCTGCATCCTCCCTCACCATGACTTTGAACGGACTGCGCGGGATGTTTTCCCCTCCGAAGCGGACGTAGATGACGTAGTTCCCGGGAGCTGGTGCGGTGTAGAAGATGTCGAAGGTGCCGTCTTCGTTCTCCAGCACCTCGGCCTCCACCTCGCTGCCGTCGGGCTGGACCACAACGCAGCTCACCTTCCCCTTCCCAGCACCCTTAGCGTTCACCACCAGGCCCAGCTCCTCACCGATGGCCACTGTGGGGCCCACGCCAGGACCTGGGAGGGGGTGGAGGACATATTATTACATTTTTATAAACCTTTACAGTTTATTTGTTTTCTGTGAGGCGTTTGATCGGTGGTCACATACCAGTGACAGTGCACTTGCTGGCGTCTCCGGTTGCCGTAGCACGAACTCTGTAAGGCGAGGCAGGGATGTCGTCACCGCCGTACTTTATGACGATGGTGTACCGGCCTGCACGGTCGGGGATATAAGACACCCGGTATGTACCGTCCCCGTTGTCATGGATAGTTGGCTGCTTCGGTTTACCTTCCTGGTCCTGAAGTAAAGAGGGGAAAAGAAGGAAAGATGGTTTAAGTGTGAGGTCTTTGGTTTGTGTGTATAATTATGAGTGTGTGTGTGTTTTACTGACAGTGATGAGCACGCTCAGTTGGCCCTGGCCGGCGTCCTTGGCATCGATGTTGAACTCGACAGGGAAACTGGCGGGGACGCCACTGGTTAGCCCGGGACCGCTGGCTCGCACTTTGCTGGCATCGTGAGTGGGCAGAACCCGAAACTTGAAGGGACTAAAGAGACCACAGACACAGTCACTACAGACGCTTCTCTGCTTTTCATGCATTTACAAACTGTAAGTTTTGAATCAATTATCCTTATTTTATTCCCACTGTAGTTTAAATTTTAATAAAAAGGAAGTCCAAGTAAGAAAAATAGTCCCACAAAGAGTCAAAGTGCAGATATCATTATCACAACAAAGAAGCATTAAGGACACCTTGTGCTGTCTCAAAGGAGAATGATTTTTTTTTTTTAAAGTCAGTAGCAACAAAACCAAACAAAAAAACAAATATTGCAGATCTGATGATAAACTGATGAGCTCAGCTCTCTGTTAACTCATGTTAGTACTTCTGTACTGCAGTGCTGCTCTGTACCTGCGGGGGACGTCCTCCTCTGCGTACTTGATGGCCACAGAGTACGGTCCCTCCACAGACGGAGTGTAGGACACCAAGTGAGTCCCGTCCCCGTTGTCCGTCACCTCCACGGGTTCTGAGACGCCTTTAGTAGCAGTGACAGCCACGGCCAGCGTGGCAACACCCGCCTTCCTGCAGTCTACAGTGAAGGATTGTGGGATATTGGCCCTGACCCCTGACCCCACGCCGGGCCCAGACACCTTGACCTTACTGGAGTCCACCACGTCTTTCACTGGGACCTTGAATGGACTTCCTAGAAGGATCAGGAAGAGGAAATGTAGGTTTAAGTCACAAAAACTAAAGCAAAATAAGAATTAAATTTTTTCCTATAATCGATAAAAATAACTGGCAGACTAATCAATAATGAAAGTAATCCTTTGTTGCAGCCCTACTATTTCCTATTGCTGGAAAATATTGTCCCAAATTCTCTCAGACTGCCTGTGCATCATTGACCACTGGTCATCTTTACCGTACTATAGCGAGTAGCCTAACTACTGGCTAACTGCAATAGCTCTATAAAGTTTATCCTGGTGTTACATTCTTTTTAAGTCTAATCTGGATCATGTGGTTTCTGCATCCTACAGCTTTTTGTACCTCTGAGCTGATGCCTTCACAAAGCAAAACCACAAACTCACATCTGTCTATGAAAGGTGTCGAACAAGGAAACATGCTGAGCTTTTCCTGAACAAAGTCCATTAAACTGAGCTGAAGCTTTTTAACTTCAACCACATCTTTAAAACATTAAACTGAAACACTCTGCACATCTTTTCTCAGCCAATAACATCTTTTTAACATAAACCACATCTTTTAACGTCAGTGGTTGTTTATAGGCGGAAATGAGAGCAAAGCCGACAACATGTTACAAGGGAATCAACATTAAAGTGCCTTTGGGAAATAAACAGACGTGAGGGATCCAAGTGGATCTTTGTAAGGATCTCTGCTGTCGATGAGAATTTGAGAAATTTTTGAGCCAATTTCCAATATCTGTACCAATCATATGTTCTACTTATTGTCAACAAAACACCAAAACCGACAATTAATTGATCTACTAAAAGAATTTGTTTGGTTATTCCTCTGTGCCAGAGAGCTCCATTTTTGTCCAAATACTATTAAAAACACATCAATGAGTCACACGGTTTCACTGGGTTACATGTTCCTTCATTACCGTGGACTGAATCCCTCAGACACTGCTGCTAGAAATACTCACAACAACAAAGCTTTGGGAGTAATGCATTACGTGTAACTGAGATACATAATGAGGATACAAAAAAAGGTAACTGTAATCCATTACAGTTACAGAAAAAAAAGACATAATTGGATTATAGTTACATTTAGTAAAAATGGGGTTTATTTAGCAGCATTACAAATTTAAAATACATCAGTTTTTCTTTAAAGATACACTGAGCAGAGGACACATTTTTGATGCTAAAAATCTGATAAACAAGTTACGTTGTTCTCTTTTCTTATAGAACAACACTTCTTATTGACATTTCTTTTCTCTTTATTTGCATATTTGGTGTTGAGGCAATCCAAAAGTAAGGGAAAGTAATCAAGTTACATTACTTGTTAATTGTGATACTTTGATTAGGTTACTGACTACATTTTTTAAAAGGTTATTAGTAACTGTATTGGACTACAATGTAGTAAATGAAACTAACTATATTTTTAAGACAGTTCTAAAGATTTACCAATGGAAGTCAAGTCAAAAAGTATTAGTAGAGGTGGACTAACAAATTGGTTTTGGTCTTTTATATGGAATAAGTTGACAATAAGAGAAATATAGAATAACACTGGACAGATCCTTTAAGAAAGTTCACTTCACAGTGTTGAACCAACAGAACAAATAACTGACAAAACACTGCTGCCAATCAGAAAACCATGCAATGCCATTAGCAGCAGGACATGGCGTTACAAGAACAAAAATCCCTTCTCACCGGGGATGTGTTCTCCTCCGTAGGTGATGTTGACGTCATAGAGGCCGGGAGTGAAGGGAACGTACTCCACGCTGCAGCTGCCATCTTTGTTGTCTTTGCAGGTCATCTTTGACTCTGATGGACCCTCCACAGTGATGCCGAGACCACCAATACCTGCCCCTCTGATAACAGATCAATACTCCCAAAATCAGCAAATCAGTCTGACCTGAAGTTGTTTTACTGCAACAAAATGCTACACAGACATTAATGTGTAAGAACTTGAATTGTAACTCGTCTGCCTTCAAACACTTTCCTGCCTTTTCTTCCCAACAGTACCTGGTGACGATGTTGAAGTTGTTGGGTTTGTCAGTCAGGGCTTGCTCGAGTCCGGGGCCCGTAGCCACCACCCTGCTGGGGTCACATCCCTCTGACACAGAGACCTTGAAGGGGCTCTTAGGAACCAGTGTGTCATCATACAGAACCTGGACGCTGTGGACGCCTGAAACACACACCGAGATGGTCAGCAGCTGATGGATGTAGATTACAGTGAAGTAGTTCATGGAGGAGTGTTTCTCAGCAGATGGTGTGTTACCGTTCTCGAAAGGTGTGTACTCAACGCCGTAGGTCCCGTCTGCATTGTCGGTGACCACACAGTCTGTTAGCGCTCCGGACGGGTTCCTGACCTCTGCCTTCAAGTGGTCTCCTCCTCGCCGGGTCAGGGGACGGGCGTCCACCGTGAACGCTGTGGTGGCTTCTCTGAAAACAGCTGGAGGAGAAAGGAAATACATATGTTTAAAAAGAGACAGTTTACTAGTCATTGGTTAGTCCTACTAAAACAGTTGTATAATGTGTTTTGTGGCTCTGAAGTAGTTTTATCAAGTCTGTGAAAATATCTGGTCATGATCATCTTGGCTTGGAGACATTTATAACAGAAACCTCCCATTGCAAATCCAGAAAATAAGCTTCCTTGTATAGGAGGATATACTTTAACCAAGCTTTAACCAAACAGAGCTACATGCTGACTCAGATGGGCCATACTGCACCTTGTCCCTCCACTCCAGGTCCAAACACTTTGACCTTGGAGGTGTCCACGGCAGGATCCACCATCACCTTGGCAGGGAAACCGGGGACGGCCTTGCCTCCGTACTTCAGCAGCAGGGTGTACATGCCAGAGGTCAGAGGGACGTAGGTCACCGTGTACGTCCCGTCTTTGTTGTCCAGCACCTCTGTCTTAGCTTTAACACCTGGAACAAACAGTGTCGTTTTTACATTTCCATCACAGCACTGAAACCTGAGTGCTTTCAACAGAACCCCCCCCAACATGTGGAATAACTACAATCCCACAACAGACACTATATATTCATAACAAAGATATTTGTGGGCACTTTTGCATAACTTGGTGGTTTGTCCCATCAAATAGTTAAAAAGGACAATGTTGGTGGTTTTCCTCTTCCAGGCAGCGTTTCAGTTCATTTCAGGACAATATGACTGTCGTCTCAGAGACCAGAGTACACAGACTTCAGATCTGCAGCAGCTGTTCCTTTAAAAACATCTCTGCATCTTGACTTTCATGACTTTTTATGCGAGGTATCTGGACTTGGAGATCACCATAGAATCTATCTAGTCAGGCTTTGAGCTATGCATTTGTGTCCAACCACAGTGGTACTCGATTAATCAGTGTCTTCTGAGGAACTACTGGTAGCTACCGCATGAGCTACAGGCGTGGGTTAATCGGTTACATTTGTGTGCATGAAGTGTGGGAGAAGTGACTGTTTACACGGAAACAACAATGTCAGCTGCTAAAGACATTAGCGTAAATGTAGCATCAGTTATGTCAGAACTGAGTTTTTCATTATTGAAAGAAGAGCAGAGAAAGATACTGAAGGCTTTTCTCGATGGAAAACTCGATTGTTTGTTGATCTGATTTGTTGAAGTTTGCCTATGATGGACGGTAATAAACGGATGGTTCATCAATGACTTGGGAAGTACTTTTTCATGTCTTTCATAGAAACAAACTGAAATCAATGCCTGGCTGGAAGGAAGACGGATAACTTGGAAAGTGGTCAGCACTAATATGTTTGTGCTAAAGCATCTACAACTACCAGTAAACTTGTTTACAGCTGATCATGTTTATATTGGTACTGGTGAATAAAAACAGTGTTGGTGTTACCAGAGCCTGGTGCAGAGCCAGTAGGACTGGTTGGGGGGGAGTCTAGTGCAGCCTCCAGACTGAGTTGTCCTGGTCCGGCCTGGGAACAGTCCACATTCACTACACTGGTCTCTCCAACCTGCACAGACACGACAAGCCTGATGAGACTTTATACTTTATTTAAAGTATAAAATGAACAGTTCCTCATTCAACCACGCAAAGTGTCACAGAACAGATCATTTTGGGAAGTGTAAGAAGCCTCTCCGGACCCTCACCTTGGCTCTTTTCAGGCCCGACCCCGATGCCACCACCTTAGAGGGGTCAAAGGGCATCTGTATGTCGGCTTTGAACGGTGAGCCTGGGATGTGGACGTTCTCAAACAGGATGTTAACCAGGTAGTCTCCGTGCTCGGTGGGCAGGTAGGAGACAGAGCAGGTCCCATCACCGTTGTCTGAACACTCAATCTTGGCCTCGGTTGGACCCTCCACTGTCAGCCCCAGACCTCCAGTGCCGGCACCCTTGGTGTCGATGGTGAACTCTGCCGGATGTCCCACCAAACCTCCCTTCAGACCGGGACCGAACGCCTTCACCTGGAGGAGAGGGGGGCGAGGTTGGACGAATGCAGCCGCTTTTATTGCATTTTCAGTTTTCACTTTCATGTTTTGTTTTGTCATTTTTATCTTAATTTAGCTGTTCTAACTGTCAAATACTACCTACTCCTATTGTCAACCAAAGAGAAAAAGAAAGAAGAATAGAAACTCTCTTCACAACAACCATGTTTCCATGCTTTCCATACATCGTTTGCCGATGTTACCTTGCTTGGATCTGGAGGCAGCTGGGCCTCCACAGGGAAGGGACTCCCAGGTACGGGGTGTCCATCATAGGACACGTTGACAGCGTGGATGCCCTCTTCTTTGGGGGTGTAACGGACCAGACTGATGCCTGCTTTCCCTGCCTGAGGCTCCACTTTACAGGGTACCGCCTGCTGGCTGGGACTCAGCTAGGAACACACAAACACACACTTGGTGACTTAAAACCACAGTCTCTTTTAAAATTAAAGCCAACAATGGATTGATTCTAATAACAAGTTCATAGTGATCTAAGTGAAAAACATAAATTCAGAAATGAATACAGCATTGACTGAAACTCACCACTGCCACTTCCAGGCGACCTTGACCTCCTGCACCCTTGGTATCCACCATAAACTGCTGTTCCTGATTGACCTCCACTCCTGAAAGACATTTATCAATTTAACAATCAAGTCGAAATGATTCGCAGGTGAGTACTAAATACTAAAGAACAAGAACTACAAAAATAAGTTATTTTTGTGTTCTAAAAAATTAGAAAAAAAAAGACATATTTCTTACTTCCATCCAGGTTGTCCAGGCTGACCTTGTTCAGATCCAGCGGGGCAGCGACCCCGACTGTGAAGGGGCTCTTGGCGATGGGATCTCCACCAAACTTCACCACAATCGTCATTTCCCCCTGCAGACACATGAAACGTGCAGATCCAACAGTTACTCCATTTTAAAAAGCACTTGGGTAAGAACCTGCTGACTGTTTAATTCTACCGAAAACACGTCGGAACATGAAATGTCTCTTTTCAGCTTTCATTTGCAGACAGATGAAGACGTGCTGTCTGCACAGCATTCACTGGGTTTGTTGTTCTGGTGCGAACTGGCAATCACAACTTCAGGAAGATTATACAGTATTTATTTTTTATCTGTCATAATGACTGTGTAGAATTTGACGTGCCTGTTGTGCAGGTGTGTATTTGACAGTCTGGGAGTAGTCGTAGTTGTCAATGATGTCAAAGTCTTTGACGGGGGAAGAGAAGGTAACATCCAGCGGTGCTTTCCCGGCTCCTTTAGTCAACACTGTGAAATGAGTCGGCTTACCGCTCTCTATACCTGGACAGGTAGAGGGAGAGAGAGATTAAGTGCAACACTCAGGCAAGAACACACAGAGACATAGATAATTTAATGGAATTAGAAGTAAATTGCAAAGAAAAATGGCGCCTGTCTCACCAGTGCGAGCCAGTCCAGGACCCTCTGCTTTAACCTTTGATGCATCGTGGGAAGGTTCAACTTTGACGTGAAAGGGACTCTGAGGAACTTCCTGTGTGGAAAAATTGATGCCGAAATTCATCAGAACAAACCCCCGAACATCTTTACAGATCTATCCAGAGATTAAAACCTGCCAACCTTTAAGCTTTGTGTGTGTGTGTGTGTGGTTGTACCTTGTCAGTAAACAGGACTTTAATGGTGAGTCTTCCAGCAGCAGGAGGCATGTATTTGACAGTGAACGTGTCGTTGGCGTTGGGGATGATGTCAAAGTCCACGTCAGCCTCTTTGTCACCGACCATATTGGCATCACACTTGATCCCCACGCTGACGTCACCTGAATGAACGAACAAACACACACACGCAGGCGGACATACAAGCATCATTTGAAAATGTGAGTATGTGTGTGTGTTAATGAGCAGCTTCTGTTGTGACACTGACTTCCACAAGGGGGTGGTAGAGTGTCATTGTTTGCTGATGTTCATTCATTTTTATTATGATATCAGAAACACTCCAGGGATGCTGCTCTGTCATAAACTCTAATGTAAACAGTGAACCAACATTGCGGCACAATCCGAGTCCCCTGCAGCAGAACTGAGCCGTCAATCACAGACAGAGGAATTCAAAGTACGAAAGGAACGAAGCGGGAAAACCATGTGAGAGAACAGACAAACAAGTCAGATTCTCCAACCCTTGACAATCTCAAAAAACTCCACTCTCTGTTGAGGTGACACAATATCAGATCTCTCCTACAGGTCACTCTGAATACTTCATTGAGGAACAATAAGTGGTCGAAGAAGTATTCAGATATGTTTACTTTGGTTCTTGTTATTGATAAATGCAATACGTAGGCATTAACATGTGTCCAGGTTTGAATGCTTTTCTTCAATATGTGAAGGGAGAATGTGAAAGCTAAAAAGGTAAGTTGTTCTTTTGGTTTGTGCAGGTAGATGATAAAGAGAGTGATCGTGTGTGTGTGTGTGTGTGTGTGTGTGTGTGTGTGTGTGTGTGTGTGTGTGTGTGTTGCTCTTCTCAGGAAGGTCAGAGTGATGAATTTCCTGTCAGGATGTTTCTGCCTTGAGATCATCGCCAGGACATACCAGGGAGGAGTGTGTGTGTGTGTGTGTGTGTGTGTGTGTGTGTGTGTGTGTGTGTGTGTGTGTGTGTGTGTGTGTGTGTGTGAGTGTGAGTGTGAGTGTGAGTGTGAGTGAGAGAGAGAATCATTCACAGACAAAGGTAAATGTTTGTCTGTGTGTAGACTCTTTGTTCTGACACAGCTGGAAACTGCGGTCACACCAAATAAAACTGTCTGTGGGGATTTCCTGTCTTAATTATTACTGTGCGTGTGTGTGTGTGTGTCTGTTTCTTACCGTCTCCTGCTCCTGAGCAATCCACGGTGAAGTGCGTGGGCTCATTGGCCTTCAGTCCAGTTCTTTCCACTCCAGGACCAAACACCTTCACCATGTTGGGGTGGCTGCCTTTACCCACGTTCACCTACAACAGGAAATGACATCACTTATTTTCTTTAAAATAGTTATTTAAGGACATTTTCACACTGTTTAATATAGCACAGCAGTTAACCAGGTTTTAGTATTCTTATCATTAAATATGGAGTGCCACAGGGCTCTATCCTGGAGCCACTTCTTTTCAGTCTTTATATATTTGAAACACATTTTGAAATATGTTATCTCATATGGCTTAATTTCACTGAACTTCATTAATACAGACCTGACATTTTATTGTAGTTTAGGTAAGAATGGTCACATTTGAAAAAGTCGGCAACTTTATTTAATTTTTTAAAATTTGATTCAGGGGACCTATATTTGGACAGGAGCCCAGAGGCAAATTATAAATATTGCGTCAGAAAGTGGTTCCAGGCTTGTGGTACTTAAACTTATTAAACATACTAAATTTAACATTGTACAATTAAAAAAGTAAGTAACATTTTAATAATGTGTATATCGTAACTTTAATCACTAGATATGTATTTAAAGAAATAGGATTTCTCTTTAATTTCTACTCCAACAAAGAGAATAAGCTATTAAACTATGAATACAGATCACATCAGAAATTCTAAAAACATCACCAATATTTTATCAATTGTAAAAGAATGTGCTTTATTTTTATGCCAAGACATGTTTTACAGCAGGTTTAAAACCAGGGACTCTTAGTACTGACAAATTCTGCAGGAATCAGCTAAATGTTTCAAAATTTGTTCTTTTTTTCTATTATATTGTTTTATATAAAGGATTATAAAATCTTTATTTTGGGTGGTCCTGTGTAGTAAAATATAACATTTAACTGAAACAGTACGAAATGTGTGAAATACGCATTCAAAAACTAATAAGTAACCCTCACTCAAAAATAAAAACAAGGTCATGCAAATGAACCAAACAACACAGTAAAACATTTAATGAAATCAGAATTTATTTTGAAGCCAATCTAACTTTGATTAAAGTGAAAATAAATGACTTTATATTTTAGTACAACTGATAATTGAAGTGAGTTTCAGTCAACACATTTGTTACAGATTCACTCAGATTCACAAAACATTTGTTCATCAGCTGTCTTCCAGGTTTTAATGTTAAAAAAAAAAAAAAGATCGATGAGGACCCCCAAAGTTTAATCCTTAATCTCACTTAACTATCATTGCTAGCAGGATTCAAACATCCGTGGATGTGCTTATTGAAGATTAGTGACCTGCTGGTCTTTGTTGTTGTACCATCGATCGCTGTCTCACAACTGACTGCAGAATGTGATTATATTGAGGTTAACAGTGAAAATTCACCAAAAATTAAACTTAAAAAAAAAAAAAAACAACAACCTCTGGGTAGATTAACTTTACCTCAATGAGTCAATCTAGTAACTGTGGCAATTCCACTACAGTTAACTGATTTTGTGGCACAAAGGAGAACGAGTCTGCACACTGATTGATTTCAAATACATATTATATTTTTAAGGCATTATAAAAAAGAATCCCATCAGTGTGCAGACCTTTTCTTGCGCACACTTTGTTCCTTCTCTGGGGTTAATTGATTTTATCCTAAAATTTCACTGTAATTAAATTCTGGTGCGACTGAGCCTGTTTGCCTGCAAAGAATATTTAAAATATTTAAATTCTCCGTGAAACATTTTACATCAGGGAGAATTGCTTGGATGGTTTTTCTTACAACCAAAACTGTCGGTTAATTTTAATGCTTCTTGCTATCAAGTAGAGCACTAACATTAAATCAAAGGTAAGAATTCTGTTATCAATACAAGTGCAACTGCAGTTACATGTTGTTTACATGTGAATATTACTGACAGCTACGGTCAAGTCAGGTTACCACCATGAATCTCTCTTGCACACTGATTTCTTTACCTTCCAATTGTTAATGAAAAGGTGTCACTGCTGTGTTCCCAGCAGTGCTGAAAGCTGGGTGTGACTGTTTACTTTCTATTTATCTTCTGTATCAACATTAAAGTTGGAGAAAGGTGCAGTCGGTGCCAGGCAGCCTGCAGGCTGCTGCAGCTCACAACAAGCCTGCTAAATCACCATCAGCTCTATACCTGGAATAAGTACAAACTTCCCTGAACCAGTTGAAATGATTTGTGGACCAGTACAAATACTTGTGACCAGTCAGAGCCAGAAGAGAGACTTTAACACTTTAAGTTGCAGAATATTGTTTTTGTATTTTGAATTACCTGAAAAGTTTTGTACAAATATTATACAACTAAATTTCCACTAAGCAAAGTCTCTAAAAACTGCATCAACTTGTCTTGTTCATCAATCTAACTTTTGGACTTTGTACGTCCGTTGTCTTTGCCAACCCCCTGAAGCCTGCTGGCGTTGTCATAAATTCCTGTACAGCACACAGACACATATCCAGACATATCTAAGGCCCATTGGAAGTTTCTCATGTGACTTATTTGCCCTGTGGGTGAAACTATAAACGCCTTATAACAAGAAGAAAGGAGGACAGCTGATAAACAAAGTAAGAACGCTAACACCAGAAACTGCAAAGCAAATAAATCTCTCAAACTGTGATTGGAAAATACAAAATTAAAGGTTACAGTGCAAATAAGATTAGTGCATATCTCAAATGTCAAATGAAAACCATTTCATTCTTACTGTTCTAATATACGGGTTTTACCACTTGACCTGAGTTGAAAAAAAATTTTTAAAAAAAAAAAATTTAAAATAGGGTAAAGGTTGGTTCCCCTTCCCCAAAAAAAGGGTTTCTTAAATTTCAGTTTCACTGGTCAAAATCAAGGAGTAAAGGTTTTCATTTAACAGTGACACTTTTACTTTTAAAATATAAATCACGTTCTGTGAAGAAAACAGCAGAGCTTCACTCGTCTGAACCTCTCGTTAAACATAAATCACTGTAGATACGCCCGATTTCACCAGCTTCACCTGGAGGGTGTAACACTTGGCAGGTTTATGGTACTCCCACAAATCCCTCTCACCCAGTGTGAGTTGCTAGTGCAGCGACAAGGATGTGATCCCTCACAGACTTCTCACCAGCATAATAATCGTATTAGTTGGGAGAAAAACTACCAAATCTGACCGATCGTAACTGGGAAATTAAATTTTAAGCGCTCTGACTACTCACTGAATCGGCTCTGTAAAAATTTCAAAAGATACGTGCCTCTGTAGATAAAAGCGATTCATTCTAAGGTAACGAAAATATAACGATTCCTAACTTGTCTATCTGTTTAGAGCGCTTTTTGCAAGCCGGTGGCTGTAGTCAGCCAAAGATCTTCTGTCAGGGAAGATACTCCACTCTGTTACACAGCTGTTCAATCACAAGTGGACGAGTCTTTCTGTGGTTCCGACATGTCCAATAGAGTGATGCATAGTCTCTCTAGCCGTTCATATCCCGTTAGTTTCAGGAGTCTTATTCTCCCAGTTAATCTTTCATGCGTATCAGATCAATAATAAAAGCTTAAAATAATGATATTTTTTAACCAGGACCAGTATTTGGTAGCTTGTGAAAAATGAGTCAGATTAAGTAGCTATAGTTGTTATTTCAGTGAGTCAGATATATATTTAATTGACATTTAAGTAAACAGAAGTATCAGATCAGACTCAATATCAGCAGATAGTCGATATTAAAGCCAACAGCAGATAGGATTTAGTCGACCTAAATTACAAAAGCTCTTCACAGAAAGGTTCAGATTAGTGAAGTTCTAGTGTAGCCCACCAAAAAAAGTGTTAAAAAATACAAAAAGCAAAGTGAGTTACAGTGCATGGACAGTGGTTACAGCGCAGAAATGACTGGTTAGTGCATATTGTGGTCAAACCATCTTCAGTTTAGTCTACATAAAAACATTGAAGTTTTTAAAGTTTAAAGTTAGGTTCAAGGTGAGGATGTGAAACACAAACCAAAGGTTGTTACAGTGCATGGACGGAGGTTACAGTGTGGTTACTGAGTATGGTGAATAAACAAAACATATAAAATGTAAAAATGAATCAAAATACAAAGAGGTTTGTTAAACATATAAGTTGCAATTGCATGTTTGATCATATAGTGAACATTAGTGATAGGCAGTCTTCAACAAAACATTTGCATGCTGTTAATTGAATGTTAATGTCAATCTCATATCAGAAAATGTCTGACAAAATTCAAGTCACGTTTACAGCTCAGAGATTGAGGTAAAAACACAAACTAACATTTAGATGTCGAGCCACTTTGGTGTTGGACCAACCAACCAGGGTTCAGTCAAACTAAAGGCTTCATGCCACACGACACACACCACTCCCTCTGCGATGGTCATATTGGATGCAACAAAATCTCAACAAAGTATAGTCAAACACTTTTTTTTTAGGTCGTATAAACCTCTCAGCTAGCTAACTATAGTATCATTATTACACATCTGATTAGCAAACAAGGTAATATCTGGTAGAAGCTAATTAGTTAGCCTGTTTTTGGTCAATTAGCTTGTTGTTTAGTTAGTTTTTATTTTTAAAAATGCATCAACATTTTTGATTAGATGCTTCTTGCTTTTTTTCCAAAAAGAGATTAAACATCAATGTTAATCTAAAATCAGTGTGTTAAGTATGGATCAGAGTCAGGGCGTGGTTAGCCTAGCATTAGGATAAAAACTGTAAGCCAACTTGTTTTTTTCCCCCAAGTTAAAAACTCACCTACAAACTAAAGCTCACTAATTAACGGACTGTATCTCGTTTGTTTAATCAATAAACCAACAGAAACGTAAAACGGCGGATTGTTGTCTTAGAGAAAGTCCTATGCTGGTGAACAACAGCGTATCCATCCGTACCTCTGTGCACTGACTCCGGCTATACTGCGAGATACCAGATACACTTGGTGGTGACAACAAAAGAAATAGGACCAGCACCTAACTCCACCTTAAACCACAAATTGCAACTTTTTCTGTGTACAGATTAAGTAAACAAGATACAACGTGTTAATTAGTGAGACATTGGTAGGTGTGTCTTTCCAGTCTTTATGCTAAGTTGACTCCAGCTCACATAACACACCGACTTGTGATTGATGTCGAGCTTTTCATCCAACTCTGAACAAGCTCATTAAAAATGGGACATTTTACTGTGTCCATGATGGAGACTCGGCTGTTTAGTGGAAGTCATTTTCTTTTAAGGTATTTAACATTTTAGGGTTTTTTTCTCAACAGCAAAGATTTCACGTACCGTTTTTTTTTTTTTTTTAAATCCCTGTATGTTTTATGTAAAATATAAATTTACTGTCATTTATCTCTGTTGTACCTCTCCTCAGTATATGTAGTGATGATAATCAAAGGCTTCTTTTTTTTACTGCTCACTCCGGTATATTTGGATTGCACCGTCTTAAGATTTTCCTCTCTAACAATCGGCTCTGATTGGACAACTGTGATTCTTTCTGCCTTAATTAATGGATCTGATTGGACGACTTTAGCACTCTCTACCTCAACTGGATCCTGGGATTTGGGCGGGATATCGCTTCCTGTTGTTACAGGGGGCTGTAATTGGCTGCTTACCCTGAAGGGGCTGTTGGGGATGCTGACTCCTCCCCAGGCGACGGACACGGTGTGTTTGACAGGGGAGGCAGGCGTGTAGGAGCAGGAGTACAGCCCTTCACCTTTACTCCTCACCTTCACCTCCACAGGAAGTCCCTCTGCGTTCTGACAGACAGACAGACAGACAGGAATAAAGTTAGGACATTGGTCTGAGCTTCCTGAAATAGAAACAAAAGTCCAAACTTAGCTGTATACAAATGTTTGTTTGGAGGTTGCAGTTATGTTGGGGGGAAACAAAACAAGCAAAGAAAACGTTAAATGGCATTGGCAGAAATACAAGAATGAATCAAATTAACAATTTTTATAGCCGATTAATCTTGCAATGCCAAAAAAATGCAAAATATTCTCTGGTTCCAGCTTCTTGAATGCAAGGACTTGGTGCTTTTCCCGGTTTTATATCGTTGTAAACTAAATTACCTTGAGCCCTTTTCCACCAGATCGAACCAAGAACCATAAAGCCAGAAGAAATATACTGTGAGCCATAAAAAGGCACTTCAGATACAACATTTGGTAACACTTAACTGGAAACAGATATTTATTAGTATCTGTAACATTTGCTTTGACTGTGGATGTCTAAAAAACAAAACAAAACAAAACAAAAAGGATGTGAGCAACACCGAACTGTTGGTGTGTCTGTATTAATCGAGCATGAGAGGATTTCTGGGTCTTACCTGAGCAGTGATCTTCAAAGGTCCTTTCCCAGCATCCTTCGCGCTGACAGTGAACTCAGCAGGTTGGTTGAGCAGGCAGCCGGTCTTCTCAAGCCCCGGCCCGAAAGCCTCGACCTGGAACCACAAAACCAGTAATTATTATTGATCTGGGTATATTTTAACGGCTAAAATAAAGCAGCCGCCTTCACTGTGAAAGTGATCTCTGCAGGGGTCTCCCAGTTAAGTTTATATCAGATTCAGAATCAGAATTATGTTTATTGCCAAGTAGGTTTTTACGCCTACAAGGAATGTGTCCTGGTGCAATTGGTGCATAAAATAAAATATAATATACAAATCACACAAAAATCACACAGAAAAATAAACTTTCAAAATATAAATAAAGATAAGAAAGATGAGAAAAGAAAACGAAGAAGATGGGAGTGCATCCAAGGGTAATCTGTAGATTGAGAGGTGGAATAAGCTGCAAAAAATAGTAAAACACGGCCTCTAAAACTGCAGGAAAGCCACAGAAACAGCTAAGTTTTCTGTATGACGAACTCTTAAGAAGTGAAACAACAATTCTCCCCCACTGTACAGGGAATTTGAACTTTTGCCTTCAGGCAGACAGATTACCGACGGCTAATCCTTTGTCCCAAATGCTGTCATGGTAATAAATTAAAGTAAGATCCTGTAGACGAGGATACAGAGTGTTCCAGACTTTGCTGCTGTTTTTTACAGAATAAATTAATGTGATGATGTGGAAAGTGTATCGAGAGTTGTACTTTTATAAATGTTTTTATCTTTTGTGAGTAGTAGCTTTATGAATGTCTTTGTCTTTCCCACATTTTGGACATATTTTTTAATCAGGACCTTCAGTATTTAAGTAGCTAATAAAACTTTATAAAAGGACTCTAGAGTTTATATTTTAAACTCTAGGCCTTAGAAATGTAACCATCTCAAATCTTATAACTGAACACGTTATCCACTACATGCCTGAACCCAAGTTTGGTGTCACAATCGCAGCCGACTGCCAGACACCGTAACTGACCTTAGCTGGGTCACTGGCGTTGTTGTCGGGGACGATGTGGGCCATGAAGGGGCTGTGCTCGATGTCCTCCTCATCACAGGTCACGTGGATGGCGTATTCTCCGGGCTCCGTGGGCCAGTAACGGACATCACACGACCCGTCGTTCTGGTCCTCACACTCGATTTTAGCCTGGGAAGGTCCCTCAATGGCAAAACCTGAAGACACAGCAGGTCAGATTAGAGTGGATATAAAGTTTGGTTTGTGTTTCACAGCATTTGATTTAATCTGATTCCAGTTTCAAATTCTTAAATCTAATCAGGATCCTTTAGAGTCCCGTATCAAACATTTTATTTCTTTATTGGCAAAAGAGGGAGGCAGTTTTTCGTGACAGCGTAATTAACATTGACAACTAACCATGATGAAACACACTGATGGTAAAAACAATGCCAATAATATGTACTTATCAGAGAGCACCGTGAACTCGAAAAGTCAATGATTTAAATAATCAGTCGAGAAGACAGAGTCAACTCGCATTTTTAACAGTGAAATCTCTGCACTTTTGTTTTTCAGCTGCATGGCGGGAAGTAGACTATCCAAACCAAGTCTCAAAATGACCACAAACCACAAAATTAACTATGATGGAAGTGGAGAAGAGTGATAGTTAACAGAGGGCAGCGTGACGCCAGACAGCGGGGCAGCAGCTGCTCGGGTGATGACTGTCTGTGAAGTCCTCTAATCCTCTGAACCAGAGGGTGGTCCAACCTCCTCTACTGCTGTCCAGTGTGACTGACTCTACATCTCACAGATCTGCAGCCCGGCAGGAGAGGTGCTCCGTGGTGCGAGGGATTTTATTACTGAACTTTGAGCACTTTTACTATCTCTGTCAATGCGGAGGTCTCATGTATTCATGACATTAAAACGCGAGAGCCACGTTTCCACCTCAGTACCTGTTGATATAGGAGTTTATTGTGGCGCAGAACTGATCTTTAAGCCAATTCCACTGACAAACCTCTGAGTCAGGTACAGCCCTACTGTGAACACAGAGTCCAGCGTGAATATAAACATTGAGCGAACGACAAAAAGCAACCTGATAAAAACCAAAAATAAACCTGGTATGAAACAAAGTGACATCTGAGACTCACCCAGCACACCGACATCGGTGCCGATGGACTCCACTACAAAGGCGGCAGGTTTACCCACAATGCCTCCCTCCAAGCCAGGACCCCAGGCCCTGATCTGCTGAGGCCCCGCCTCCCGACCAACCGTCACTTCGAATGGACTGAAAAAGAGCGGGAGAGAAAGCAGATCTGTCAGAATGACTAAAATCACACAATCCACTGTGGAAATGTAGCATGTATGAAAACAGTATGTGTGTGTAAGTGTGTGCGTGTGTGTGTGTGGAGGGGGCGTAAGTGACGGCACACAGCATGAGATCACCCGTGAGGCTGACAACACACACACACACGAATCAACAACGTCAGTGCCTCACAGAGCTGTAATCCAATCTTCAGCAGTTACTAGCTGTAAGTGTGTGTGTGTGTGTATGTGCTCTTCACATGTGTCAGATGGAAACCAGCTTCACGCCAAATAAAACTGTCTGTTGGGATTTACTGTCTTCATTACACACACACACACACACACACACACACACACACACACACACACACACACACACACACACACACACACACACACACACACACACACACACACACACACACACACACACACACACACACACACACACACCCTCCTCCTACTACTACTACTAACAATATCAATATTTATAATACATTTATAATTATCAGTGTTACTCAAACACTGACTTACTTTGTACGTTGAAAATAAGGAGTATCTTTGCATAAAAACATTTGAGAAAATATCATGATAGTTTACATTTCCTTACAGAAAGAGTAAAGAAGTTTAAAGAGTAACTTAACACCCCGTGAAAACGTTCTCCTCACCTTGCAGCAGTGATGCAGAGGTGTACTGTGACATCACTGTAAGATTTATGACCACACCTATGAGCGATGCTGGGTGTGATTAGAGGAGAGAAAACAATGCTCTTCAGCCCGGTATTAAGTTACTCTTTAAGGAATTTCTTTCTCTTTCCCTCTCAGTCTCTCTCAGAGGTAAAACAGTAAGAGTAACAAAGTGTTTTCTGCGTGTTAACCGGTGAGATAACCGTCAGCGCTGGATGAAATTAAACAGAAACCTGCTCAAGGGCAACTTCTCAAAACCCCCCAAAGATCTGAAGACTGCTTCTTCATTGTGGGAACTTTCTGACCCAGTATGATCCGTGAGGATGCCTGTACATGATTCTGGTCTGGATTATGGCTGAACCACATCCAGGAACGGTCGACACAGTTGTTCTGTATTGTATTTTGTTTTATTTAATTATGTATTATATAATATTTGCAGATATGTCCGTTACATGTAAGACTTTTGATCCATATCTTGTTTCTCCAAGTCTGGCAACTCATCAGTGTGTCTTATCATAGTTTGCTTCCCTTCCCATCTGGCCAGTGGCTCAGAAATTTGAGTAAGTCCCTGTACTAATACTAATAATAATACTATTACGAACACTAACAACAAAATGAATATGAGTACAACAAAACACTCAATCTGCTCTACAGAGAGGCGACAAAGAGAACATGAGGCCCAGAAAAAAGGTCTGCATTTCCCTGCGCATTCAAACCATTCAGATCAGATGAGGTAATGTGCTGAGGTAACACACACACACACACACACACACACACACACACACACACACACACACACACACACACTTCAGCTACACACACAGTTCAGCTCACCTCTTTGGGATGTGCTGACCCCCCCAGGTGATGGAGACTGTGTATTTGCCAGGACTGTTGGGATAATACTCGTAGGAGAACACGCCGTCCTGACTGGAGATCTGCTTCACCGGCTCCTCGATACCCTCTGAACACAGACACAGACACACACGGATCAAACAAAGTAATCAGAAGTTAAATGAGTTAAAAGAACATTCTGACATTTTGGAAAATATTCGTATTTGCCTGAACAAGCTTCTTGAACAGATTACCTTCGTTATAAAGGCTAAAGGTTTAAAGTATTTTTTACTGGAAACATGTATATTCAATGACACAGCGATATAAAGATAGCTTTTCCTTCGTGTTTTTGTTTTTCACCACCAACCATTTTACCCACCAGTTCTCCCCATCACCTTCTGGACAATCACAATAACCTCGCGGCTGGGTGACCCCTCCTCACATGACAAATGATACCATTAAGAAAAACGCACTTCAGGAACAAACCAACATGCTGTGTCGCTCTATAACGTCTCTACAGTGTGAACTGTACTCACTCGGTCCTTTGACGAGCACCTTCAGGTCCCCACTGCCGGCGTTTTTGGTGTCCACCTTGAAGTCCCCGACCTGTTTCACCCTCAGCCCCGACGGCTGGAGGCCGCGGCCCGTCGCCCTGCACGCCCCCGGCGTGCAAGCTGGACAAACCGGAGAGAAAACAAACACACACACACACACACACACACACACACACACACACACACACACACACACACACACACACACACACACACACACACACACACACACACACACACACACACACACAGGGGTGATGAGATGTTTTACGGTGTGTTCAAGTGGGGTTTATGAGACCATTTGAACAACGACTCACCAGGCCCCACGTCCACACTGAAGGGGCTCCTGGGGATCCCCACCCCTCCGAAGGTGACGGTAACTGTGTGCGGGCCGGCCTGGGTGGGCCGGTACGTGCATCGATACATGCTGTCGCCCTTATCTTCCATCATCGCCTCCACAATGTTCTGGCGGCCCTGAGGGTCTCTGATCATGGCCGTCACGTCTCCTGTACCGGCTCCTACAGAGACGAGAAAAACTTCTTTAACTTCAGTCTCTGTTTATGGGGACAAAGTTTAAAGACTTTTTGAAAATGTAAACTAAGTCAAAACACATCAAATTAGTTTTTTGAATTCTTTTTCTAGTGAACTACACCCGCCAACTACTCAGCTCAACTGTAGCTATCTCAGTGATGCAGGTTAAGCTAGCTAACATTATAGCTCAGCTGAGCAGGATGCCTGCGCAGTCACAAGCACAAGCCTCTCGTTCCATGAGCAGATGCACGCCTCCTTCTGCACAGTGATACTCTATCATACTTTAGTTATATAGCAGCTTTCATACAACCATGGAGCCCAAAGTGCTTCACATAGCAAATCATTACGCATAAAAACAATACGAACAACCATGAATAAAAATGTGCTAGGCAAAAAAATTAATACAATAAAAACCTAAAAACTGACATTACTCCAAAGTAAAAGCCAGATTAAAAACATTTAAGATGCGTAGAAAGAAAAAAGGCTCTAGATGAAACGGCTCAGTCTGTGGATTTTCTTGAGTAACAGGCTCATGATTTCTGAGAGACATTGCTGTTGAGTTTTTTTAAATGTGTTTTTCTTTGAACATCACAAGCTGAGTTCAATTATATCAGAGAGAATGCAGACTACAAGATCTTTACTCTTCTGCCAAAAAAAGATTAAAAGTATGTATTTTTGATTCTGGGGGTGAACTATCCCTTTAAAGCTGTTGATGGTGGTCAGTAAATAATTTTGGAGGCTTTAGAGCTGTTTAACAGCAACTTGGATAAAGCTGGGCTGAGTAATGTAACAAATTAATGTTGCTGAAATTAATAAATACTTTAATAACTTTCCCAACACTGATCCTGACCAGCTGACAACATGTCTGCAATGTGTGTGTGATTACATAGAAAACAATGTGCGTGGGTGTTTTGAGGCAGTTTTACACAACAACGCTATAATCTACAGTTTGTGATTGAGACATCACATCCATTCTCAGCACTGAGTAATACCTATAAACATATCTGTGTTTCTGTGTGTGTGTGTGTGTGTGTGTGTGTGAGAAACGTCCTCGGAGGTCGTTTGTGTGTCTGAGAGTCCTCTGACCTGCAGTGTAGATGTCGAAGTAGGTGGGTTTGTTGGCGATGTTGCCCACAGGTTCGACTCCCGGCCCTTTGACCGTGACCTTGGAGGCGTCGCCCAGCGCCTTGTCCACGTTCACCTCAAATGGACTTTTGGGAATTGGCTGGCCTGCAAACAACACCGTCACCTAGGAAACAAAAAATAAAACAATTATTCAGACACATCAAATATATTTTTCCACCTGGTCTTCCTCTCACTAATACTACACTAAATAATAAACCCACAACTTCCCTTCACAGAATATTTGTTTTTAAAAAAGTGATGGGTTTAGTAACTGTGATGTGATGTGAATACTTTAAACTCTATACATGCTTAACTGTGATTAAATGAAGGCTTTGAATGCTTGGATTAATTACTTTACCATTACCTGAATTTCTTTTTCTATCAAATCATATTCAATCTCAAAAGCATATCAAATTAAGAAGACAAGAGTATAGTAACAGATCTTAAAGTTTCGAAGGAAAAATACTTAATAAGGCTTCTCTTACTGTATCTGAAAATTCATATTAAATTTACCTTCCCAGACACTGTAAACAACAGATTGTTTCAAAATGAAGCTTACCTTGTGAGGTCCCATGACTTGAGGAATGTAGGTGACACTGAACGTCTTCTTGCCCTCATTAGGCTCCGGCTTCAGCTGTTCAACACAGACACAGACAGACACAGACAGACACAGACAGACACAGACAGACACAGACAGACACAGACAGACACAGACAGACACAGACAGACACACACACACACGTTATGTGCCTGGTAGAGACCACAGTTCGTCTAATTTCATACAGAAACGTATATTCACAGCAGGTCATTAAACAGGCGGCTGCAGTCTCTGATGAAGACAGAAAAGTGGATGATGAGGAAGAGGAAGAGGAGGATTTAGTGCGTACCTCCTCTCTGGTGCCATCAGGATGATCCAGGTAGACGGTGACCTGACCCTGACCTGCACTGAACGTGTCCACTGTGAACACAGCAGGACGCATCACCCTGTTCCCCGTCGGTTCGATACCTACAGAAGATCAACACAGACATTCTTTAATACACAGAATTACCCCTCGTTCTTTGTTCTAATTTAATATGTCCCACTTATTTTTATTATTGATTAATCTACTTATCATTTTCTGGATTAACTGAGTCACTGTTTAGTCTAAAATGTCCAAAAATAGTGAAAAATATGTTTAAATGTCTTGTTTCGTCAGTCTAGAACACAAAAAATATTCAGTTTAATTTGATATAAAACAAAGAAAGCAGGTGCTTTGGCAACATGTTTTTGATCAAACCGTCCAGACATCAAACATTGAGAAAATGTATTTTGATAACTGTTTCATTGTTTCAACTGAATATTTGGGAGAACATTTGGCTCTGGTAATATGTTAATATTTCACGATTGTCTGAAAACATCAAACACTAATAAAGCTTTATTGAATTGAAACTGATTTCAAGTCCAGTTTCCATGAGCTGGATGGTTTATTAGTCGCCAGCAGCAGTTTACAACATGACAAGAAAGGTATTTTATAACTAATTTCATCATTATCTTGATGATCTCGAGGTAGAATTACACTGTTCACGTTGCAAAGTTATTCAACAGGAATCTTCGCTTGCGAGTGTTTGATTGGCGGGTATGTTTGGTGCAAAAACTGAGCCAGGTTCAACATTTTGTCCTCTGCTGGAGGACCAATCTCACTGAAATTGATCAGGGAGTGCAGAGAGAATTAATGTGTTTTAGATCCCCGGGTCAGTAAGAGAACAGCCAAATGAAGGCTGTGAGTGTGTGTTAGTATGTGTTAAAGTATGTGTGTCTGTCCTGCTGCCCTTTAGTAGCCATTTCCAGGTATTTCCCTCATCAGGGTTACTCTCTGTGTGTGTGTGTGTGTGTGCCTCAGATATGAGAGTAGTCCTTTGTTCAGACTAACAGCTGTTCACTTCCTCACATTGTCAGACAGACCAGTGTTTCCAGTGTTCCCATTAGCCCACACGCACGCACGCACGCACGCACGCACGCACTCTTGTGTTATTCAATCTACGCCCAGGTGGCATATTCGGAAGTGTTTTCAAAACTAAATCAAAACCTATGCAAAGATGTATGTGACTAAATATGATACACATGATTTTACAAAATTCTAATTACATTTAATTTTTATGTAATTTTTCATTACATTTGGGGTTTTTTTGGCTGCAGCAACCAAATCTCCCCCAAAATGAAATGATTCAGATTTAATTTCATCTAATAGAGAATTTTTACAAAAAAGTAGTTATATTTTCCTTGCACTTTCTCTAGTGCGTGGTGTGTGTGTGTGTGTGTGTGTGTGTGTGTGTGTGTGTGTACCTGGTCCGTATGCGCGGGCCTTCTTGGGGTTGAGTTTGGGTTTGAGTGGAGCGCCTGGCTTCAGTTTGGCTTTGGGGAACTGGGACAGGTAGGTCATCACCGACTGTTCATCCACACTGGGATCAATGATCTCCTCTGGAGCGATCACCTGCGAGTGCACACACATACACACACAGAGTTCAGGTAATCTATTTTATACCTGAATATCCCTAATAAGCAGATTTGGGCTGCCAGTGTGAAGGTGGCCTTCTCTGAAGAATTGGCTAGGTGATATGATGATGAATAAGACAAGATATCTTTCCCTTTAATATCTATGGTTGAATTGGTAACTATGGGTAATGTTTGTCAATGAGCAGAACTGATTATCATAATACTGCTGTAACATGTTTTTTACATCAGTGTCCTGAGCTACTTTAAATGATCAGGATCTATCTGCTAACAGCCTCCACTCTTCTGGTTTCAGGCTTTCCACCAGAACCTGCGGCAGAGATTTGCTCTCATTCAGCCACAAGATCTGTTTGGTGGTTATGTCTGCATGCTTTATGCTTTTTTTTTTTACTGGATGTAAGGAGATCAAATCATGAAAAACAGACTCAGTATAAGGACAAGGGTGTCCATATAGTTTTAGCCATATAGTGCATCATGACACAAGTAAAAAAAGTAAACGGGTATTCAGAAGGTACAAACCCTTTATGAGTTTTTACAAAAGAGTTTTTAGGAGCAGTGAACCAAAGCTGAACTCTGAGACCAAAGCAGAGCGACGTGGAGGAAGATCAGTAGTGATTTAAGGAGGAAATGTGGCTGTGGATGAACTTGATTCAGTCCAGGACATTGAACTCTGTGTCACACCGGTGTCGTTTACAGTCACCACTTCTTTCTGCTCATGTCATGTTCAACATTTTCCCCCCAAATCGCTCTGCTGCACAGGCTCGGGATATAAACTGGAATTAACTACCTTTCCAGCAAACAAAAAAAGCCCTGAATGAACGTCATGGGTGTGACAGTGAAGTTTGCAAGCTATGTTTTTTCTGGAGGAAACTTCCTGTGGGTGTCAGCTGACTGACAGGAAGCAGAACATAACGTAATCCAGCCATGACACAAAAACATCACCTCAGGATGAATGAAAGTTTCTTTATGATGAATACAGGGAGGTCGTTCAAACTGAACAAAAAGCAGATTATTTTTCCTGAAGGTCAAAAATGAGCTTTAGCATCTGCAGAGAAACTTTTATAATTTATTTAAAGACCCTCTGACCAGCTATTTAAAAAAAAAGTCCATTTCAGGAGTGACAACTGACTAATTATTTTCCGGGGAAAGTTATAGTAAATTTCCGTTTCAGCTCGTACATCTGCGAGTTGCATCCTCTCGCCTTCAAACAAAAGTGTGTAAAAAACAAACTCAGGTTCAGTGAGTTTCCTCTGCTGTGAACAATCAGGAAGCCAAACAGCATCTGTGTGAGCTGCTTCTAGCGACCTTTGACCTCTGGAGAAAAGAGAAAAAAAACCACAGCAGGGCAAATTCTGCCTCTGTTGGGCTGCACGATACACAGAAAATACAGGATGTTTGTGGGATATTTGCATGGAGAAATAAGATGCAAAGCAAACATTTAAATGTCGCTGCACTCGTCTAAATGTATTAGATGTTATCATTGTTAGCTGTCCAGGCTACAATGTTAAAGCGTCAATGTATGAACCGTCCCTGCAGATACTTTAAAGTAAAAGACACTTGGTGGCCGGAGCTTTTGAGAGCATTCACATTCAATAAAGCTGCATCTAACCTGCGGGATGCCCAGCCAGTCATCGGCCAGCTGCATGGCTTCAGTGGCATTCTCCACTGGTTTCACTGGATCCCAGGTCTCCCAGTCTGGACACAGGCCTGCAAAGGACACACACAACTACACCGTCAAGCTAACAGACACACAACAGAACTCATTGTGTCAGATTTTTTTTATGTTTCCAGCCCACAGTTTGTCTTCCCTCGCTGATGAGAAAAGGCTAAAAAAAGATTTTCTTGAACGGATGGTTGACAGGTCTCCCATTCCCATAGACATCACAATATTGGACAAACATATTGCTATCTGAGGTGTCTTTTATCTTCTTCTAGCTTCTTACTTTTTATACAAGAAAAAAACATGGTGGCAGTTAAACCCACTCATTTGCCAGTTTATGCAGACAACCTGCTGACAGTCGAGTTATTTATTTCTGCTTAAGAACAAAAACACCATGACACAACCAGCAAATAAAGCTTTGTATCTCTCCTTCCCTTTTTAAAAAATTAGTCAGGAAGCTGAAAACAATAAAGCCTAACTGTGTTTCCAAAATGAAGAAAACAACAAGAACTGTCCGCCCTCATCCTGATATACATACTTGAGAACTTCCTTATTTTATGAATGAAGCTGTACACAAGTTGTAGTTGCCGTGGTGTCTGTGTTTGACCAATCAGCAACGTTAAGCCCTGAAAAGAACCCGAAACAGGGATGGGCTTTTTTTACACCTGGAACCACACACACAGAGAGACAGAGACAGACACACAGACACACAGACACAGACAGAGACACACAGAGACACAGAGAGACACACAGAGAGACAGAGACAGACACACAGACACAGACAGAGACAGACACACAGAGAGACAGAGACACAGAGACAAACAGAGACAGAGACAGGCACACAGACACACAGACAGAGACACACAGAGAGACAGAGACAGACACACAGACACACAGAGACACAGAGAGACACACAGAGAGACACAGAGAGAGACACACAGACACACAGAGAGACAGAGACAGACACACAGACACACAGAGAGACAGAACACACCAACACAGACAGAGACACACAGAGACACAGCGACAGAGACACACAGAGACACAGCAACAGAGACAGAGACACAGAGAGACAGACGCAGACGCAGACACAGACGCAGACACACACTCACACACACACACACACACACACAACGTACCCGGTGCACAGCTGTCTACCAGTGCTCCCAGTGCCCTGCCGTTCCTCCAGTCCTGGCTGAAGTTGTTGATTGGCATGTCAGGGACTTTGTTTTGGATCCAGCCCAGCAGACGCTGCTTAGGTGTCTTTGACTCCGCCTGAACAAAGAGCAAAAACGTAGTCAGTCAGCATAGTATTTATTTATTTATATATTTTGCTGTTTATCTTCTCTTTAATCTTTCAAATCCGGTTTCTTCACTTGATGCCACTTGATGGTGTGTTTTCAGAGGACCAGAAGTCAGGAGATCAACAGAAGTTAATAAAAACTCAGCTGGACGTTACCTCTTCATCCTCGCCCTCCCAGGCTGGCATGGAGATGGAGTAGTGCAGAATCAGAGTCCATACCAGACCCAGGATCAGCTTCAGGTTCCCATCCACGATGGCTTTGGAGTCTGAAGGAGACAAACAGACAGACCAGAGGTCAGAACCATCCAAAATACTGCAGTCACCTCTGCTGTTGGTTCACCTGCATTGCTGCGTATCATTATTACTTCTTTTATTACAAATACACCAACAACTAAACCACCACAACAACTGCTACAACACAGCAGAGCTGAATTAATAATATCAAGTATTATGTTCACAAAATCCACCTTTACACCACAGCTTCAGTCTCAACTTCCGACCAACCTGTTTGACATCCCACCAACAACAGAACTCCAGTTCATTTAAGACAGACATGAACACAAGATCCGAATACAAACCAGTGACAAACAACGTACTGTGGATATAAACATTTGACTTTACTTGTAGCAGAGCAGAACAGAGTGCTGCTGGGTAATGTTTCTCATTAATCAGATCTCATTGTACCAGCTGGTACCTCACACTAGCTACCACACAGACACAGACACACAGACACACAGACACACAGACACACACACGCAAGGAAATAGCTAATCTTTGGCTGCAGCCCACTGAGTTCAGAGTGAAGCAGACAAAACATTCCAGTCATTTTTAATCTCTCAGTTTCTCATAAAAGCAACTTATTCATTAGAGGCAAACTGTGGAAACTCTTTATGGTAATTTGTTTGTTTGCTTCAAAGTTGGTAGAGACACAAGGGTGGGGAAAAAAATGTCAAAGACTATTTCAATCAAGCACTGTATCAGATATCTATAAGCCAAGTTTGAACAATACCATTACTCAATGACAGCACGAAGGAGTAATAAAGTAAGACAATGCAAATAAATCAGACCATTACATGTTCATTGTCCAAACAAATAAGTAGAATTTGTTTACAAGGCGTTCATCTGACTGAAAGGGATGTGAAGCGAGAATCAGTTCCAAATTGTTCAATGCCTCAAAATCATAAGATAATAACCACCAACTTATCAAATCATTTGTATCAATGCCAGCATGTTTTTCCCCACATTGGGACACGCTGCTCTGATTAATCTCTGCAAGGTGAATATCCGCTGAATCAGACAGATCCTGACGCATCTCGTCTGGTTATCATTGCAGTCACTAGATCACGTCACTCTTTAAAATATGTGGCTTTAGCTGTGTGACGTATCGCCTCTGCTGGTTTTCCCTGAAGCATAATAAGCCATATATTATATTTCATAAACATTTCTGATGTAGGTCTTCTAACTACAAAATGCTGCTGTATGCGTATAACACATGCAGAAATAATTAAGACTACATCAGTATTAATGGCCACCATACACTTCACTGTCCACTAGAGCCTTGATACCTTCATGGTTAACTAAATATGTTTGTCTCTGCTCGCTTATGAAACTGTGTTGCGGACTTTTAACACTGTGTATCGGTGTGTTCAGCAGATATGAGCCGTGTCCTCACAGAGTGTGAGAGAAAAGTCCTGTGAGCCACCTGAGGAATCTCCAGCTCTGCTTCACTGTCAGCGGACCAGCTGTGGTTTCAAACATGTTTCAGCAACTCAGGTTTAAGGTGGAGCTCTGGGAGACTGTTGCCTCACCCACGGGTGACACAACCCTGTTAATGACTGAGGATATTCTTCAACACACACACACACACACACGCATAGAGGTTGCGACATCCTGCTTTCTACATTCCTAATCTCTCTCTCTTTCTCCAGAGTCAACACACTCAGTTATCTCTTTGTGTTTCTGTCTCCTTTTCTTTGTCTATTTCAACTCTTGTGACTCATTTTTCCTCTCATCCTTCCTCTAACCCTCTTATAGTCTCTCCACCTGTTTGATTTTCTTACTCTCATTTCTCACCACTAATCTCTCTGTGGTTTTCCCCTCTCTCTCTTCCCTCCCTCCCGTATCTCTTCCCTCCTTTCTTTTGCCCTCTATGGTTGATCTGCCACACCTGTGTGTGTGTGTGTGTGTGTGTGTGTGTGTGTGTGTGTGTGTGTGTGTGTGTGTGTGTGTGTGTGTGTGTGTGTGTGTGTGTGTGTGTGTGTGTGTGTGTGTGACCTCTCCAGCAAACATCCTGTCAGCAGCACTAGTCAGCGGCCTTTACCCTCCATGCACACACACACACACACACACACACACACACCACAGTTCCACCCATAGCTGAGCTCACTCACTGAGCTTAACACTAATCTGTCACACCAAACAGGGACACTGTCTTTATTGAAACCAGGTGAAGAACTAACCAACCGTTAAAATTATGATGTGGCTGTTTACATAATGCATGAGAAAGGGATTAGAGCTATACAGTTCACCTCTAGATTGGTACTTTTGTACCTTTAAGCAGCTCATTGTTTAACAGTTGGATCAACCAGATTACAAAACAATATATTTCCTCATTTACCTCTGATTCAGACCTTCCGATTCAAAGCGATTTCTATTTTTGACCCATTGTCTATGGTTAAGTCTAAAGGTTATGATCCTGGTCTAACTGTTTTAATAAATAAGGTAAAGATTGGAGCAGTGGTTCCCAACCCTGACAGGAGTCCCACAAACCCTTAACCCATGTAAGATCAAGCAAATTCACACCTAACGCCTAACTCGTAAACAAGGTTGGGAACCTTTGTTTTAGTGCCATCTAGATAGGTAGTTTGTTTAGGTTTTAGATATGCAGTTTGTAGTTTGGGTAAATTGTTACTGTTTAACTTTTGGCCTTAAAAAGGTTCAGTGTGTAACATTTAGGAGGATCTTTTCATTAGTGTATAATCACCTGAAAATAACAATCTCTTGTGTTTTTGTCTCCTTAGTATGAGACGTCACTTTCTATGGAGGCCTCCTCGCTGAACCGCCATGTTTCTACAGTAGCCCAGAATGGACAAACCAGACCCTGGCTCTAGAGCCTTTTGAGTTTTTTCGCTGCCACCGTAGTTTCTCCCTTGTGCTTGAAAACGGAGTGTGAAGCGAGTGAATTGCAATCAGCAACTACACCACTAAACTCCACACACTGGACCTTTAATTTCATTCAAACTCAAAACATACTGAGAACTAAACACTGTGTGTGTGTGTGTGTGTGTGTGTGTGTGTGTGTGTGTGTGTGTGTGTGTGTGTGTGTGTGTGTGTGTGTGTGTGTGTGTGTGTGTGTCTCTCCACGTCCTTGCCGACACAGTTTTGTGAGTAACGAGGCTATCGTCATGGTAGCCTATTGTTCACATAAAGGACAAAGAAAGAGAGAGAGGGGGGTAGGTGGAAAATGTTAAAAGCAGCAAGTCAAAACAATAATAGAAGAGCAAAAAACAAAAAGAGTATTTGTGGAATCCACAGATTTAAGGTCTAAGCTCTCGGGTTAGACGTATGTGTGTTACTGAAATAGTGTAATACAGAAGGTTTTAAAAGCTCTAATAATCTGCCGCATTGTTTCCTGCTGCTTAAAACCAGATCTCTCCTTAAGTCCCTCATCCTCCTCATGAGACTGACTTACAGGTCTGGGGACATAAAAATCATTCAGGAATGGAGCATTCTGCTTATTCTGGAGCCCCAAATTGACAAAAGTCTTCTGAACAAAAAGACAAATCCTCCATTTTACAAGTTTAAGTCTAAGTGAACAACACTGAGGTAATGTTCTGGGTTCGTTCCAAAGAACAAGACCATAAATACTCTGCAGCATGCCAACTCACACACACCTGGACAGGTAATGCCAAATGCAAATCAATCATATCCCCCAAGGCCTAAAAGAATTGACTGGTCTTGTTAAACACCATCGTGCCAATTTTAAGTACTAGTATCATCATGAATTAATGGCTCAGTTTCCATGAAATTAAAATCCTTTCTTAAGAGTACTCTACTGTGTTGTCTTTTGCTTTTACAGAGCCAGACTTGAACCTCGCACTCTCTTTCATGGGTGGCCCAGGCGAGAACTGAACCTGTTGCCCTTATCTACTGACCTACACCTACTGCAGCACAAGTCAGGGTGCTCAGTCTTCGACCTTAACCCTTAAAAAAGGCTCACAGGAGAGGTTTGCTGTGACTCTCCCCGCCCTCTAGGCAAAATTAAACACTACAGTCACCTCTTTCATTCAGAGATTTATCTGTCCACACATCCATTCACAAAAGGTCCCCGTTTCATTCAGCCCGGATCTGCGTCAGATACACAGTGCTCGAGCCTCTCAGCCAACCCCTATCGCTGCCGATACCTGCTGATTTGTTGACCCGTTGCTATGGAGACACACCAACACAGAGGCAACAACGACACTAATGGAGAAGCGGGGGCTGGGAGGGTTTTAAGTTGGAATAAAGGAGACACAAAGAATGTGTACAAGGAGAAACGGAAAGTGAAGGAGAGAGATGAAGTATGTGTGTGTGTGTGTGTGTGTGTGTGTGTGTGTGTGTGTGTGTGTGTGTGTGTGTGTGTGTGTGTGTGTGTGTGTGTGTGTGTGTGTGAAGTGTGTGTAAAAGGTGAATCAGGTTGGAACCAAATGCCTTTCTTATCAGCATGGCACACCCTCTCTGGTACAGGAAGTAACATAATGAGCCAGCAGCAGACTATTGAAATACCTGCTCTGAATTAGAGTTGTACCATTACCAGTATCTGAAATTCCTCCAATACTGCCTAAAACACAGTACAGAGTATCGAGTATCAGCGAGCACGTGTGTATGTGCCCGATCTGATACCAGGTAAGTTAGCACACCGAAACGGGGCCGTGCTATTTCCTCGCAGTGTCCCGTTTGCCTTTTTTGGTGAAGTCCCTGTTGCCAAATTCATGACCCGCCCTACTCTGACAAAGGGTTTGATCTAAGGGAGGCCATTCGATAAAGTTAAATCATGATAATCATACAGGCTTAGTTGTACACACTCGCTTTTTTTTAAACGCACTTGTATCAGATCTTTACTCGCAGTGGTGCCGGAAGGAGTTTCAAAGTGGGGGGACATTCAGCTTTGGATGATGTACGGTAGTGAACTCAATCTCAGCCTAGCCTACAGTTTCATGAGGCTGTGATTACACTAGAGGTCACAATATGTAATTTTACACAGAGAGGTCAAGTTTTTTTTAAAAAT